TTTCGTCATGTTTGCCGATACAGCCAATAATGCAATCCTCTCTTCCAAAAGTTTCTATAACTTCCAAAAGCTGCATAGTAATTTATTGTTTTTTTTTCTTTTTTTTTTTTTTTCTTCAAGCTTGGATTGTACAGACAAGGTGGGGTACTATTTTGCTTTTTTGGTGTCCTCATGTACATTGGTGTCCTCCATAATTTGCCTTTGTGCTTTCGATCATTTGCCTTGTGGCAATTTCCCATTCCTTGGTGCTCTTTGGTAAAAAAATATTGAGGAGGTGTGGAAATAGAGGGCGCTGTTGGAGCTACCGCGGAACATTTTGGAAAAAAAAAGATCGACGCGCATGATTAAAATCGACGCGCGCGCTGACCAGAGACCGACTTTTTTTTTTTTTTGGCCTTACCACTACATTTTTGATTTCCACAAAGCAACAATTTTCAAATGTAAACAAAAAATAAGTCTCAAGACTCTTGATCATTACATGTACAATGTATCTGTAAATTAAACTGTACATAAAACCATAGAACTCACACTTGTTTCCATGTAAAAATCAAAAGAAATGTATTACATTTGTACAGAGATTATAATGGTATTAAACACACTGTATCATCCATGCTGTTATTTTGTGTGTTTCCTTTGTTATCACAATACTTGCTTTCTTTGGGTTCCCCCTGAATTAAGAGCATTTGTATTGCTGATAACAGAATTAAAGAAAGATCTCCAAGAAAGCCTTTCTGTTACATTGTTATTAGTTGAAGTTTTTTCTTAAAAAATAGTACTTTTTCTGAATCCATTTCTGAAACTTACAGCAAAAGCAAATTATTGTATATTCCCTGTAACACACCCTTGCTACCTGAAATCTTTAAAGCTGAAATATCCCAACATTGATAAAACAATTTATTCCACTCAGTTTTCTGACCGAAAAGGAAGGAGGTGGAGGATATTAGAGCTGACGTTCGATAAAATATCAAGTAGTGTTTGGTGTATTGAATGATATATGGCTCATGGGGGCGGGGCTTGCACAACTACCTCCTCAAGATGGATACACGTAGGTGAAGGAAAACTTGCATATTCTGCACAAACCCCGCCTTCCCTGGTGCTCAGTCATTCTTAAATGTTACAGGATAAGTGTGAAATGGGAACCATTGAAATAGAGGAACCATCATATTTGTGTGGTGTAGCTGGGGGGGGGGGGTTACTTTCTGTAAATAGCGCCCTCTTTGGTCAATGCACAGAGGAGTTTAATGAGTTGACAGGGCTACGGGTTATGACGAACTGGTTACTACCAACTGAAGTCAATCAACTTTCACATTACGAAAGTGAAGTACTCCTTTCAACTGAAGTCAATCAACTGTCACAATACGAAAGTGAAGCATTCCTTTGGCAGGCCCAGCTGCACTAACAAGTTCCCCTTGTTTAGGAGATCGACTTAATATTTTTAATAGTGAAAGTTTTTTTCTCAACATGCTATCAGTTTTTAAACCAAGTTTTGTGAGAAAATCAACTTTAAGAGCTCCCAACAACGAAACTTCTGGTTCCTGGTTTAGAAATCGAACGGGACGTCCCCATCATCGTGTGATTCAAATAACCATCATTCAAGGTCTTGATTCTTCAAAAATTCTTATTTTCATGTAGGCCTTATGCAAAATTCTGTTGCCCCATAGACAAAAACGTAAATCGGGTACCGTAGTAAAAAGGTTCACAAATGGTAAATGCGATTAACTTCATTTTTTTTCACACAGGGTTTCTGATGAATATATATGTCATTCTTACAAGGTTTAAATAAAAAGTTCAAAACTTCAACTTGGTTTTGAGAAAAGTATGGCTCCTTGGCATTATTGCAGGTTTTTTTACTCACCTTGTAGGAGAATTTGGAATCTTCAGCTGGATAAACACTAATCTGATGAACGTGGTGATGCATTTTGTATTAGTCATACATTGTAGTTCGACACAGTTGCTAGTGCAACTGCAGTCTAATTGTATTCATTGTGATACTTTATGCCCGACGATCATACATCCATTAACCCTCCTGCTGTCTAAAAGTCACAGGCAGTCAACAAAAATACACATGCCTTTTACACAGGCTAGGCACTAACAGTCAGATCATATTGCAAGCAAGCACTGTAAGTAGTCAAATTCAGTCAGCAGACAAGTGGTAGGCACAGCTGGCTTATCAATCAGCTACAATCAAAGCATAGCTGTACCGAGTTACATGAACAGTCATAGCCAGTCAATACTGCTTTATGTAGGCTGGGAGCTCTTGACTGTTGAAAACAGTCACTTGACTGAAAGAACAACTCGGCACAGAATGTATGTTTGCATAGGAGGATTTAAAAATGTGATACTTTATGGGCTTTAGCAACGATCATACATTCATTAATTAAAGTCTAACTGCAATCAATTAACCCTAACCGCCTAGAATTCTTCAAAATTGTCTTTGCCAAAGTGGAGGAATTTGGAGGATTGAGTTTACATGGCAAAAGTGCGCTTCTGATTTTGTAGGATGCACTTTGTCAAGGTCTTGGGCTGGACCTTGTGTTGTTTTTGCTTAGCAGTGCATAAATATAGGCCTGGATTATGCTTAAAATCCTCTGTTCTGCTCCAGGATGTCATTGGCCAAGCCTCAAAATATTGACGGTCACTGCCGCAGGATTTTGCAGGATTCAGGCAGTGGTCACCCCTCTGCGGACCATATTTAAGAAATAATGGAGGAATTTGCAGGATTGAGGCTAAATGCTATTTTTCTACGAGGCCAATTGGAAGATTTTGCAGGATTGAGGCTACATCCTAGCCAAAATGCCTAGGGAGTTAGTTAATAGTGCAAGTCTTCATTTTCATTGTTTGGTTTTGGTCTCTGTGTTGGTCTTAAGGATTCAATGTATTGGTCTTTGAAGTAAAAGTCTTTGCCTTGGAAGTACAGGTCTTGGTCTTGGTCGCCGAGTTGGCAGTCTTCAAGACTTGGGGTTAAATAATTAAAACTGTTGCGAGATTTGTTGATTGACTAGAGAGCGGTCCAATATTTTTCTGGGGCCCGAAGTTTTTCTTCAAAGCCTTTTTAGTCACACTTTTGGGAAGAGGAACAGAAGAAAAGTCTCGATTTACACCATACACAAACATGTATGTCTGTGTGTGTTATGTTTTGGTTAGGTTAACTCTTGTCAGCACGATAACTTGAGAAATGCTTTACTTAGGAACTTGAAATTTGGAGGAATTGTGAAGTGGGAGGAATATCATCGCTCGGTAAAATCTGGACTTTTCCATTTCAAGCAGCTTTGCCTCCTAAAACAGAAAAGTCCAGATATTACCTTGTGATAATATTCCTCCCATTCCACACTGAGCCACTCAAACATTTGTGCAATAATACCCCCATGAAAGATGTGTGCTTCACAATATTGGATCTGCAGCAAAAACTACTGGACCGAATCAGGAGATCATGGTATCATATTTCGTCTAAGAAGATTCTCCATCCATTGGTACAGGTGGTTTGAGTCTCAAGGTAGTGGAAGTATGCCATTGGGGGCCACCCTGTATAGTAGACTGTGGACTGGCAATTCTCAAGAGTCAGTTTGTGGTCTGTGGTGGGCGTGTCTAACTAGAATCAATGAATGGAGGCTGGTGACCTGAGCTGTCAATCAAAAATTGTTGCATAAGGCTACCTCTGCGAAGGGGCCATGTACAGTAGTTCTACAATATTTAATGAAAACAGACTTTATTGATCAATTTGGTTAAATTGTTGACCAACTTATTTCATGAACTTGCACACTACAGAAGTGCAAAGTGAAAGGCCTACCGGTAGCTGTACTTAAAATATTTATCTGAATGCTAACATGTGAATTTATATGTAAATAACGAGGTATCAGTTTTGAGACAACTTTTTGTGATAAAAAACCAAAATCAATTCTTAGAGCACACACATACAAAACCAAGAAAAGCCACATGTTTGCTAACATGCGAATTTATATGTAAATAACAAGGTATCGGTTTTGAGGCAACTTTCTTGATCAAAACAAAAAATCAATTCTAAGAGCAAACAAATACAAAACCAAGAAAAGCCACATGTTTGAAATTTGTTATATACAACATAATCAGAGTGAAAGTTGCTTGTCAGTTTTGATTTGGCATTTGGTCATTTTAAGTTAAGCACTCAATGTTCAAGTTAACTTTGTACAGGGAAAGTGACCGCAAGTATGTCAGTTTCGATGTGATGCGCCAATGAGAGTATTTTAAATGGAAAATTTGAACGTCAAGATCATTTTGCATTTTCTCACCAGCCTCATCACAGTACATCACTGTTCCAAAGTCTGAACCCAACAATGCATGGTGTTCACTGCACCTTGAGCCTGTAACGCTTATGCACTCTCTCCATTTCAAGTCAACCGGCAATCAAACTTGACATCAGTTCTCATCTGAGGCTGTCCAGTTCACCAGAGCCACCAGATCTCGATGCAAAATTGGCCGCATGTATTATGGACAGCCCTTGCTGTTGCCGACTCCATAACATGATTGGGTGACAACTTTGCATCACATTAGCTGTCAATAAATTGACTTAATGAGGACAAATACTTCTTGTACAGGCTCCAATTCTTTTTCCTGTTAAATTGGAAGCAGTGAAATACACAGAACAGTGGCTACAAAAGTCTTTGGTGGGAAACTTTCTGAAACTGTACTGTGGAACAACAACTTCTATTTTAGATGTTACTTCATGTACTTGTACAAAGTTTAGTTTTCGGTGTACTTTTTGAGAGGCAAACCCCTTGCTGCTGAACAAACCTGCAGGTATCCTGCAGTCAAACTTGTCTTGCTGGATTTCGTCGTCATCTGCAAACCAATCTGTTGTTCAGCTATCCATCCAGCGAGCAAATCCAGCGAACCACTTCTTTGTTCTGCTCTTCATTCACGGAGCAAACTTCTGCTGTGTTTCTCCACCCCACGTTATCTGTACAAGACACTGAACTATCACATACTAAACACTGCAAGAGGCTGCACACAAGCAGGAAGATTCTGTGTCAATCATGTGGTGGTACTACGCAAATGTCTCCATCTATGCCCAAGCTGCAACGTCCCTTGCTCAGCTGGACATTCTGGTCTGTACCTTCTTCACCTGTGTCTTCCAGAACCACAGCGACAACTGCTCCCTGGCCTATTCAGCACCCCAGATGGACCATCTACTGATCTGGGATGAAACGGGACCATCTCCCTGGGCAGCGATGAATGAATCCTTTGATGCACCAAGCAATGAAAGATACAAACTGTTGAACCACTCATTGCTAATCCTTGCTTTTAAGAATCCGGCAGAGGCTGACCAGTTTGTGTTTTCCAGTACTCAGACTGTGTTGTATGGTTTTGTCCTGCCTGTCCTTAAACTATTAGGGATCCTATCCATTCTGTCTTTTTTCTTTACCCTTTGCAGAGTTGCCTCCATGCGGAATATCACTAATTTCTATCTGACTAATTTGGCTGTTGCAGATTTGATGGTCTTGATTTCAGAGTCCACTTATCAGCAATGTGTGGCTTTGACAACACAATCTGAATTGGATGCATCATATTTGGGGAACTCAGCCCAAGCAGTTTTTATTCTCTTAACGTACACATGCGATGTTGGTGTGATTTCATCTATAGCCTTTGTAACAATGCTGTCTTATGGTAGATATTTTGCCATTTGTTACCCTTTCCAACACCGTAATCTCAATCTGAAGCGACGGGCTATACGGGCAGCAGTTTGCATATGGTTTCTGTCTTTTTCCGTGAATTTGATCGTTTTCTTTAATCAGTTTCTGGGCTTTAATGTACCACCAATGAAATGTCTTGTTTGGCCAACTGAAGAAAAGTATAAACATCTATCAGGTAATGGGCATATGTTTTTTAATGATGATGAAACTTTGAATCTGGTTGTAAGTTACATGTTTTTCTGTGTATTCATGTTGAGTTTGATCCTCACAGTCACTTTCAATATCCTCCTTATTAAGGGACTGCATGCACCAAATCCAACCGGTGATCAGATCCGAGGTCCGTCAAAACATCTACGAAAAGTTACTCTAATACTAGGCATCAACACAGCCGTGGTATTTGTCTGTTCTCTGCCCCAAGCTATATATGCCCTCATTGCAATTTTAGTGCGAAGCAGGGAAGAAGTGAATGTAAATGATGATGTGAAATGGAAGTTGGATGTGTTGATTGCTTGCCTCAGAGTCTTGAACTCTTCCATTAATTCAGTCATATTCAATGCTGGAAGTGGAAGGTACAGGAAGGCCTTTAAGCAAGCCTTCTGCTGCAGAAAGAGGCAGCAAGTACCAACGAACAATATTCCTCTGCAGACATTACCGAGAGCAGATCCTGCAGATAGGATCAGATTGCAGGATCCAAAGGCCAAACTCCCCTCCTAGAGAGAAAAGAAAAGAAATAATGTTATCCTCATAGTGCTGCAGCCGAACCCCAAACCGAACTAAAATAGCCAAACATGGCATTCCGAACCAAACTGGACCGAACTGAAATTGTCGGTTTAGAAGTTTGGGAAATTTACTTTTTTGATAGTGCTAGAAATGCTAACGCTTGCAATGAAAGGGCAAAATTGAAATGCACGAATGATTGAATTCACAGTGTTAACAAGTCACTATGTTCATCTTCATTGTTTGGTGGGCTAAACGCCACGATTGTCCGTCTTTGGTATGCATAATCCGTACAACGTAGCATTGCTATAGTGTAGACCATGTGTACACATAATGCAAGTCGTGCGTGGTAAGTAAAATCACTGCATTGTTCAATAAATAAAAAGACCCCCAAAATAGACAGAGCGCATTCGTGCAGGCTAGAGGGGTTACTGGTATTGCTCACAATGTGGTATTGCATGTATTGGAGAAACCACATTTTTATTGCGCGCGCTGTGGTAGCAATGTTCATGTATTTTGTTTCCGCAACCGTAGTGCAGGAAGTCGATGCCAATGCGTGATTTTCTAAATTTACACAAAGGATTTTGTTGCGCTTTTTGTAGGGGACCAAGAGTAACACGCCGACTTGAGCGAAATGGCGACTTACCGAAAGCCGATTTACAGCTTGATCTGGCAAACGTACAGATGTATGTATGTACATTGTACATGTACTTCCGATCCGAACCAATGTTCGAGGAAAAAAATCCGATATGAACCGAACCGAACCGAACCTGGAGGATTAATTTCAGCACTAAATCCTCCTTCCAAAAGTTTCTTTAAATTCCAAAAGCTGAATAGTGATTCATTTATCGTTGAGAAACACAAATGAGAAACACTGGTATTCACTGACGTCAGTTTTATGTTGGGGGAGGCATGGCTTACTTTGTTTTAAAGAAATACCCCAACTCCTTCTACCACTGCATTTTTGATTTCCGCAAATCAACAGATTTCCAATGTAAAATAAATTAAGTCTAAACACTCTTTTGATTGGCACATTTCTGTAAATGACACTGTACATAGAACTACCAGCATAGACAGATATTACTGACAGTTGTTTCCATGTAAAATTGAAAAGGAAATATATTACATTTGTACAAAGATTGTAATGGTATTAAACTTACTGTATCTTCTATGCTGTTATTATGTGTGTTTCCTTTGTCGTTCCATCTGCGGGCTTGTTCTTGTTTTATGCAATCCTTGTTTTCTATGGGTTCCCCCTGAATTAGGCCCCCCAAAAAAGTCTCTGGTTTCTGGTATGCGCGCGCGTCGCCGTAGCCATGCGCGTCGGCAAAATGAAAAAAAAAATTCAAAGAAAGTTGATGTCTCAAAACCGCCAACCTCACTGGTTTGACTGGAATCCTGCTGCTGCACAATTTTAACGTGTTTTTTTTATGGGGTTATGATCGAGAATAAGCTTTATTTGGCCTCTCTGGCACGTCTGGACTCTCATATATTTGCACTAAATTTAGTCAGGCACCATTTTGCAGTCATCAGCTGACACTTGAAGCAAAAAAAAAAGTAAGAAAAAAAATAGCAAGCTCCATACCAGAAACCGGAGACTTTCCTTTTTGTCCTTAATTGCATTTGTAATGCCATGAATGCTAGTAATATAATTAGATCTCCGAGAAAGTCTTTCTGTAACATTTTCATTTGTTAAAAGATTTTTGTTGGCCGGTTTTAAACACTCCACACCAGTTGGAGTCTGGATGTTGATATTCGGGTGATTATCAGCCTACAGACTCCAATTGGTCTTATAGTGTTTGTAATACCGATCAAGTGCATATTTATTCCCATTCATAAATACCTTTTCGGTCAAAAATGATGTTGATAAAATGTCCAGTAGTGTTGGGTGTATTGGGGAGGGGCTTGCCCAACTACCTCCTCAAGATAGGTACACGTAGGTGAGGGAAATTGAGCATTATTCTGCACAAACCCCACCTTCCCTGGTGTTTAGTCATTCTTAAATGTTACAGGATAAGTGTGAATTGGGAACCATTAAAATATAGGAACCATCATATTTTTGTGGTGTAACTGGGGGGTGTTACTTTCTGTAAATAGCGCCCTCTTTGGTTATTGCACAGAGAAGTTTAATGAGTTGACAGAGCTACGCGTTATGACGAACTGGTTACTACCAACTGAAGTCAATCAACTTTCACATTACGAAAGTGAAGTATTCCTTTCAACTGAAGTCAATCAACTTTCACAATACGAAAGTGAAGCATTCCTTTGGCAGGCCTAGCTGCACTTCCAATAGTTTCCCTTGTTTAGGAGACTTAATACTTTTTAATAGTGAAAGTTTTTTTCAATAATGCTATCAGTTTTCAAAGCAAGTTTTGTGAGAAAATCAACTTCAATGAGCTCCCAACAAAGAAACTTCTGCTTCCTGGTTTAGAAATCAAACGGGACGTCCCCATCATCTTGTGATTCAAATAACCATCATTCAAGGTCTTGATTATTCAAAAAAAATTCATGTAGGCCTTATGCAAAATTCTGATGCCTCGCAGACAAAAACGTTAATCGGGTACCGCAGTACAAAGGTTAACAAAAGGCAAATGGTAAATGTGATTAATTCTTGAGAACTTGGTCACTTGTCACATTTTGTTGGCATGAGTAGCGAGCTAGATGGAAAGTTCCGGTGAAATTGGATAACCATGATTCGGTTTGAAACAAAAATTAGGATAACTAGATTTTGAAATCTCCCAATTCTCCCACCACTTAATGAATTAGGTTTTAATAATTAAAACTGTTGCAAGATTTATAGAATGACTTGAGAGTGGTCCAATCTTCTTTTTCTAGGTACCAAAGTTTTCCTTTCAATGACTTAAAAAAAAAAATATGTTATTTTTTTAAATTTTTTTATTTGGGTGTTTTTTGCACATTTGATTTTCCCCAAAATGGCGGCCAGTAATCATAACATCGTTATGGTACGGTACATGCACACATACAATCATAAAGTAACTGACTGTAGATGGTCGGCCAAAAGTGGTTTATACTGTTGAGAAGACCGCATCACTTCAGTTAACAATTGTTGACTGCTGTGATGTGGGATATGATGTTTTGAACGCCCGAGGGGCGCATTCGCCTCGGCTGCTGTGCGCCCTGAGGATGTTATGCACCCCGAGTGTGCTCAAAACGTCATATCCCACATCGAAGCAGTCAATAATTGTTTTGTTATACCTTTGTCTTGGATTCTTTGGATTTTGATGTAAAAATCATGAAAACAAACAGCATTAAGGGGGAGTGTGTGGCCTCGTGGTTAGGGTTCGTGACTCATGATCAGATGGTCCGGGGTTCGAATCCAGCTGCTGGTCATATATTGTGTCCTTGGGCAAGACACTTCACCCCCACTTGCCCCTCTCCACCCAGGAGTATAAATGGGTACTGGCATTAGCTGGGGAGTGACCTGCGATGGACTAGCATCCTATCCAGGGGGAGTAGAAATATTCTCAGTTGTTTCATGCTACTGAAACTGGAGATAAACGCCGACCTGATGGACTGTGCCATGACTTTGTATGACCTTAACACGTGATTGTTCTGGGCCAATGAAAATACGGTGTTCAAAACAGAGGTATAACAAAGCTTGTTGTTGGTTACCAACAGCTAAAGTTTCAGGTACATGTACCTTACCAGATTATCAGTCATGACATTTACCAGCAAGAACATCTGTAACTTAATATTTTTTGTGGCCCTAATTTCTCCATCCCCAGAAACCGACTTGGCAACAGGAAGAGATGATGAAGCAAAAGCAGATGGAGGAGCAGCAGTGGCAGGAACAGCAAATGCTGGAACAACAGAGGGAAGAGCGGCAAAAGCAGGAACAGCGCCGGCAGGAGGAAGAGCAGAGAAGACGGGAGGAGCGGAGGAAACGGGAGGACCTTCGAAAACGGGAAGAGGTCCAGCGACAAGCCGAAGCCTACGTGATGAAACTGGAGGAGGATCAGCGCCAGACGGAAGCAGAGGAGCAGGCGAAGAGGCGGCTGCAGCAACTGGCCGCGGCCGAGCTGAAGAGGAAAGAGGAGGAACGCAGGAGGCACGAAGAGAAGATACAGAAGGAGAAAGAACGACAGGAGCGACTACGCTTACAGCGGGAAGAGAAGAAGAGGAAAGAAAACCTGAAGAGGAAGGAAAAGAGAGAGATGCAGAAAAAAAAGGGTGAGACGGTATTCTTATTTTTATTTAATTCTGGTAGTTAAACCAAGGATTCCTCAAAAGCGCCCTAGGCACTGTAGCTCACAAGCCTGAAGAAACCTGTAGAGAGGAGACAATGAGAAGAAATTACAGTTTAGAGGTGAGAGGAAAACCCCAAAAGAAAATTGTGGGAATAACCCATGGAATCAGGCAGGGACTGAAAACCCAACCCACATTTTGGCCCAGGCCCGAAACCGAAGTCACACAGCTGTGGAAGGCAAGGAAAGTACCGCTAGCCAACCTTGACTATTCAGCGATCACCATTTATACTGAGGGCACCACACTCATGTGCATGTTGCATAAACAGTTGTAAATTGAAGGTGCGCATGTAAAAATCTTATTGGTTGAAGGAATACTGAAGGCATGTGTCCGTGCACAAACACGAGAGGGCAATTACTTACCACATTCGAGAGCCCCGTGGACAGGACACACCACGTGCGCATACTGGATCGCAAATTCCATCATATGAATAGCTTGATTGTGGTACCAGCTGCCTATCAGGTTTGAACCAGCCAGCCAGCCCCAGCAAGCTCTGTGGTCGAGTGGTACTTGTAAGACCTCTGCTCTAGTAGGCAGGAGGTCATGGGTTCGAGTCCCACCTGACTAGTTTTGTGAATTTTTCTTTGCAATCACTTGGCACGACACTGAGCAAGCAGTATTTATAAAATACGTCAGTGAAGGGTGAAACCCTGTATTGAATTTACAATCACCTTGATGAAAATACCATCACATGAATTGTTTTACAGAGGCAGAAGCCAAGCTTAACACTTACCAGAAAGGCTTGCGCCTGCAGGGGCAGGGCAAGCATGACCAGGCCGTTTGTCTCTTCTTGGAGTTCATCGGCAAGGAGTATGAGAACACGGTGATTTACCGCGAAGTCCAGCGCTGCCTGACGGTTCTGCTGGAATCACTGGAGCATTGCCAAGGTAACAGTGTTGGGATAAGTTTGCATTATCCCAAAAGTAACCTACCAAATTATTATCAAACAGCTTACTTGGATTCAAGACCGTACCGTTATTACACACCCTGTTAAATTGTTCTGTCTAGCTTGCTGTCATGAAGAAATGCGGTATGTTTTACAGGAGTCTGAATAAGACTCTTCCCACAATGAAGGTATCAGATTGTAAACAGTACTGATGACTCCACTGCAAGAAATTGTTCAAAATCTGCAAGTAATACCTGATATAGCATGATACACAGTGGAACATCACTATACCGAACACCGTTATACTGCACATTCAGATATACCGAACATCATCCTTGGTTCCCAATTTTGCGTAAAAACGTACCGAACATTGTTGTTGAAAAATGTCAACAGAAGAGTGACAAGTGGCTGTTATTTCCCCAAGCCAAGGAATAGAAGGGGAAAGCCACCCATTGCTGTAGGTAGTAAGCACAAAAACTGTGTAATTACATGAGTCAGTAGTCGGCACGTGTTCAAAGTCGTCTTTCAGTAACTACCAGGGCGTGCAGGGTGAAGTTCTGAATGGCGCTATTTATTGAAAAGTGAGTACCGGAGCACCAGCAGCTTAAAATTACTATACCAAACGATTGCTATTACGAACAAATTCTGTGGATCCCACAATGTTCGTTATAGCGGCGTTCCACTGTGGTATGATATAACCAGACGTTGCATGAGATGTGTCATAACTACTCGTAGACGTCTTCATGCGATCCTGTTCGTAACCCACAGAGATCCCAGACACAGTCAAGTGTGGGGCCCCGCCCACCTTCTGGAACACCACGGTGCAAGAACTGGCCAACCAGAGCAAGTGGTGGAGCCTGTTCCTGCTGTTGGTCGGAGGGAGCTTCAGCGCCAACCGGAACGGTAATGGCGTGGCCCACGGCTGCGATGCATCTGGGGTGTCCATTGTGACATTCTTGGACCAGTGGGAGAGCATCAAGATGGCCCCAGGACGTCTGACCATGGTGAAAGCCTTGTTAGAAGTGAGTGTTGAACTGTTTTATCAAATTAATGGTAGAGCAGAAGCTGGTCTCTGGCCTCATGTATGTGAGGCGTTCTGGCACTATGAGATGGAACTGGGTACAAGTAAGAGCGGAGAAAATGAAAAAAAAACAGTATCATGAAAACATTACAAAACACTTGGCTAATACAGTGGAACGCCGCTATACTGATCACCGCTATACTGAACATTTGGCTATACCGAACATCATCCTTGGCTCCCGGTTATTATGTACAAAACGTACCGAACGTTGTTGAAAAAAGTCAACAGATTAACAAAAAATGTACCAGTTATACACGTATTAAACACTATTTGGGCCACTTTTAATTCCCGAACATCAAACGACCCATAGTTACATCGTGTTTGAATGTTGAACATGTTGAAGAGCGATAGATGCCTATTTTTCCCAAGGAATAGGAGGGAAAACCACCCATTGCTAAAGTTTCGTGACAAATCCTCTTGCGGTCGCGGGATGTGAGAAATGCCAGTTCACTATTGGTCAAAAGAGGGTACCACAGTTCAAAATCACTATACCGAACGATCGTTATTACGAACACTTTCTGTGGATCCCACGATGTCCGTTATGTAAATTCAGCTCTTGTAAAGGTTTGTTCCAAAATTGTCGACATGCCTAGGAACAGACCAACTGGTGTTGACGACAGATGATTTGTCTAAGTATGTAGCGATATTTTGTAAGGCGTTCTTGCTAAATGAGACGGAATGCACACAAAAATAACAAATGGGGATAATTTTGTTTCTTTGATTTTTAGATTGATTGATGTTATCTTTGATATGTCTACTTCACATAATTTAAAGAAACAGTATAAAAGTTGTTGAATTAATGTGTATTTTTTAAGAAAAAACAATTGGCATCTTTCACTTTCTTAAATACAAAACTCGAAAACTTTTAAGGCTTTTTTGTCAATATGCTACTCATTTTTGACATAAAGTAAATGCAAACTTTTAACAGCCAGAACTTGTGAATTGAATATCCGATTGAAGTGCAACAAACAGCATTGTAAGGAGAATTGTATTCTCTTTCCTAATACCAGCAAAACCTCATTTTGACCTTTGCCCAGTTCTGCCTCATTTTGCCAGAACACCTCACATATACCTACTTATCTGGGTGGTGAATAGCAATTGTGGTAAAGTGTCTTGCCAGAGAACACAAAATACCATATTCCTATCAGGATTCAAACTCATTGCACATGTGTCGGACACTCTTAACAACACTCTGAGCATTGGACCACAGCACTCCAGATAATTTTTGGTCATTTTTCCCGGCAGAATAAGGCCAAACCCGACGGCCTGTTGAATGACCCTGTGACCCCGTTAGTCCACTGTCTGCGGACGGAGAACTACGAGCTGGCCACTCTGCTCCTGACGTATGGCGCATCGCCCGCACTCCTAATCGTTGACCCCGGAGACACTCCACTTCACTCTGCACTCAAGATTGGCTTTAAACAGGATGGTAAGGGACAACTCTTGAAAGTAAAATAGATTTACACTCAATTACCAAGATGTGTATCAATCAAATCTAGTTTTCAACTCGTAGTACAGCAAACTAAGCCCAGCCATATTATTATGGTTTATTTCTGGTAATGAAATCAAGGATTCCTCAAAAGCGCCCCAGGCACTGTAGCTCGCAAGCCTTAAGAAACCTGTATGAGAGAAGACAATGAAAATAAGTTACAGTTTCAGAGGTGGGAGGGAAAACCCAGAAGAATATTTTGGGGGACAAATTGTAAACTGCATAAAAAGAAAAAATGTTAAGTGTTTTCTTTCAACAAAATCAAAACAATTCACATGCATCCCTATGAGAAATGTTTTCGTTTTGCTGAAAGAACACTTACTTTTTTTGGTCATCTGTGGACAGAACATTAAAACAATGTTTGTGTTCAAAATTCCGTAACTTGAAAACTCCATGAGTGATTTGAATGATTCTATTACTAAAAGAAAGCTTAATGACTGGGCTTTCATATCCTAGATTTTGAAAGTGCTACATGCTTTCAAAAATAAGTCCTGCCATTTGGTTTTCGTTTTTTTTACTCACCCTGTATATCTTTGGTAAAATTGTATTATAAGCTCCGTCCAGAAGTCTCTGGTTATTTTAACGTGCCACATTTTGGCCTTACCGGTACAGATCGTAAATTTGCCGTGCTGGAACTTCTCCTGACGAAATACTCCGCAGACCCCACCGGCACCACCTACCTGGACAAGAACGCCCGAGACCGGGCGGGGAACACGCTGTTCCACCTGGCCCTCACAGGGGGCTCCAAGAACCAATCATTTAACGCCATCAAGGTCCTGAGCCAGCACAAGGTCAACCCCTGGCTGCGGGACCATGGAGGCCGGGTACCGCTCAGGATGGTGACCAACAAAGACCGGCGCTACATGTTCCTGGCCGAGGCAGCCAAGTACTACGACAGTACCAGTGAACCTGCACAGAGTTCATCCAGAGGTAAAAATAATCCACAGATGGAACAAATCTGTGGAAAGCCTGAAATAAAACCTTTCTGGCCTTTAACAAAGCGTTTAGATTTAATAGTAAGGGGCCATTAAAATTTTGATGTTTTTAGATTTGGAATTTTTTTTTCGATTTTTTTTTCCAAAATTTTTGATGTTTTTAGATTTAGAATTTTTTTTTCAAAATTTGTTTGACCCACCCACCCAATCCGATTTTCGATCTTAAAATATTGACTTTTTAATCAATAAAAACATAACACATGTCCAGTTCAGTGACGGCAGAATGCTGTATGTATATGGTACCTTTACACCAATGACAAGGCCAACCCGTATTTCAGAACCGGCTCTTTTCAGAACCACACATACTCACAAAAGAGATTTTGCCACATGGTGCTACCACAACAACTTATCTTATCAACATTATTCATTTATAACATAACTTTTACTCTAACTTTTATCTTTTTTTGCGGTTGCATAGAGTCTAACCAGAGTGGTGCTGATGGCATCCATGTTTCTGGCGTCCCAGACGATTGGTCCAAGGCAGACAGGGGACCGGGACGGGACGGCCACCACCAGCAAGCAACAGCGAGAACAGCCGAGCACGTGCCCCGCAAGGAGAAGCTGCGTCGCGAAGTAGAGCTGCTACTGAGTGCCATGCCAATATATGTCCCGCAGCAAACAGGACTAGACCAAGCAGGAACCACTGTGACAGCGACACTGTCGAGAAGCGGCCCGCGACAAGTTGAGAACAGGGAAGAGGCCTCAAGGAAAGAAAAATTGAGACAGGATGTTGAAGATGAAGGTGAGATAATAGAGAGACGTCCAAAAAATTGTGACAGGTATCAATAATCTTTGGGTAGGGTGACTTCAGATGACTTGAGACATATGAGGTCAAAGGTCATCTAGGGGTCAAATGAGGTCATTGTTGTTTTTTGTTATGTAAACTGAAAAGTGCTGTCATATGAAAAGTCAGACTTCACTCTCAACCAAACTTTGTGACAATCTTTGGGTAGAGGGACTTAAGATGACTAGAGATATTTGTGGTCAAAGGTCATCTAGGGGTCAAATGAGGTCATTGTTGATTTTGGTCAACTGAAAAGTGTGCTTACTAACTGACTGTATAAATACTGCCAGCATGCCAGGGGGATCACGCACGTTTTACTTGCAGTATTTTTTTAAATTTTGCAATTCGTTTTGCATATTTGTGATCCTAAATATGTCTAAAATATACTGAGGAAGTTTCAGACTGTAATTTTGGCTCTAGAAATGAATCGTTTAAAGATGATTTGAAGAGATTTATCCAAATTGGTGACAGTCAATTTTCTCTGTTTTCACTCTTGTGATGTAACAAATTCCAAATGGGTATAATTTTGCCAAGAAAAGTCCGAAATTACAGTATCAAAGATATTTACAGTATCAAAGATATCGAAGTATATTGACATTGATATTATGAACATGCTAGTGCAATGAAATTATTATATGACCATTCTAAGCCAATGAAATTACTGTATCTGAGACATTGGTATCTGTGCAGAAGTACCCCCTCAACGGTAAGAAAGGGAGAGTTGAGGGAGACCTCTGGGAGAAACATTCAAACGCTTGCCGACATCACCTGATGCTCATGTGAAGAAGCTGTGGCTTTGTGCACATTCAGACCGAAATGAGTCGTGCATACTTTGTGCTATACTGTCGCGAACTAGTATGAATGTATAAACACTGCCTTATGGGGTACCGGAACAATGGGAGGTACCCCACAAGGAATGCCCACTGACTTGCGGGGTACCGTTTTGGTACCCCACAAGTTTTTCACAAAATAGATATATGGATTTTACTCAAACTAGGAATTTCCAAGGTGGGTTGATCCGTCGCAAGTGGAAGAGTTTTAGAAAAGGGATATGAAGTCCGAATTTCAGCCCAGGAAATTAATTCTGGTTAAAATAAGAGCATTTTGACATTAGTGTGCGACATCGCAAAATTTTAGTACACGAGAACAAAGGAAGTACCCGACTTCTATGCCTTGTAAGTGTGGGTGTGCACATGGTGCGTCTCGTCCACTGGGCTTTCGAAAGTGGTCAAAAAGCATCCTCGCTTGTGTGCGTACGGAGCCCATTGAGTATCTCTTGTGTTTCTGTTGCTTATCACAGAAGAAAAGATGGATGAAGAAGATGAAGAGGTAGATGATGATGACGACGATGATGAAGTAATGGGGGCCATTGATGCAACAATCTTTGATGATTTAACCTGGGAGGTAGAGTGCACTGCAAAGGTATGTGTCTAATGAGCTCTCTGCACAAAGTTTTTCCTCAATAGCACAAAAAAACGTGAACCAAACCAACAAAATAGTTGACCAGTCACCAGAGTTAGTTTTGAGTTGTTGAACCATCGCAAATCCTGCTCAGTGGAAATTTCTATGAGTATTAAAGGAAAAGTGAATATTGCCACCTAAATAAAACGTTCATTTTTCAGTATAGGAAAATTTTATTTGTAGACAGCCCATAAATTATTAGCTAATAAAGCTAATGGTAATAAAGTAAGAAAAATCTAAAAAAAAAAACACTCTTGTAAATTTCCAATTTGCTTAAACAAAAACATCAAACCGCCCTCTCCACCAAAACAAGGATTAAATCACAAAAAAACTACTTATACTAAGACGTCGAACTGAGTAATATATCAAAATATAGACTTAGATATCTTCTTTCCACTGCACAAGAAACCACAGTATATTTAGGCGAGACACCAAAAATACATTGACCGTTCGCACGCGTGCGCACGCCAGGAACGCATCCCTTTGTTCCAGCTACGTCCTGTTCGCACGCGTGCGAACGCGTGCGAACGGCACTCCCGTTCTGCACGCGTTCCATTACAACAAAAGGCCAGTTACAGTCTGTGCACACAGGAAGAACTCAGCAACACTAAAAGTATGCGAAGAAAAATGTGTTTAGTCCTCGCCAGAGGAATGTTACATGTACTATAAACTGGCACCATCATGGGCAAGCAGCGTCATCGGGAAAAAAATTGTTGTGTAAAAATAACCTTGGAGATTTAATCCAGGCACAATCTATCATGGAACAATCCCAAGAAACCTAACTCCGTTTTTATTATGCTGAACAGTAACGATGTACCCTAATACTGAGCCTGACCTAATTTCGATTTAACGCATTTCTTTTGTTAATTTAGTAGAACGCTGATTGTTATACTGGCCGGCAGCTACATTCCAGAAGTGACTCCATGCACCTGCCTTGTATCAACAAAGATATACACATTGTATAATTTTTTAAGGTCCGCTGTCTATCATTGTGTAGAAATATATTTTGGGATTTGACTTCAACTCAAGGTGTTTTTTTTCTGTTCGTCCAGTCCAACAGCATTATTTTATTTCGAGTACCCAGCCTAGGGATTAACCTAGATATATATTGAACCTAGACGGGATTTTGTTAAAGCCCTGTCCGTCCGACCGCGTTATTATTGTTACATGTATTACGATTATCCAGCACATAAACCCTTCCCATCTGAGCATTATTTTTTATTGCAACCTGCAGCGCAAAGTGTTTTTCCGCCCCGTCCAACCGCGTTGTTATTATATTTATTCCGAGTATCCAGCCTACAAAAAGTATTAACTCTTTCCATTTCGGCGTTCTTTTTATTGGAACCTGGACCAGAAAGGGTTTCTTTTTTCGCCCCACCCCAGCGACCGCGTTATTATTTTCATTCCGAGTATCTCAGCATTATTTTTTATTGGAAACTAAACGAGAATTTTTTTAAGCCCCTCCCAACCGCGTTATTATTTTTATTCCGAGTATCAGCATCATTTTTATTGGAGCCTAGAAGAGATTTGTAATTCTTCAATTATTTAGGGTTTATATTATGTTATTATTATTTATATTTATTTCAATGCAGGACCCTAGGCCTAATGAAAACCACCTTTTTACTGTTCTGGTTAATCCTGGATAAATAAACGTTTAAATCTATAAATAAATAAATGGGTTTCTTTTTCGCAGAATGAAAATAATATAACGCGGTTGGGCGGGGCAGGAAAAAATCGATGATGGGCCTATGCAGGCTGGGCACTCGGGAAAAACGCGGTTGGGTGGGGCGGGGAGAAAAGGCCTTTCTGATCCAGGTTCGTCTTTCTATGCACGCACGGTAGCGTGAAAGTCCGACATCAGCCGATTATGTATGACGTTCACAGGGATACCAGCGCAGCGTATTATGATGTACACGCTGGTACCCTGCTATCTTTTGTATGCACATGTAGTTTCTCATCAAGGGGAAATCCCTTTTCGCACGCGTGCACAGCTCACCGGCAGTTGCTGGAAATTGCCTCCGACTTGTTTGTTTGTTTTTAATTCTGGTGCATATTTTTGGAAACAGATGAGTAAAACAAGTTCCTGAAACCATGAGATATAAATTCAGCCCGCATCTGGGTGACTTTGATCCTGCTGCGTTTAATTCACAATTATTTGTGCACGTTGGTGTAGTAATCGAAACTATACAACGCAATACATCTCAAGTCTCAAGGCAGCTTGAACTAGGTAAGTTTCGCATATTGATACACATTCACGTACGATTATTTGTTCTGATTTAAAATCTTCATCCTTTCTTTTTTTAGGCACAGCAAAATGTTATAACTTGACTGTTATTTATACCATCATTATAAAATCTCCAACATGAAGGCCCTATAACTCAAATTTTGGTGCGATTTTGTCTTTTGCTTTTATATCTTGCGTCAAAATAAAGTTTCGTTTATTAGTCTCGTTTAATAATACAAAATAATATCTTACTTGTTACTGCTTTTCCTTGAATACAACAAAAACAAGCAAAATAAAATAAATGTACATGTATACGTATCTTCTTCGAAAAAATATCCTTTTTCTTTTTATTTAAGTGAAGGCTCTGGTGACAAGTCGGCACTGGATGGACAGCATGAACTGGCTGATTTTAGGGTACATTAGCTGTTGCTCATGATCATCATCGTATACATGTACATGTATATTTGAAAAATACAACAATATTTCTCGGATTAATTTGTCAACTACTATACTTTAATAATACAGAATATAGTATTAATAACACAGAGCGGTACTTACTTTTTTGACAAGGACAAAAATGCTCATACATTTGTTGGATGTTTTGAAAAATCCTTGTCTGCAGAAACTACAGACCATGATATGATTGATGGCAAGTAAAATTGACGTCGGAGCTGACTCATTTCAAGTACACTTCTGCAAATGATGATTATTGCGATAGTTTAAATGAAAAAAAAACAATCAACTTATTCAGTGAAAACATTTTATAAACAGCTGTAGAGACGTACATCTTGTGAAAAATATAGCTTTTGAATTTAAATACATAAAATTTGCAAGTCATTATAATGTAATAAATATGATAATACGCGTTGTCAGTGTTTTTCTGAGTTTCTTGATCCGGTCTGCTCAGACTATGCAACGTAGTAATAAATGGTTGGCAAACAATTATCTGATGTATATTTATTATCCGATATATAATTTTCAGCCACAAAACGATTAAAGGTACAATTTAGATAACGCCTGTCTGATTAAAAAAAATGATTCACATTAATTATAAGCCTGCTCATTTTGTCACGACGGAACGTTTATCTGTGTGCCTTTCTCTTGTGGTCAGCAACATCTTTCTTGCTGGTGAACACATATCTGCACCCCTCCTCTTTGCAGCGCCCCAATGACTTTTGATTGAACAAGGGCATGTGTTCGCATGGGGGCTGTCTGGTGTCGCGAATGGCCTCCATAAAGGTCAAAAAATGACCTGGATGTTCGGTTGATGGAATAGGCGTCGGGAAGCTGCGCACACACTGCAGCATATCATCGGCAACTGGAAGGTTGGATGAGCAATGTCATTCATGTGGGTTGACACATGACATGGGTTCTGGGGACTCCGGTTGATGATAGTAGCCCTCGATCTTTTGGGGAGACTAAAAAGAACACAAGTTTGGAAAAAAATAGAATAGGTTAGTATAATAGATCAAATATTGTTACACTGACAAGTTTGAAGGTTTGTGTTCGAAAATGCTGGGAAAACCAAGAAAAACAAAAAATGTTCCAGTATTCTGGTTCCCTGACCCCACCAAAATGAAACTGTGAATCGATTTATAGATGCCGGAAAAATGTAAGGTAAGGAAACCAATCTAGCTGGCCTGCACCCGTTCATGAACATGTAACCGATAGCAAATAAAATTTGGACTGAAAAAAAGGGTAAATTTTGAGCAGTAGTTTTGTTTTCCAATGTTTGCAAATGTTGTATATTCCCTTTAATATCGAAATGTTCTCGGGCGGAATACCCTGGGCAGTATAACATAAAAAAAAAAAAAACATACATGTATTATTTAAATTTAATTCAAGTGACAATTTAAGTTGACTTACTCATACTGGTCCCGTCCAAGATTATCTCTGGTTAGCGTAGATGGAGACGGGGGAACCATCTGAAGGTAGCCACAAGGAACAATGAAGTACCCGGGAGTGGGGAAGTCGTGGTCAGGGAGGTTGGGGCAGTCATCAGCCGGAAAGAATCGATTAAGCTGGATGCGCCGGTTCACAGCGGCCACCTGGTCGCCAAGAAGAATTTTGTTTTTATTGTCAACGGAGTAGACCATGGACGACTCATGGAATTTGGAGGCCAACTCCAAGGCGTACCTCAACCGTGAAGAGTAGAAGTGACTGTTGACGTTCTGCTTCCGGACGGAGTTTTCTTTTGCATGTACTCTAGCGTCTATGAGGCCTTGGTACTCCATTGATGCCTTGAAGCTTTTATTGGGAGGCTTCATCCATCTTGCTATAGTCCGAAGGCCTACGATTGGGAAAAGTTTTTATTGTAGCATATATACATGTAAAGGGACAAATTATTTCCTTGAAATAACTTTAAAAATTTCCTTATTCATTTTGTTTCATAAAGCCAAAAAAATCTCCGATTTCGCTGGTCTTACGATACCGTTTTCTCTTGATTTTTGTCTTGACTATTTAAAGCACATTTCCTGAATAATGCTCGGGAAAAACGGAAACTTTTTTGGCCTAACGAACGATTAAGTATTACTATTTTCCTTTATTAAAAAAAAAACGGAAAAGAGGGGCCTGCTCTTATTTCTTTCATATCGAATTTCACCAACAAAAACAGTCATTTTTCTGTTTGTGCCCCAAATTAAAAGCCAATTCTCTGATGATTTTTTTTTTTAAGTAAAAAAAAAGGGACTTAATTATATCAGGTTGGATTAAGACATACAAGTTGAAAAAGTTTCAGTAATATAAAAAAGAGATTGGTTTAAGAGCACGGGAAACACAGTCTTTAATGTATATACAGTATTTAAAAATTTGGTCGGTCCACCTTCAAGTTGGGCATGGTCTGAAGAAGATGTTGCCTCACTTGATGGAGGGTTGATCCACAAGTACCCGTGTCTTCTTGTCGCCGACGATGTGCTCGGAAACTGTTGCCTTCGACAAACGATCTGGCAACATCCACAATGCCGGGATAAAGCTCTCTCACTGCAGGACGACCCTTTTCCCTCCCTGCCTTAGGTTTGGGCCTCGGCTTTGCAACTTTGCGTTTCGGACTAACCAAAAGACAGCTGATATCAACATTTGGCCGGTTAGCCAGAATCTCTCGAAGTGGGCAACTCATACTTAAACGAACGAACACTTTCTAGAACTAAAGTAAATATGCAACTGTATGCGAATGTAACATAGGGTTCATAAACAGTACAAGTATGTTCTTTGCCTTGCCTAGGTATTCTCCAGGGATTAACGAGTGACGCGCGCTGACAATTAGCCAGATTCAATTGAAACCCAAACCCACCCCACTCTGTCCTCCTTTGCGGAACCATCAAACAACTTTAACAATGACATTTAGGGCTACGAATTGTCGCGGTAACGCCTTGTGATTTGGTTCGTGTAAAGGGCTATGAATTGTCGCGGTAACGCCTTGTGATTTGGTTGCGTTGGTTCCAAACAAAAGAGACTGAACTACGAACCAATCAACATGAGCGAGTCATCCTGTGGTTTACTATTTGGCAAAATTTCAGTCTTCTATTCAGAAAGTTCCAGAAACATGCTTCGTTTCTTTAGAGTCGTTTGAAAGCCTGTCCCCGTCTTATTTTGAAACAAAATTGTATCGAGTGCAGACGCCTTCTAAACACTCTTGCTTGTAAAGATGTCTACCAACAAAATTACCATCAGGTGGCTTAATGCAAAATGGCATGGCATCGAGGAAGATGTTGCTAAGAGCAGGGTGAAATCTCGTCATCCCCTGGAAATCGGCATGGAGGTGCAAGTGAGCTACAAATCCAATCATCACAGGGCAGAAATTGTACGGATCGGTGACAAAAGTAAGTACAACATGTGTTTCATTGTGCCCTATGGCAGGTAACCTATCATGGCTCCCTATGAGATTTCTATCAACCGTGAATTTGAAACCCCGCCAACATTCCCAAGCCCCAGCCCACCAAGGATTCCACGGGCCCCGCCAGCGTTCCCGAGCCCCAACCCAGCAAGGATTCCACGGGCCCCGCCAGCGTTCCCGAGCCCCAGCCCACCAAGGATTCCACGGGCCCCGCCAGCGTTCCCGAGCCCCAACCCACCAAGGATTCCATGGACCCCGCCAGCGTTCCCGATCCCCAGCCCACCAAGGATTCCATGGACCCCGCCAGCATTCCAGAGCCCCAACCCACCAAGGATTCCACGGGCCCCGCCAGCGTTCCCGAGCCCCAGCCCCAGCTCACCCTTCCCCAGTTTCAGTTCGAGCCGATAGCTGATTTTGATCTGGATCTCGATCTGTCGGCGATCACCGGGGCCAGCACAGAAAGTCCCCTCATCCAACTTATGACGTCACAACTTGCGATGGTGATCGCCAAGCTGGATCAGCAGTCAACCGAGACAAAAGAGCTGCATGGAGAGATACGAGGGCTTCAGGCAGAGGTAAACGAGCTGCGGGCAGAGGTACGAGAGCTTCGGTCCGAGGAGAAGAACGCCTCAAGTATCACCAGTGAACATCGGGAGCCACAGTACGTCATTGCCGACAAGCATCTCAACACAGTGGTAATAGGCACACCGAACAATGCCACCCATACAATGGACAAGGACACTTACGACAAAATTTTCGACAAGGTGGACAACCCCAAGGACTTGATCGTCAAATTAATGGCAGAAGTTTTCACCCCAGAGGAACTCGCCAAATCAAATTACCATGGCGGTGTTATCTTCAATGGCAAAAAAAAGGTCACCAAAGAATGTTTGAGGAAGAAGCCCAAGTTCATTGCAATAATGTCGCAAGCGGCCATTGAATTCCCAAGACACAAAATTGACGAGAAACTGCAAAAAGCACTGAAGGATGCAGTCAATGCAAAATGTAGAAAAAAGTCTTCCATGTTAAGATCGTAGGCTGTAGGCAAGATCAGGGCGTATTTGCAGATTTTGTTTATAGTTGATTGACAACGATTTATATCTTTTAGCGTTTTGTAAAATCGTAAAACCCACCACCTGATTATGCATAAGTTACTCTCTTCCAACTGTAATGGATGGATGTTTATTTCGAGCACCTGAAACATTAATGTCCAATCGACCATGCATATTTAAATTAAATTCTGACTTTATACAATAATCATCTTTAATTATTGAGATTATTTGAGAGCTGTGACAAATAAATAAAACAAAACGCTTGAACCGGATTTCAATCGTGTATTATGACCTTTATTAAATGATTGATTTTAATTTATAAAACCAAATAGTAATTTACACCAAACTGTAATGCTTGTTCCTCTTATTTTTCGAGAATCAAAGAAAGTCACATTTGCAATAACCATTGAAATTTCATTTATCAAAAAATATATACATGTAATAATAAGAGATTGCCAAATCCCTATTTTATTTCGCCAACCAATACCGCGGAATTTTTAGTCCGAGTATCCAGCCTAGCCCACCAAAAAATATTAACCAATGGCTTCCCATCTCAGTTTCTTTGTTGAAATCTTGACTACGTGGGTTTTTTTCTGCCCGGCCCGACCTCGTAATTATTACTTTTTATTCCGAGTAGGCAGACCACAAAAGATATAAACTCTTGCGTCTGGTTTTATTTTTCACCCCGCCCAATCGCGTAATTTATTTTTTTATTCCGAGTATCCAGCCCACCAAAAAATATTAACCCTCCCGTCGAGGTTTTATTTTTCACCCCGCCCGACCGCGGAATTATTATTTTTATTCCGAGTATCCAGCCCACCAAAAATATTAACCCTTCCGTCAGGGTTTTATTTTTTATTTTTCACTTGCCCGACAGCGTAGTTATTAATTTTTATTCCGAGTATCCAGCCCACCCAAAAAATATTAACCTCTCCGTCGGAGTTTCATTTTTCACCCCGCCCAACTGCATAATTATTATTTTTATTCCGAGTATCCAGCCCACCAAAAATATTAACCCTCCCGTCGAGGTTTTATTTTTCACCCCGCCCGACCGCGTAATTATTATTTTTATTCCGAGTATCCAGCCCACCAATTTGTTTTTTAACCCCTTCCGTCGGTTTTTATTTTTCACCCCGCCCATAACCGCATAATTTATTTTTGTATTCCGAGTATCCAGCCCACCAAAAATATTAACCCTTCCGTCGGGGTTTTATTTTTCACCCCGTCCGACAGCGTAATTATTATTTTTAGTCCGAGCATCCAGCCCACCCCAAAAAATATTAACTCTTTCCGTCGGGGTTGTATTTTTAACCCTGCCCAACAGCGTAATTATTTTTTTTTATTCCTCGTTTCCAGCCCACCAAAAATATTATCCTTTCCGTGGGGTTTTATTTTTCACCCCGCCCGACCGGATAATTATACATTTTTTATTCCGAGTATCCAGCCCACCCAAAAAATATTAACCCTTCCGTCGGGTTTTATTTTCACCCTGCCTGACCGTGTAATTATTATATGTTTTATTCCATATCACGCCTGCCGAAATATGGAGCTTGGGCCAGGCATACTTTTTTTTTCATTCGTTTATTTATCACAAGACAAGAATATATACGGAAGTGCTCAGTTGGCGAGGTCAGCAAATCAAATGGTTACGAGTTATTCGTGTTACAAAAGAAGAATAAATCTGATCAAACTCCACATGAATCCTAAAACCCTGGAATGTCTATGATTTATTTATTGCTGGCACCAAAGTTTTTTGCCCACAAGAAAATGTACTTCGCATCTTTCTTGTGATGTTCCCGTTCTCGCACGCAAAGGAACGGTGCATAATACCCTCTCTGTGAAGCCAGTGAGAGAACGGGATGACGAACGTGTGCGGAACGCAGTTTGGCACGCAAAGGAACGGGAAGGCGTGCAGAACGGGAAGGAACCCGTGCGCACGCGTGCGAACGGTCAATGTATTTTTGGTGTCTCGCCTTAACCAGTTGACGTCGGATGACGTGTATACATGCAAAGATTTTGCGATATTTGGAACGGATGACGGATAAATCCCTAACTAGCGAGGCTGGAAATATCTGTCAGTGACCCGCTCGCAGGGTGTGCTACCCGCAGATGACAGCCTGGGCAAGACATCGAGGTTCGTGAAAAACAATCCCGCGTCTGGGTCCAGTTAATGTCAAATAAATACCGACACCAACTGGTTAAAAGACAACCCCAAGCTCATTTCTTGGATTCCAATCACATAGTTGTGGTTCTTAGTCTTAATTGGTACTACGTATGAGCTGCGACCATCAAATGGCAAAGCAGAGATACCCTATGCTGATATGTGTTTTGGTTCAGCATCTAGCTTTTCACTAATTAACGGTTTCCGGTTTTCCTCCATATCCCAAGGTCTGGAAGTTCCTGCACGACAAGCTGGTCCTCCACAGCCTGAAGGAGACGGCCATCCGCAAGATCCAGATGCTGGGAAGCGGGGACTGGCGAGTGCGTCTCTGTAAACCCCTCGAGGGCCTGCCCAAGCAACACGACATGAAGCTGTACGAAGCCCGGCTGACTAAAGGCGGCCGCATTCTGTGGGAGTTGGCGATAGCGTTCTCGCCTCGCTGCAGCGAGGAGTCTGAAAAGAGGCTTGACTCGGGTACGGACAAATCTTGGGGGTTTTTATTTTTAATTCTAGGACAAAACTCAAGCAAGCAAAGTGAAAAGGTACCTTTTTGGGGACTTAAATTACAGAGTTTGTATTGGGAGCTCACAACGCTGTTACGGTGTCTTTATCAACTGGCGTTGAGGCCCTCACGTGACCTGTCATGTGACCATGTTTGATCACATGACACATGGGCCAGCTCGTACCCTCCATCTCGGTTCACATGGGTGCGGTGCCTGCGGATTTCTACTGTGTCAGAGATTTTGCATTTCCAGAGGTCGTCCTCCCTGGCAATCTTAACATTGTCCACGAAGATGCTATGTCCTGGGGTGGATATATGTCCACCAACTGCTGTCAGTGGAGCTGACGTGCTGGTGTTCTCTGTATCGGGTCTGCAGAGTGCGAGCTGTTTCACCGATATAAGTGTCTTCACAGCCATCACACAATATTCTATACACAAGACCACATTTCTTGAGGTCTGCAGTCTTGCCCGTAGGCTGATCAACTGGGAGCGAAGGGTGTTCAATGGTTTATGTGCTACCATGACACCATGTTCACGAAACACACACTCCAGCTGTTCAGAGAGACCTCGGATGTATGGAAGAATGGCCATAGGTTGGTGCTTGGCATTGGTAATGGTCTTAGAGGCAGCTCCAGGTGTTGGTTTCTTTTTAGGGATCATGAACTCCCACGGTTGGTACCCCTTGGCAGTGAGAGCCCTTTTGATGATGTGGAACTCAGTCTTATGGTCCTCCTTCTCTGTGATAACCAGGTGGATCCGGTGGCAGAGTGTGAACCACTGACCTTTTGCGCGCTAGATGACGATTGGAACCAAAGCTCAAATATTGGTCAGTATGGGTCGGCTTCATGTGACCAGACATGGTCACGTGACAGGTCACGTGAGAGCCTCAACAACACCAGTTGATAAAGACACCGTGACGGTGTCGCACGCTCCTGATACGAGCTCTGTACTTTTCAGTCCCAAAAAGGTAGAGTTCCATTTACTTGATTCAATAATGGTACTGGAAACAAACTTTCATGCTCGGAAACTTAAGCAGTTTCAATTTTTTGTGAGCACTTGTGCACTTTTTAAATGTGAATTATTGTCTGATTATTATTTCAGGAGACGGCGCTTCGGAGCCTACAGCAGTGGCCGGAGGACGAGTGTACTCGGAGATAATCCGCATCTGGGACATCGTACCGGACCACCCTAAGGTGACGCATGCAATCAAGGTGATCGTCAAATCGGTGGAGCGAGGAGAAGAATGCATCATCCGCAAGAAACTGATAGGCATCAGCAACAAATCGCCCACGGGTAAGAAGTTTGTTCCAACTGTGATGTGGTCCGACGGCATTTTGTTCACTGCAGGGTGCATCCCCAGTCAAAAAAAATTCCCATAGACACCAGTGAAAAATCCCCATACTTCAAAATTCTTTTAAAAATACTCAGGACTCTCACAGGTGTTCAGGCTGCACAGAAAATTGATGATCAACATGTCCTATCTTTCATTTTCTGTTCCATTTTTGGTGGGCTGACCTTTAACTGTGTGGAGAAATTTTCAGCCAAAGAAGACCACCCCTTAAAACGATTGATGTTTCCCAAACTGGAAGAAGTAGCCATTTTGAAGAAGGATCCCTCCACAACATGGGTAAACAGCACCACTTTCGGACCCAATTGCATCCAAAATGCTCAGAATTGCTAGCCCCAAGTCTAGGCTAGAGGTGCAGTGCCATTTGTCTTCAATTCTTCAATTCCATGGCTCTCAGAAGTTTCCAATAGAGAATAATTTGAGTATATACCTTTTATTCATGAGCTCGTCGGACAGATTTTTGGCCTATTTACTGGGGTGTACACCAAGGGGCCAGGATAGATGGTACCTAGGTTGAAACTAGAGAGGCACTTTGACCTGAGGGTGTGCAAACAGACCACAAACTAGACAAGTCATTTGATTGTACGATGCATGCTGTGAAGTGCTTTGTGGCTTTTTGTACGCCCAAGGGAAGTAAAGAATTACAGAAAATGACAAGTACGCAATATATCTGTCTGCCTTGGCTTCACAGGAGGCACAGCAGCGCTTCGCCTGCCGACCTACTTCCAGGAGGTCACAGGAAGCTCACCCGATCGCCGCACCAAGGCCCTAGACGACTCCAAGAAGATCCCGAGACCCTTCTTCCCCCCGGCGAGCTCCAGGGAGAACGAGTACCACATCATGAAGTTCTACTCCGTCAACTCCACGCTGGTCAACGCCATGCTCAACGACAGCAACGTCAAGGTGGATTTCCCGTTCCGTGTGACGGAGCTGGAGCACGCCATCATCAACCTGCAGCCCAGGCCCCCGTCCTCCATCCTGCTGCTGGGCAGAAGCGGAACAGGTCAGAAAATTGTGAATTTTAGTTCCCACCTGTGGCTTGTGGGGTACTTGCACCTTGCTTGTTGCCATTTTTTTACAGTGTCGGGGGGAGGGGGGGGGGGAGAAGTTGGCAACTTTCTTACAGTCCCTCCTGTTAGTGCTGCGTGGGGTGCTGTTGCCCAATGCATGGTTACGGTGTTTGACTCTTGTGCCGTGGTATATGGGTTGGAATTCTGACCGTGGGAATATGGTGATTGTGCTCTTGAGCAAGGCACTTTACCATTTTTGCTTCGTCCTTCGGATGGGACGTAAAGCCGTAGGTCCCGTGTGTTGTGTAGTGCACGTTAAAGAACCCAGTAACACGTATCGCTAAGAGAAGGGGTTCACCCCGGTGTTTCTGGCAGTGGCTGCAATATGCGCCGCAGCACCTTGGAAACCCTTATAAGGTGCTACATAATGGGTCTCATATTTCTCATAAACTTCATTTGCCTGTCTTTAATAATAGACATAATTTCTTGCCCCTTGAGTAACTAATTGTTGGTAGATACGTGCGCTATATAGGACTTCGGTATTATCACTATACGTCTTCGATTGAGGAGCTAATGGCAACACACAAGGGATATCATGATCACAGTCGGACTACAGTGTATGAGTCATACTTTATTAAGAGCTCCCAGTCTACATAAAACAGGATTCACTGGCTGTGACTGTTCATGTAACTTGATACAGCTATGCTTTGACTATAGGTGATTGATAAGCAAGCTGTGCCTACCACTTGCCTGTTTTTTTTTTCTGTAGACTGAATGTGACTAGTCACAGTGGTAGTGTGAAACATGATCTGACTGTTGGTGACTAGCCTGTGTAAAGGCAAGGCAGGGGAAGAGGATTGATTTTTTTGACTGTCTGTGACTGTTCAGGCACCAGGAGGGTTAATATATGTCTTTTAAAATCGTGAATGTGTAGGTTCTTTTCATGTGTAGGTTCTTTTCATTTTCGTTTGTCTTTGCAGGCAAGACCACGTGCTGCCTGTATCGCATGTGGACCAAATTCTTTAAATATTGGCAGCAGGTTTCCATGACTGGCGAGCCCTTGATTCCGAGAGATATTGCCTTCATTCACCAGGACAAGCTGGATGAAGAAGAAGGTAAGAATAACCCGGAAACACCTCACTTCAACTCTTGCCAAAATCAATATCTCCTCAAAGGATGCAACAGAGTCAGTTTTCTAACAAAGTTTCTGTTAACAGCACGAGGTTCAGTGTGTGCCGTCCCAAAAGAGTTTTGAAACGTGTTTTGTTTATGTGTTTAATTTGAACGGTTTCATTACAGATGGAAGTGACACAGACAGTGACAGCGCCAGCGCATCCAACAAACCCAGGCAGGCCTACCGCCGTGGCTCAGATACCCGCCGTGGTTCTTACGACTTGCGGAGTGCTGAGGCCTACTCCTCGGCGTCGGTCAGCAGCCACGGTGACGCTGACGCGGACGAGAACGTTGACGCCCCGACGATCATGGACCACCTGCACCAGATCTTTGTGACCAAGAATGCTGTGCTTTGCAGCGAGGTCCAGCGCAACTTCTGCGACATGAGCCACGCTTGTGAGTTTGCCGCCGAGCCCTTGGCCCAGCAGGACACGCCCATCCCTCACCGGTTCCAGGACGCGCACCAGGCCCGATTCCCCTTGTTCCTTAGCTCCCGCCAGCTGCTTCTGATCCTGGACGCCTCCTTGCCCAATTCTTATTTCCCTCGCGCGGCTGACGGATCGATGAAGCGGAAAATACGGGGATGGGACGAAGGTAAGGAAAGATAAGATTATGTGAACAACGAACTGATGAGCTTCAGAATAATGCATGATAACACCTAACACAGTGACCTGTCTCCATAAAATGATCCTCAAGTTGTACATCGCCTTTGGTTGGTTGGTTGTTTCTTAAATTTGTAGTTATTTGATTTTTGTTTGTGTTTTAGGGGTTTGTGTTTGTCTTTCAAAAACCATTAAACCTGCGGTGTGTGATCGTACTGAAATGTACTGACATTGTCAGTACATTTTTTAATAATTTATAATGACTCCGTATTTTTTTCGTCCAAAAATTTCATGCTCTACAAGTTACCTATTAGCTTAAAAGCATCATGAGTGCCCCTTTAACCCTGGGTGAACTTTTGACCCAGAATTTCTGAGGCAAAGATCAGAACCAGGCCAACTCCCATAGGATTTGTATGGTCCAGCTCCAACCACAAGGCTTGTGAAGTATAGCTGCTGTTATCACAAGGCCATCAATCATGCTGTCATTATGCCTAGTCTTGGAGCCTGGAAACAGGTGGTCTTCATCCTTGTTAGCTATATACATGTAGCCTCAGACTGTTGCAGTGGGGGGGGGGGGGGGGGGGGGGAAGGGCCGGGCCAGTTAAAAATAAGTAAAATTAAACAATGGCGGCTCACATGAGACCCTTTAGTGACCTAAACTGCCCTGCCTATTACTGCACTCTATGGTTTTCTGGCTTTTTTTTCCAGGAATACATGTCAACAAAAATGTAATTCACTGTAGTGCAGGTGCTAATCCGTTAGTCTGACATTTTTTTTCCCAGAGGATGGACCTTTGACTTTTATCCCACTGATGGATGACGAGGATGAGGAGGACGAAGACCACACCCCGGCAGCTCTTGGCGAAGACGTGATGCAAGACGGTGAGGCCAACCCCAACGCACCGCGCGGCCTGGGCGGACAGCACGAGGCTCAGGGAGGCGGGGGACAGGCCGCCAAGTATGACCCACGACGTGAGGTCACCTATGAGGTCTTCGCCTACGAGCTGTGGCCTCGCATCAACAAGAAGAAGCTGCCGTACCACTCTACACTAGTGTGGATGGAAATCAGATCCTTCATTAAGGGTAAGAGAGAGAGCGTGGAAAAATATTATCAGACAATGGAACTTCTTCAAACTGGCGATATCGATGTCAAAATACTATGAAATAATCGAGTAATATCGATATATCGAAGTATCGAAGGTGCTTAGTATATAGTAGATGTATGGTGGCCAAACTTGCCAATGTGTCACCTTTCTGAAAAGCAGTAAGTACATCTGTGTTGAGGGTGTTCTGTGTGTGGTTTGCTGGTCGACTAAAGTGCCTATAGTAAGCAAGGGGGGTAGTTCCTTGTCGACAAAAGTCACCAATGGTAAGGAAAGGGGTCAACACCTGGATTTTATTCCTGTGTTTGATGTGCTCATCAGTTGAAACTCAGCCTTAGTCTTTTGTTTTCATGTACTGCAGGATCAGTTGAAGCACTCCACACAGAGTCAGGCTGCCTGTCACTGGAGAGCTACTTGGCACTTGGCCAAAAGAGGGCCTCCAACTTCACTGCCGACAGAGAAGAGATCTACACTCTCTTCAAGACTTACGAGGTATCAGCCATCTTGTTTCTGCATGCTTGTGCTTTAAGCAATGAACTTCCAAATTGAAAGTTGATGAACAAGTAACTTGCTTTAGCAATTTGGGAGAGCTACAAACAGTACATTAAAATAAAAATGAACAGAAATGAACAGCATGTTGAAAACTTATATAAGAATGCAACAAATGTATTCCTGTCAAACAGCTGCCATGACTGTCATAACCTAAATTAGCATTCATAAACACCTAAGACAGTTTACCCATTCCTATTGGTCGAGAGCCTGTCACATGGCTGGTCTTAAACAAATGATACAGACCGGCTGGCTGTTGTTAAACACTTTCCCCAGAGTCACATTGGAATTTTTGGTGCCTTTTACCATTTTATTAGTTAAACATGTTGAATACAACCAGTGACTCGGTATTTCATAGTCATAACTTCACACTTCACCGGCACAGCTGTGTTCTGGGCCACATCGCACAGTGCGTGATTGTTATTTAAAAAAAAAAAGGGTTATCATGCTCCAACAAAGGTATTAACTTGTTCATCCATATTCAGCACATGAAGAGTCAGAAGAACCTCTTTGATGAGGGGGATCTGGTGTTCCACGTCTACCGTCGGCTGCGGGACATCAAGACACTGGAGTGGGTCCTTCACGAGATCTACGTGGACGAGACACAGGACTTCACTCAGGCCGAGCTATCACTCTTCATTCGCTGCTCACATGATCCAAACTCGCTCTTTCTGACTGGTGAGTTATTAAAGGGCCCATGTGATGGACTCTATATAACACCTTAATACAGGGTGAGTAAAAAAAAACGAAACCCAAATGTCGGGACCATTGTTTTAGTGAAGTTCTGCATGAAGCACTTTCAAAATCTAGGATATGAAAGCCCAATTCATATGCTTTCTTTTAGTACAAGAATCATTCAAATCACTCATGTACTTTTCGAGTTACAGACTTTTAAACACAAGCACCGTTTTAAAGTTCTGTCCACGGATCACAAGAAGGTAAGTGTTCTTTCAGCAAAACGAAAACAAATCACACAGGGATGTGTGTTTTCATTTTGCTGATAGAACACACACCTTTTGTGTGATCCATGGACAGAACTTTAAAACGGTGGTTGTGTTTAAAATTCGGTAACTTGAAAAGTACATAAGTGATTTGAATTATTCTTAAACTAAAAGAAAGCTTTTGATTTTGGGCCTTCATATCCTAGATTTTGAAAGTGCTACATGCAGAACTTTACTTAGACAATAGTCCCGACATTTGGGTTTCGTTTTTTTTTTATTCACCCTGTAGATCCTTGTCATTCGATTGGAGGAATTTAGTCACATGACATTGAATAATTTGCCCCATTCCATTGACCAATATTCCATTGTATGATTTACGTCATACATCATGCATTTTGGTTCCATTTGTTTCGCTCCATTTCACGAGCGCCTCGGATATCGATCGCAGAGCATGAACTGTGAACTATTGCTATGCGAATGCAGCGTTAAGCATTGACAAGTCCCAATGCTTGCAAGATTAGAAGAACTCACTCAAAGGAACGTTGCTATTCCAATGGTTGCAGGTTCGAAGTCTTAGAATCCAGTCAATTTATCCGTTCAAATATATATGTATAATACTAGAAATGTTGACTGCTTATTGAAGCCTGCTCTTAGAAAATTCTTGCCGTCTTGTCACTGCAATTGTTTTTTTTCCATTGACTTTGTAGGAGACACTGCACAGAGCATCATGCGTGGTGTTGCGTTCCGCTTTGACGACCTGAAGTCCCTCTTCCACTATGCCAGCAAGTCCGTCAAGGCCCTTGGCAAGCACTCAGCTGTAGCTGTACCCAAGAGAGTCTACCAACTCACGCACAACTACCGATCACATGCCGGTAAGATATGTCTGGCCTAGAGTGGTCAGAACATCAGTCTATTGAAGGCATATAGGATCATTTGCATATATCCCAAAAGAAACCTACCAAATTTTTTTCAAAAAGCTTACAGTACTGGTACTAAACCCCCTTTGAAATTATTCTGTCTGGTTAACAGTCAATGCAAAGAAATCAAGAAATGTAGGTGATTTCCAACGATCAGTCAATTGACTGATTTTCGGAATAAAGAGTGCTGTTGACAAATTCTTGTTTCGTGATCGAAAAGTTGTCCATGGTTTCTTAATGTTTTCTTTAAAAGTAATTTCCACTGAGCTGATATTTCAAAAGGTTAGGTTTTGAAACATTGTTCTTTGGTTTTTGAGTGGTGTAATCATTGGAAATGAACAAAATATTGCATGAAAAACAAACATAATCCTTACTCAAGTCTGACTCAAACCGCAGTTCTTAGTGTCTGGACTTGACTCAAGTAATAACAGGCAAATGTCACACTTGAAGTCAAAGGCTTGTATACTAGAATCCTTAAAAAAGTGGAAAATGATTATTGTTCTAAAGAGACCCAAATTCATGCCAAGTAAGCTGGTTTGCCTTTTCATGGTGCGTGTGGTTAATATGTCATACAATAGGGCTCCTTTAAAAAATGTCTGGCAATAGCCCAACACAAGGCCAAAGGCCACTCGAGGTGTTGGCTACAGTTGAAAATGTGGAAGAACCAGCCCCTCACACTGAAACAAGATGATCTCATCTCTTCACAATATAAATATTGGACCAAGTCAGTCACAAGTCCAGCGAAAATCCACCACAAGTATGCTTTACCTACCGCTTACAGTCTTTAAAATGCCTGTCATTCCTCTAAAACCCACAAGTCCATAATGGGAACACCTTGGGACCGAACTTGAGAATCACAGTAGGCTTTCTGCTTTATGTGACCCCTTGCTGATTTTTCATCCAGAGTTAGATAGAGGTTGTATTTCTGACATGCTTTATGCATCACGTTTTTGCGTAACCTCTTACCCAGGGATTCTGAACCTAGCCTCCACTATCGTGGATCTGATGACCCATTTCTTCCCCAACTCCTTTGATCGTCTGGAGCGTGACCAGGGCTTGTTCCACGGCCCCTCCCCAGTGCTGCTGGAGTCCTGCAGCTTCAGCGACCTGGCTTTGCTGCTGTGCGGCAACAAGAGGAAGACGTCTGAGATAGAGTTTGGAGCTCACCAGGTAAAGAACTACACGCAACTTACTGCCCTACGCCCCCGTACATTTTTTCCTCGATATCATCGCCGCATGATTGTTTTCCCAAATCTTTCAAGATGTTTTGAGGGTTTGTTGCCCAGTGACAGTTACCTCACAGTATTGATTCCTGCAGAACTCAGTATTTTGGATGATTTTCTTGTGTTGGTTTCAGCGAAAAATAACAAAAGGTGGCAGTTCTGTCAGGCTAATTTTGATAAATCCAAAGAGATCCTGACGTCATAACTACGACTCTCGCCTCCAGCGACTGTTGTTTTGACACAGTAGGAAAGCCATAAACCACTGAAGCATAACTCCTTGCTATTGCTTTGATTGTTTGCCTCCCCCCCCCACCCCCCAGTGATGACTCTTAGTCAGTTGAACAAGTGGATGTAGACGGTTTATAAAAAAAATACTCTCAAAAGTAATATTTTGTGACACAATGCCAGAAATAATTCCTTTTTGTTTTTAAATATGCCTCAAGCTATCGGGTACTCATAACGAAATATTGACACAAGTATCCTTCTGAAAACAACAGCCTCTTTAAATTGTTGCTCAACGTCATGTTCATTTACACAATTACCTGATAATGAAATTGTTTCTCGTCAGGTCATCTTGGTTGCCAATGAAGAGGCTATTGAGAAGCTGCCGGCTGAGCTTCGTCTTGGCCTAGTCATGACCATCTACGAGGCCAAGGGTCTGGAGTTTGATGACGTCCTGCTCTACAACTTCTTCAAGGATTCCCCGGTGAGTTGACTTAGCAGAGCTTTCGACAGATGACATTTTGTTTAGATGAATTAGTCAGGGATGCAGTCTTGATTGACTTTTGACTTGTTATGATTTGTGACGACTTGTGATGACTTGCGATGACTTTTGACGAGTTGTGATGACATGTGATGACATTTGATGCCAAGTTATGACTTGTGATGGCTTGTGATGATATGTGATGACTTGTGATGACTTGTGATGCCTTGTGATGACTTGTGATGATATGTGATGACGTGTGATGACGAGTTGCGATGACTTGTGAATGATTAGTTATTGCCATGCGATGGCTTGTGATGTATTGTGATGTAAAGTCAAGTAAAGTCTGTCACGAGCCAATGTGGCCCATCAGGCCGGCGTTTATCTCCGGTTTCAGTAGCATGAAACAACGAGAATATTTCTGTTCCCAAGGACGGGATGCTAGTCCATAGTCCACTTGCCAGCTAATGCTTGTACCAATTTATACTCCTGGGTGGAGAGAGGCAAGTGGGCATGAAGTGGCTTGCCCAAGGACACGGCTTATGGCCAGCAGCTGGATTCAACCCTCTGATCATGAGTCACGGACTCTAACCACTGGGCCACACTCCCCATGCATTGTGATGACTTGTTCCAACTCTGCTTCTTTGTCTCCTAGGCCGACAAGGAGTGGCGAGTGATCACCGAATACCTGAACGAGTTGATCGCTGAACAGCGCAACAGGTCCGAGGACCAACAAGAAGGATTGAAGGAAATAGATGTGGAGACCTTGACTGGGACAGTCCGGCCACGGCCTCTGAAATTCAACCCGGACGAACACAAGGTTAGGAATCTGGACTAATCGCATTCAACTCAAGCCTTTGCAGTGACTCCTTGATGTACATTTTAAGTGTTTCATTTCTCTCTTCACCATGCATAATATTTTAAAAAGTTCAATATAGTGTGAATCTGTTTCAGGGCGGTTCTTCAGAAATTGAAACAAATTTTTTTTTTTTTCGGGGAAAAAAGTTTCTAATGTGATGTAATACAAATGATTATTGTTCACTTAAGTGTTGCTAGTAAGTAAAGATGCTTCATAAGTTGGTCTTTCTGTACATAATTTTTATAGCAAAAATTTGATTAATAAATGTCACACACATGACCAATCAGAATGTCACACAGAACAATTCCCATTTAGTAAAACTAAAGCAGATGGTGTACATTGTTTATGCATTCTGTAAATCACAAAAGACTAGTCTTACTCCGAAATAAGTATGGGTGACAACAAATTTGTATCCTTGTGGAGACACACACACAATAGGGAACAAAACATTGTAAAGGTCTCCACAAGGCTATTTCTATAGATGAATAGGTCTCCACAAGGTTTTCACGAAATAGATATATGGGTTTTACTCAAAAACTAGGAATTTCCAAGGTGGGTTGATCTGTCGCAAATGGAAGAGTTTTAGAAAAGGGATATTAAGTCCAAATTTCAGCCAAGGAAACTAATTCTGGTTAAAATAAGAGCATTTTGAAACTTCACTTTCAAAATTGAAAACTTTACTACACGAGAACAAAGGAATGTCTCCACAAGGATACAAATTTGAGAGTGGGTGTGTGTGTGTGTGTGTGTCCTTAGAACTTTGAAGAAATGTGTGAATTTCCGGTATGGGCCGGATAACATTTCTGCGTCTGATGTCACACACGTGACCAAAATTTGATGACACCCTTAATATTTGACACAATTTTTGTAAGTAGAAGCTATACACTGAGGTATCGTAGGGACTATTGAGAGTACGAACCTGATGAATCAGTGAAAGTAATATGTCAGATGTAGTTAAAAAGGGGTTAAAGCTTCAAAAATCAGTCGAGTCCAATATGTCACACAGTGACCACAGAATGGCCCTTCAGTCCACTCTGGCTTGCCAAAAAGTCTGAGATTCTGTCGATAAACATGATAAAAAACTTTGAGTTTTAAAATTCTTGCCAAGTTTGTTGCTTCAATGGGTCTTAGCTTTTATGATTCTTTTTTCAAGGGCCTATTGTTTTAATATCGTCGCAGTTATACTCGGGTCACAAAAAATCGGTGACTGAAATGTTCCTAACGGTTGAAGCTCAGGCACAGCTTGATCCTGAACAGTCAGTCGCCGACTGTTCTGTGTCGTTGCAAAGTCGACTTGAGGGTGGCTGTACATAATTCCTTGCTTCTTAATTTGGTCTCAGGCAGAGCTTTGCCACAGAACCTTTCCTATTGAAAACCTTGGCTAGCTACATACTTGTGGGTCATAATTTACTGTGTCATGCCTCTCTCAGGTGCTGAACTCAGAGCTGAAGTATCTCTACACGGCAATCACGAGAGCCAGGGTGAACGTTTGGATCTTTGACGAGGATACGACCAAACGAGCACCGATGTTTGAGCTGTTCCGTTGCCTGAAACTCGTCAAAGGCATCGGTCCGGAAACCACCCCAGAAGCAGAGGGCCCTGGTGAGTCCAGTGCACAATTAACAGCAGTTCAACGTTGTCATGTGGGACTTGGTGTTTTGAACACCCGAGGGGTGCCAAGGCCAGGGGTACTGTGCATCATGAGGGCATTAAAATACCACACTGATATAATCAGATAACTTCTTGGTGCTAATATTGTTGTTCTTAGGAACTTAACTGGTTTGGATCAGTAAAAATTCCAGTATCCAAAACACAAAACAACAAATGCTGTTGTTTTCAAGTATGTGTTTGAACTTTTTGTTTTAGAAACGTTTCATTGAGGTATTTTGTGAAAGTTTGGAAGTGTTGCTCATTAAAATTGTAGTTTGAAATTCCAAGCATTCAAGTGACATGTATGAATATTGTACCTTGAATGAAATTTGGGATTTTCTTTGACAAACTTGCTGAAAAAAATGGTGAAATGTTCAAATTATGGCATCATGAGTTGTGAAGGGGTCTTATGCATATTGACTATTTAAAACCAAAAAAAAATGCAGTATGGCATTTTAAAGACAACATTTTTCCTAAAACATGTGCTTGATCCAGTCTGCAACACGTTTTGTTGTGTGTCTATTTTGTAAATTTTGTTGCTTGACTCTGAGAAATTTTTTTGACATAGCTTTTGATTTTTCTAAATCCAGTTAGATCTTTCGTACCAAACAGGACAATTACACTATTTTCACAGCCTCTGTTTTTGTAACTCTACTATCTTCAGTCTTAATAAAAAAATTTGGTTAACAGCTTGGCCAAAATATTGCACTTACAGGGTCCGTGCGCAACTACCCCATCAGCGGTGAGCAAGGGGGAGTTGGGAGAGACCGCTTGGAGGGACAATCAAGTGCTATGGCTTTAAAATAATTATTGCGTACTTCGTGCTAGGCGTGCTCAAACCAGTACGCAAACACGGTGTGTCCTGTCCACTGGGCTTACGAAAGTGATAAAAAACGCACTCTCTTGTTTACTCACAGAGCCTATGGACTCCATGCGCCAACAAAAGAGGGTGCCCTTTTAGCTAGCAACGATGTCCAATGGGCGGGATAGACACATGTATACATTTCGCTGGTTGACGCGCGCGCTCCGTTTCTTGTGTGTGACGCACGTACACCAGGGGATTAGTACTATGTACACTCAGTGGCCTCGCTTCGCGGCAAAATATTGCAGTCAGGCAAGATGGCGTCATTCGGTCACCCCCAGCTGTACTTTCTTTGCCGGTGAGGGGGGGACTTGTGAACGGAGCAGATAGTGAACCCTAGCTGGCTATAATGCATCTTGCCAGCAACCTCTGCAGATGGAGTGAATTACTTCAAAATTAAAACTTACATATGAGTTAAATTCAACAACAATTTTTTTTTTTTGGTCAGATTTGGATGCCATGTTTGTGGAGAAGTCCAGCCAATGGGAGTGGATCCAGCGAGGTCATTACTTCTTCGAGAACAAGCTGTGGATGGTGGCTGCCAAGTGCTACCAACGTGGTGGAGATGGTAGGCGTGCCTTGCATAATGTATAGTTACACTTCATCCATATTTATGAGTCTTATAAATATGCATAAGGACATTACTTTGTTGTGAACAAGCTGTGGATGGTGGCCATCAAGTGCTACCAACACTGCAAAGATGGTAGGCGTGCCTTGCATAATGTATTGTTACACCTCATTCATATTTGTGAGTCTTATAAATATGCATGAGGCATTATTTCTTTGAGAACAAGCTGTGGATGGTGGCTGCTAAGTGCTACCAACGTGGTGGAGATGGTAGGCGTGCCTTGCATATTGTTTATTTTACACCTCATTCATATTTATGAGCTTATAAATATGCATGACGCCATTACATCTGCAGGAAAGGACAATGCACAATTTGAGACGGGATCCCACAAATGAGCCTTAATACTTCCTCAGAATCTCAGAATCTCAGGAAGTTGACTGGACATCGCCACTAGGCATCATCATCCAGTTCACATGCACTGGAAAGAGCATGGTCCACTTTTCATTTTGCTACATCACTCAGTTTGACATTGTAACACCTTCAGATATTTTGTTGTCAAAAATGTTGACCATTCCTTTTGTTTTCTGTAGTGTAAGATTGTTCCAAAGGGCCTTATACTTTAAAGTAGATGTGTCGACTTGTGACTCAATTTGTAGAGTTTGGTCACACTCGTACATATTAGGTCACTTCAGATTTTATATTTTATCAAGACAAATAAGAAAGTTGCCCATCCCATGTTGTGCCCCTTCTAACAGAGATAGGGGTGAGACTTGTAAGGATGTTTTTCCTGATTTCTGGATATTTTGTTGGGTTTTATCCAAATTTCAGGAATTGTAGTCAGGATATATCCTGATTTCAGGTTATTTAAAGAATCCCTTTAGAAATCTGGAAATCATGAGGTTTTGCTGTGAAAAGTTTAAAGAAATGGGTATTGTAAGGGGTGTCTTTAGGCAAAAACAAACATATGCCATAGACCCTACGTTGCTCTGGTTGCTCTACGTAGTGACCCTCAAATCTACCAATTATTTCGTGGATTTTTCAACTTCCCCCTTATCTCGCCCCTGCAGAGAAGCGAGAGTTGCAGGCCAGGGCGCACCACCAGGCTGTGGAAGCGGACCGCATGAGAGACCAGCTACCAGCCATGAGGGAGAGGTTCCTGCAAGCAGCCGGCCTGTTCCTGCAGTGCGATAGCAGCCAGATGGCCGTCAACTGCCTCTACAATGCCAGGGAGTTTGGCCTGCTGGCTCAGCTTCTGGAGAAGCGGGGAGAGGTAAGACAGAAATGCAGTCAAGTTGTCCAGTAAATTGCCACACCTCGTACATATTGAAAAAAAATCATACATTTTTGAAAAATTGAAAACAGAAATAGAACTTGGACTAGAAATAAAAACTGCTTTGCGGTTTAAGTTCAGTCTGTATTCAAAGTCCACATGCTGACATGTACGTGTAGTTAGGTTCTTTTAAGTGCTCAAGTAATCTTCAAGAAAATTTATAACCTTGACGAAAATTATGATTTTGTGACTTGTCCCTCAACCCCATTTGTGACAGAGGTTTACACATCTTTATCTTCATGGTATGTCTCGATATGCATCCCCCCTCAGAAATTAAAAATCTATGTTATAAACAAGGAATTTTTTTGTGAGAAAGAGACAAAGGGTTTTTGTTGGAATGCTGGAGAGACTGAAAAACACAATCAGCGAATCTGCCTGGGTGAGATTTGAAACTGGGTCACGGGTGAAATGCAAGTAAAGGAATAAATGCTTTACGCCTTCCTCTTCATTCCACCTGTCCTGCTTTGTTAACCTCAGTTCTCAAAAGCGGCCAAGATCTACGAGAAGCGACTGAATCGTATTAGCGATGCCTGCCGCTGCCTGGAGCTGATGGGGGATTACGCTAAGGCCTTAGACCTCCTGTGCAGTGTGGGTCTGCACACCAAGGCCCTGGACCTCATCGATCGCTTCAACCGGTTCAAGCAGGAGCAGAAGACGAAGGGGATGCCCTTACCAAGACATGTCAGACCGCCGGGGTGAGTGTTCAGAGTTTTAGTCAAGACGTCACAAAGCCTCACAAGTCCTCACAAGCCAATTATATGTCCTCACAAGTCCTCACAAAAATCATTAGGTCAGTCACAAATGATTTCCAAGTCCTCACAAATCAAACACAAGCTCTTCACCAGCCTTTGCAAGTCCTCACAAGTAACTTACAAGTTCTCACAAGTAAATTACCAGTCCTCACAAGTAACTTACAAGTCATCACAAGTAACTTACAAGTCATCACAAGTAACTTACAAGTCCTCACAAGTAAATTACGAGTCCTCACAAGTAAATCAGAGGTCCTCAGGAGTAAACTACAAGTCCTCACAAGTCCTCACAAGTCCTCTCAAGTAACTTACAAGTCCTCACAAGTAAATTACCAGCCTTCACAGGTAACTTACAAGTCATCACAAGTAACTTACAAGTCCTCATAAGTAAATCACAAGTCCTCACAAGTAAATCAGAGGTCCTCAGGAGTAAACTACAAGGCCTCACAAGTCCTCACAAGTAAATTACCAGCCTTCACAGGTAACTTACAAGTCATCACAAGTAACTTACAAGTCCTCTCAAGTAACTTACAAGTCCTCACAATAAATTACAAGTCCTCTCAAGTAAATTACAAGTCCTCACAAGTCAGCCAATCTGAAGCTGTGTCAAGCCATTCGAATGACCTTAATAAAGGCATTCCTGTATCCTCAGACACATTCAGCACCAGCAAATAAAGAATCACAAACCCATATAGTTTAGCACAACCATACATATTGTCTTGTTCAAATATTTTTGGCATTGCATTACATGTGTCGCCGTTGTGTGTTTATGTGTATTTCAGGGCCACCCACACCCTGAATGAGTTGATCTACAAGTCAGCAGAGTACCACTACAAGCAGGGAGACCATGGGCAAATGCTGGACGCCTTGGAGCAATTGGGCCAGTTTGAAGCCAGAGTGGACTTCCTGCGTAAGAGGGAGCTGTTTACTGAGGCTGTGACAATGCTGAAGGGCGGTAGACATCTTCTGGAAGCAGCCAAAATACTCAGAGAACAGGTACAAAGTTGAACTTGATGATCAGGCATTTTTTTTAAGCGCCATCAGTCAGCTGCAAGGTAGTCAGTTAGAGGATTCTGCAAATATTATCCATCCTTAGCTTCTTATTGAATTTCAGCTGGGCCTAGGGTGACTACCTTGTTGATCGGCCCTGTCCGCTAGTTCCATGTTAAGAGCCTAAACAAACAAGTTAAACAACTTTTTTGCTGGCTTCCTCAAGCATGTCAAGAGAGTGTGATTTAATGTAGACAATCAATGTTTCTGTTGAATAAAAAAACAGCAAAAAACCTTTTTAATTAAGTTTGTTTGTTGGACCAAGAAATTGCTGGTTAATGTGAAATGGAACAGTTAATGAAAAACCTTGCCTTTATCCTCGCAGGGTAAGCTGGAGGAAGCCTGCACCATCCTAGAATCATCAAGTCATCCTGAGTTTGTAGCAGAGTGTCGACTGAGTCAGGCAAGGAAGCTCCTACTACAGCCAGACAGTGAGGCCAACCAGGCTTCTGCCGTCTCACTTCTCACCAAGGCAGAGAGCCTGTTCAGCAGATGCAGTGACTCTGTCATGAAAGCCGAGACGCTGCTTCTCCTTGGACAAGTGCAGAGGGATGCCGCCAAGATCCGCGAAGCCAATCTCTCCTTCAACAGAATGGCCCACACTGCTGGGGAATCGGAATGCACTGATCACCTGATCAAGCTCTCGCTACCCAATGCTGATAATATCAAGAGTAGGGTCTTCCATCAGCTGGAGAAACTCGTGGAGCTGATCTGTGCTCTATTTGAGAGCACTAATCCTGGAGAAGAGCGGCAGAGACGATCCTGCGAAGTCTTCTTTGGTTTGCGTCCAGGGGAAGCTGGTCAGCTCCACATCCAGAGGTGCGAAGGAGCCAGAATCTTGTCTGCCCTGGATAAGAAGGTGTCGCTATTGAGTGAGGTTGAGGCTGTGAAGGCACGAGAAGCCATCGCCAAGTATTGCCTGATTCCAAGAGCCCTGGGGTGGGTGAAGGGGATACGTGAGCTGCTTCGTGGGGAAATAAAGAAGCTGACTCAGTGCGTTGATTATCAGATTGGGATGCCATGCTCGAAGGGACTCGAAACCTGTCAACAGCTTCATTCGCCATACTCGTTTCACCACGTACTGAATCGGGTGAACTACCTTGTCCTGCTGATCGAGATTGACGACATTATCGGGAAGGCCTCCCGATTGTCCAGCTTCAAGGCTGCAGACAAGCTTACCATGGAGATTAAACGGAGTCATGTCAAGAGCGCCAAGAAGTGCAAGGCATTGTATAACATTTTCTTCCCCGAGCACTGCCACCAACGCTTCATTGGCGAATCAGTCCAAACAACGCAAAAGCTACTCAGACTTGTACAGCATCCCTCCGTCAGAAGACAGCTGAAGGCCTTTGCTGAAAATGAGCGCAAGAAGGTTGACCGTAAGCATCAGAGGGCAGACACAGATTTATACCTGATGTGTCATGGTATTTACCTACTAATTGGTGAGCCACCAACAGTCATGAAACACTTGGTTACCCTAGAAGAAGACGACTGCTTAAAGTGGCAAAAGAGAGAAGGATGGAACCATCCTAATCCATTAGGAATGCACCCGCTGCGTTCTAATGATCCACGGAAGGGCTTCCTGAGCTACAAGCGCCGCCATTTGGACTCCTTTGAGGATCTGTACACAAAGCGTGACGCAATGCAGTCCCTCATTTCGTTCAATCGCTTCATGGGCACTCTGGTTAACAAGCCGGTGGATCCTCTTCTGCCATCCATTAGTAACACAGTGGCAATGATAGAGGCGAATATCACCATGATGTTAACTCTTGGAGCAAGGACACAGCCGTGTGTTGTTGCCATACCGGCGAGCTACCTCGCCCAGGCTGCCTTCCTTGATGCTATATGTGCTCCAGGAAAGGGACATGCAATGTATACTGCTGTGAATGTCACATCGACTAATAAGCACACCTTTGGCCAGACTTGCCGTCTAGCTCGTCTCATTTCTGGGACAACTACATTAGACAGGGAGTTTAATGTCTTGGTAGATGCCTTCTCCAGCGTTGAGTACATACAAACTGGAGAGGCTGAACGCACTCTGGTTCTGGTGCTTGTGATGCTGTGTAATGCTGGGATGGCTCTACCTGTACAGATCATCAAAGACACACGTAAAGCACTGCAGTCCATAGCTCCTTCTGAAGACCATCTGCCGAAGAGAGTCTACACTGCTCTCGGCAGAATCAGGGAAGCCCAGTGTCGTCATGATGCCCTCAGTATTCTGCAGGAGCTCCTGAAGGCTCGTGGCGACGAGTACCTCAGAGAATGCAGATGGAGTCCGCGCATGCCTCCCCGAGGATCGCCTGGATTGGAATTCCGCAACTTGAACCTCAAGACCTTCAGCAATGTACAGTTTGAGGCACTTCCGGCTGTATCCCCGACTGTCTTCACTGAACTGATGGAAGGCAACAGCCGTCAGAGAGGGAGAGACTTGGACGAGGAGGAAGATGAAAGTGCTGGCTGGGAAAGGGGAGTGGAATTCCTCGACGATCCTGAAGTTGAAGGTGACCTTGACGTGTCTGAAGAAGAGGCTGCCAAGGCCCAGAGGGAACAGGAAACCCTGCAGAGAGAGCAGGCTACAAGGGTCATCATGGGATTCTTGAAATACAAGAGGCTTCTTCGCTTAGCCAGCCTCTTGAGATCATGCGGCTACACTACCATCAGCGTCAGACAGGAGGTCCAGTCCAAAGTAGAGACAACAGCCACCACCTGGGTGTCCCAGCAGCTCTTGGAGTTCCTGCACACTCCCATACGATGCACCATTTGCAATGTCAGTCTGAGAGGGGTCGATGAGACGAGACTTGAGCCGGAGGAACTGACTGAAGAAGGCCATGACAAAGATGAAGCAGGTTGGTGTTAATGCTATCAAGTTGGTTTTCATGTTATCTGTTAAACTGTCTTGAAGTCGAGCCGTCACATCAACAAATATGCTATCAATATTGCTTTTTAAAGGTAAGATATCCTGAGAGAACCATCTCTGAGACCTTTTGCAGAAGCTTACACACAGTGATTGTTTTGTGAAGTCAGATGTTGGCCCTCCTTGCACCCTTAAGCTCTCTAATTTAGCTCATTGTAGCTGTACACAGGTTACCCAGCTGTACACTAGTTAACCAGCTGAGCACAGGTTAACCAGCTGTACACAGGTTACCCAAGTGTACACAGGTTACCCAGCTGTACATAGGTTACCCAGCTGTACACAGGTTACCCAGCAGCACACTGGTTAACCAGCTGAGCACAGGTTACCCTGCTGTACACAGGTTACCCAGCTGTTCACAGGTTACCCAGCTGTACACAGGTTACCCAGCTGTACACAGGTTACCCTGCTGTACACAGGTTACCCTGCCGTACACAGATTACCCAGCTGCTCACAGGTTACCCAGCTGTTCACAGGTTACCCAGCTGTACACAGGTTACCCAGCTGTACACAGGTTACCCAGCTGTACACAGGTTACCCAGCTGTACACAGTTTACCCAGCCGTACACAGGTTACCCAGCTGTACACCGGTTACCCAGCTGCTCACAGGTTACCCAGCTGTACACAGGTTACCCAGCTGTACACAGGTTACCCAGCTGCACACAGGTTACCCAACCATACACAGGTTAACCAGCTGTACACAGGTTACCCTGCTGTACACAGGTTACCCTGCTGTACACAGGTTACCCAGCTGTACACAGGTTACCCAGCTGTACACAGGTTACCCAGCTGTACACAGGTTACCCAGCTGTACACAGGTTACCCAGCTGTACACAGGTTACCCAGCTGTACACAGGTTACCCAACTGTACACAGGTTACCCAAATGTATACAGGTGAACTGTTTTTATTGTTACATGGAACTTTTTACAGGTGAAGAGGCCTCAATGCAATCAGATCTGGGGCCCATGTCTGAAGCAGACGGCAGGGATGATCTACCGACCCAGGAGGAGCACGAAGCGACAGCTCTCCATCAGCAAAGACATCAAGATTTCATTCAATATGGAAAAATGCTCCATGATGAGGTGTATCCATTAGTGACAGGTATGGGCAGTATTGCCAACAAACAAGCCTGGGTAGCTGTTTGAGGCGCTTGTCTCCAAAACAGTTCAGCGTCTTGAAGTGACACCATCCACCTCCCTTTTTCTTAAGATGAATAATGAGGGAATCTTTCCACATTAGGCACCCTGTTTCTAAGGCAAAATAATGATCTTCAAAGGAGTGTCATACTTGGACAATAAAGACATCTTCCAAATTATCGTTTTGCAGTGAGACATATCTCCGATTTATTACATCTAGGTTTCTGAGAGAACAAATATTGTGAAAAGGTACATCAAAGGGTACTAAAATGAACAAACAAAGGGCCGGGGGAATGATCATCTTAACAGGATAAAGATATGCTTTTGGGGTTGGCTAGTGCGTAAAACGCTTGCCTCAAACCACTGTGGCCCAGATTTGATTCCCGGCTTGGACCATATGTGAGAAGAGTTGTGCATTGATTCTCTCCTGTGCCATGAGGATTTTTCTTCGGTTTTCCACCCTCCGCGAAAATCAAACATTTTCGATCTGTGGCTGTGCTCCATGGTCGTACATGAATCGTATGGCTGGCTGCCAAAGGCGCCTTTACATGCCTTCGGCTCGACCACATTGTAGCTGTGTCCTTTGCAATTCAGCTTCTCAGCTGCGAGTAAGGAAGATTAGCCCCCAAGTAATTATTAGTTTTGTATTTTTATCTTTGCATAATTTCTATCTTGGAACCAGATAGAGTTTGTAAGGCTCTCAATCTTGTGGCTGCTTCTATGCGATCTAGAAGTAGCTTTTATTTGTGTCCATGGGCAGTATAATTTACCACAACTCATTTTGTTTTGCTATGTGGCTGAGAGTAGAGATTCCAAAACTATAGAGTTGGTAAGGATTTTTGTTCTAATTTAACATACATAAAAATGGTTTCACTTTTGTCATTTTTAAAAATCTCTCACAGAGGTTGAAAAATTACTTCAGGAGCTTCGTTTCCCAACCCTAGCAGCAGGAAACGCTGGATACTCAGATGAATTTAAATACTTTGAAGAGGTAGGTTTAAAGTGTGAAGGTTTTTTTTTCATATTCTGTCTTTTGAACGCAGTCATTACATTGCCTACTGGCTCTCAGAAATCAAATGACAAAACAAATGTGGGAATATTCCTTCTTATATTAGCAATGATACTTGCTTTTTTTGTTTGTCACATCTTACCTAATAAATACAATGTGGCTACAGGACTTAAGGCCAGGCCTCATTACAGGGTGAGTGAAAAAAAAACACCAAAATGTCAGGACTATTGTTTTACTGAAGTTCTGCGTGTAGCACTTTCAAAATCTACGATATGGAAGCCCAATTCATAAACTTTCTGTCAGTACAAGAATCATTCAAATCAATCATGTACTTTTCAGGTTACGGAATTTAAAAACACAACCACCATTTTAAAGTTCTATCCACAGATCACAAAAAAGGTGTGCATTATTTTAGCAAAACGAAGCCAATTTGCACACATCCCTAAGTGATTTTTTTTTCATTTTGCTGAAAGAACACTTGCCTTTTTGTGATCCATGGACAGATCTTTAAATGCGTGGTTGTGTTTAAAACTCTGTGACTTGAAACCTACATCAGTGATTTGAATGATTCATGTACTGAAAGAAAGCTTATGAATTGGGCTTTCATATCCTAGAATTTGCGAGTTCACTAACTTCACTAAAATAATAGTCCCGACAGTTTGGGTTTCTGGGGTTGTTTTCTCACCCTGTAAAGCTCAAGGCAAATTTTGTACCATCAATTAAAGAAGACGTGGTGTAACATTCCATCAACGTTTCTTGGTCGACAGACTTTGTCTAGACGAAGGCAGGACCTCACTGACAAGATGGCGGAGATCCAAAGGCAACGGGCCTTTGAGAAGCTTGCCGAGGTCCGGCACACTGCAGAGCAGCTCACAAAGCAATACCAAAGGAGCAAGAAAAAGCTTGAGCAAACGAGAGCAGCAGCGCAACAGGACAAGACTGCTGAAGAAGGTAAGGGTAATGGCCACAAATCGGGAACAGAACTTGACATTGCAATCTTGGGCTGTCGGCCGGCTTCATGCGTAAAACACTCACAGCCAAGCCCTCGAATGGGTCCTCTATTCGTCACGATTCCTCATGCACACATCTAGCTGATTTGTCTCTTCCACCTCTGTGTCCCTCTTCAGTACATTGATGCATGATGCCTTTGGTCTGCCTCTGTGTTTTCTTCCATGTGTCGGCTCCCAGAGTATAAGCTGGCTCTTGGGTAGCGCAGGATGACGGTGGCAATGTCCTGCCAGTTCCATCCTTCTGAAGGCAATTTTGTCCCCAACCTTAGGGAGCTCCCCACTAGGTCCTGAAATCCCCTAAAATTTCATGTTTTGGATCGTTTACTGAGCCTATTTCAAACATCTGGTTGAAAAGAAAGCAACCTAATGTCTTACTGTTCCTGAGAAAAGACAAAAAAAACCTGCTTGTTTACATCGGACATGACGGAGTACGAATACATTTTTCGTGTCGTTCTCAATGTACTATATACACGTTGTGTGTCTCGGGAATAGCGGTGACCAATCACCAATGCAAAAAAGTGGTTTCTTCAACGTCTTCAAAAGGCGAACACTTTACGAATGAAATCACAACTAGCATCTAAACAGCTGGAATTGATGGGGTCGCAAAAGTGGACCCCGAAATTTGTTTCCGCACGCATAATACAGGAGTAACACAAAAACGCCCAGTTTTGAAAGGATAGTTGTGTGGATGTTTATATCCTACTTATAAATGTTATTTCCGATTAACATCATCTCCTTCAAAGTGCGTTTTGTAGCCCAATTGGGCTGTTCCAGGACCTAGTGTCCCTTCAATATGATCTCTCCAGTTAATGTTGAGTACAGCTCTCAGCATACTAGTATAGGTGCCGTTAAGCGACTTCTCCAGGACAGATGCTAAAAGCCATGTTTCACACCCATACAGCAGCACCGATTCAACTGTGGCTAGGAAAAATCTCAGCTTTACCTGTCTTGTTATGTTGGTGTTCCACAACCTTTTCATTTTGTTGATGGCTGTCCAGGCTAGGGCCTTCCCGATCTTGATATCACCCAAGAGCCCAGTTATTTGAAGTCTGTTACTTCCTTGAGAGAGAGAGAGAGCCCTAATCCCCAATAGTAATCCGGGGGGGGGGCATATTCTGTGGAATTGTAAGTGATGACCTCTGTCTTTTTGGCATTACAGGATAGCCCGACTTTGCGGCACTCTCTTTTCACCAGTGTGAGCAACTCCTGTGCCTGTTTGATCTTGTTGCTCAGCAGGCATATATCGTAACCATTGGTGAAAAACAAGCAGTTGAACAGAGCGAACAACACCAAGGGACTGTTTAATTTAAATTCTCCCCCCCCCCAACTGACCCAAGATGTGCTTGTATTTGTTATATTAACCCTCCTACTATTTAAGAGGTCACCAATGGTCAAAATGTTTGTATCTCGCCTCCTGGCCTACTGTGTACAAACCAATGGGGGTCTTGACCAAAATTGACCCAAGTAATAACCAGGCTGACAATGCATGTTTCCATAGGAGGGTTAATGTAGCTATCATAATTCAGTGATTTAAGAAGTCGACAAAACATTGGAAATCTAATACACACAATTAACTCTTTCCTTACCCTGGGCGACTTTTGTTGACAAGGAACTACCCCGCTGCTGCTTAGCTGGGGTCCAGACCAGTAAATAGGCCCAAAATTGCCTACGCCTGCCAAATCACGAATGGCATGCCCTCAAATTCTACGCCATTTTGAAAAGTGATGCCTACGCTCCATTGCAAAGTAGAGCACCTTTGGGGCCCAATTTCATCCAAATTTCACAGAAGCACGAGCTCACAGTCCAGTGCACGGCTTCCACCCTACTGCTTTACAAACTCTCAAGTTCATGGCCCACAAAATGCTCTAATACCAAAGAATTTGAGGGCATGCAAATCATGATTACAAGCAGTTATACAGATCGAACAACACCATGGGACCGTTTCATTCAAATTCTCCCCCCCCCCCCAACTGACCCAAGATGTGCTTGTATTTGTTATATTAACCCTCCTACTTTTTAAGAGGTCACCAATGGTTAAAATGTTTGTATCTCACCTCCTGGCCTACTGTGTACAAACCAATGGGGGTCTTGACCAATATTGACCCAAGTAATAACCAGGCTGACAATGCATGTTTCCATAGGAGGGTTGATGTAGCTATCATAATTCAGTGATTTAAGTCGTCGACAAAACATTGAAAATCTAATACACACAATTTAACCCTTTCCTTACCATGGGCGACTTTTGTCGACAAGGAACTACCCCGCTGCTGCTTAGCTGGGGTCCAGACCAGTAAATAGGCCCAAAATTGCCTACGCCTGCCAAATCACGAATGGCATGCCCTCAAATTCTGCGCCGTTTTGAAAAGTGATGCCTACGCTCCATTGCAAAATAGAGCACCTTTGGGGCCCAATTTAATCCAAATTTCACAGAAGCACGAGCTCACAGTCCTGTGCACGGCTTCCACCCTACTGCTTTACAAACTCTCAAGTTCATGGCCCACAAAATGCTCTAATACCGAAGAATTTGAGGGCATGCAAATCATGATTTGGCCGGCGTAGGCAATTTCAGGCCTATACACTGGTCTGGCCCCATGGGATATTGCCAACTGGTTGGAAGTTTGACTTTACTTCCCTTTCTTGTTCATGTTGAAACGTTGGCCAATAAATTAAGTGTGTTTTTCCACAATATGTATGAAGTGCTGTAACAACTCATATGTGTTATGTGATGCTCTTTTGGTGTGTTTTCAGATATTAAGGAGGCAGACGCCATACCCTTTGAGGAAGAAGAAGAAGCAGACGAAGATAAAATCCTGCCTGTCGCCGAGCAGCCAGACAAGCGAAAAGGGGGAAGGAACAAGGGGAGGGGCCAGAAGAAAAAGGGGAAATGGAGTGGGCGAATGAGCAGAAGGCGATAAGTGAATGGAACAGGAAACCAGAACGTCATCCTTCTTTCTTTTGGGCTGCGCGCTCCTTGCTTAAAACCCCCTGGTGTAAACAGTGTAAAGACAGGCTGTAAAAATTGACTGTCCGTAGAGTTAGCAGATTCTGCAGAATATAAAGTACTTTCCCTTTGATAGTCTCATTTGCGTTCGATTTCAACAAAAACAGGAACAGTTGGTTAGTCAGTTTGGAACGTAAAGTAGCTAATGTTCTCCACCTATGACCGAGGTTGAAGGAGCGAATCTTGGTCGGAGAGTATGTAGAGTTGCTGGTCTTTTGAAACCAAAGATTTCGGCAGAATTCTGTATTCTGCAGACAGACCTGCAAACTTTGTTTCAAAGCTCGCCCTAAATATGTCACTTTGCTGGCCAAAAGTCTTAACTTCTAAACTAAACTTCTTGACTTAGTCAGAAGTCCCCGGAATTAATATGCATGTATTATACACGTGGTCACAATTAAAGGCTTTCGTGACCTAGCAAGAATCATTCAGAATAGATATAGCATCCACTGATGGGCAGCATTTTCACAGCCCCCCCCCCCTGTTTTTTTAAACAACTCATGAAATTCTGAACACTCTTTGAAAGTCTGATCACATAGTCGTGAATTTCTATACGCCCGAGGACAATGCTTTGTGTTTCCCTTTGTCCCTGTAGTATAACGCTCTTCCATAGACTAAGCACATAACCGTACGATCGAGGACCGTTTTCAACAAAAGACCCAATGCTCGAGGACAGAATGGAACTTTTTGTTCTCCCTTTGTGTGTCTGTCACTCTATCATAAAGCCATACGTGTACACACGGTTCAGGTATTGAGATGTCAATAAAGACAACAGCACCTCTTCGTTCGATGTATTATTTTCACATTAAAAACTTCTCTACAAAACTTGCTTAATTTTGGAAATTTCACTTGACATCTACTTTAAGCATTATACTTTACAATAGTGGGATTATACTTCCATCTTGATTCTCGTCAATTAGCTTGAAACACATTCCTTGTGATTTAACTGGAATCATTATAAATGAAAGTCACAGATAATAAATAATGTTTGCCATATCGCCAAGTGCAAATGAGATGAAAGGGATGTTGACAAGAACAGATTTATTGGAATGAGGTTGATAAGTTTGGACTGATAAAGTGTTTTGCCTTAAATGTTTTGTAAAGAAATTATTAACATTTTTGTTGTTGTTAGAGACAAATTGGTTTTCTTGTTAGTGAAATGAGAAAGAATTTCCCTTGATTTTGAACTAATATGCTTTTTCTATTTTGTTTGGTGGCCGGAGAGGTCTCCAGTTACATGATCACTCACTTTGTTTATCCTCGGAATGTTGTTTGCAGAGTTCTTGCAGAATAGTAACTAAAATCTAATTTGTAGTCATTTCCATTTGGTACTTGCAGTTGTAAGTAGGTAGTAAAGTCTGTCCCGAGCCAATATGGCCCATCAGGCTGGCGTTTATCTCCTGTTTCTATTCCCCCTATTCTATGGGATGCTAGTCCTTCGCAGGTTACTCCCCAGCTAATGCTGATACCCATTTATACTCATAGGTAGAGAGAGGCAAGTGGGGTAAAGTGGCTTGCCCCAAGGACACAACATATGGCCAGCAGCTGGATTTGAACCCCTGGCCCTCTGATCATGAGTCACGAACCCTAACCACAAGGCCGCACTCCCCTTCCCCTTGCAGTTGCTCCACCCAAATTTTGGCAGGGTGGTTTGTTCCATATTTTCGTGATGTTCATTTCAGAAAAATGTGGGATTTTTTTTGTTACGGGTTGTTAGGGGAATGGAATAACGGAGTGGTATTTGTCGTTCAGTAAAATTGCTTTTCCATATTTTTTTTCTGCCTTACAGTTGACGTGCCTGTGTTTTTGCCGTGCTAGTGACACTTTCTGTTTGAAATTCAATTTGGCCTTGTAGATTTTATGCAGAAAAGTACATGATTTCTAATTTCTAGTCATTATCCATTTGATATATATGCAGTTGCTCGCGCCCAAGATTTGGCAGATGGGTTGTTCCATGCTTTCTGATATTCATTTTGGAAAAATGTGCTTTTTGGTTTCTGTTGTTACGGGTTATTAGAGAGAAAAAGCAATGAGATTTTGTCGTTCAGTAAATTGCTTTCCCATAATTTTGTTTTTCCTGCCGTACAGTTGACATGTGCCTGCGTTTTTGCCATGCAAGTGATACTTTCCGTTTGAAATTCAATTTTCCTTGCAGGCTTTATGCAGAAAAGTAAATGTCTAATTTCTAGCATTTTCATTCGGTACATGCAGTTGCTCGCGCCCAAATTTTGGCAAAGTGGTTTGTTCAACACTTTTGTAATGTTCATTTGGGAAAAATGTGGGTTTGGGTTTTTGTTGTTACGGTTTGTTAGGGAGAAATGAAATAAGGGGGATATTTGTCGTTCAATAAATTGCTTTTCCATGAATTATTTTTGTGCCATGCAGTTGACACGTACTAGTGTTTCTGCCAAGAGCAAGTTCGCGCAAGAACTATTGTTAACCATAGTTCGACTAAGTTAGCTCGAACTCTGTCTAGTCGACGATGGTTGAACCATGCTAGTCGACTATTTGGAACCAGCCTACTGGGCCCGGTCGCATGCTGGTTATCAGTAGTCTTGTTTCGTTACTTAAGTGGAGAGGGAACCATTGACAAAAGATTAAACGTAGTGAGTTGTACTACCCGCTGGTTGGCCTCGGAGACATCTCCTGGTTCATTCAACAGGTCAAAGAACATTAACAATCAAAACATACCCATGACCGCCCTATGTTGACAATGGTTCGACTAGAGTCGTTCGCACTTCGTTACAGTGCATGCGATTGTTTGAGTTCAACCAACCACTGGTTGACTAATGGTTGTTGCGCGAAATTGCACCATGCTAGTGTTAAATTCTGTTTGAAAAGTTTAGCAGATTGCTAGGTTTCGTACTTCATGTTTATTTAGGGAAAATGTGGTTTTGGTTTTTGGTGTTACGGGTTGTTTGGGAGGAGGGAATAAGTGATGATATTTGTTGTTTATTAAATTGCTTTTTCCATGAATTATTTTGTTTTTCTGCCAGACATGCAGCTTTGTGCCTGCATTTTTGGCACGCTGTTGATACTTTGTTTGAAATTCAATTTTCTTCGTCAAAAGGTACATTCTCAATGCAAAAGCAGCAACTTACTGAAATGAACAAAGGATTAATTCTCACCCGCAGCCACGGTAATACGGTGATGTCTATGCTCTACAAGATTTTTTTTTTTTTTTGCAGAATTATATTATTATTTTTTCCAGCCAAATGTTGCCAACAGAGATTTCTTTTTAAACAGCCACACAAGGTGAGGAAAAAAAACCATTTATTTTGGGAAATTGTCAAGTACACAGAAATATTCCTGGCATTCCCTCCCCCCCCCCCCCAAAAAAAAGGTTTTAAAGTCATTGATGAGCTTTTGTAACGTTGGACATTTATATCTGTACTTTATTGGTTATTGTTTGGAATGTGTTTGGGTGTTTTTTTTTCTTTTCTTAAGAAAGTCATTGACGTTATTGAAAAAGCAAAAAAGCATGTTCCAACCAGAAGCCTTTTTCACCTTCATTAATCTTAGAATATCCTAACTTTATTGATTTTGTGGCTTGGTTACTCGTTTTGTTGGTAAAAATGAAAAACTTGGCCCCCTCCTCCAAAAAAATGTACACAATTTTTTTTTTTAGAATAGTACACAAAGAGCAAATTTTGCACTTTCCTTTAGTTTCTTTGAACCAGTTATTTGTTTCAGAAAACTACAAAGAAAATGAATATTTAGAACCTCGTTTTGGCTCGATAGGAAGAAGATAAACTCATAGATTGACATTTCAACTGAAATAATTTGTTTATTTAAAAAAAAATCTGAAGATGATTAGTCACTATGTGCACATTGATTTCAAATTAGTTTGCCTTAAAACCTAACAAAAACATTCCAATGTGAAGTAATGGTTTGATTTTTTCTTGTTTCATAGTAACGTAATATTCAAGCCTTAAAAGTTTTTAAAAATTGTTCACTTAAATCCATCTGGATAAATAAAACAAGTTAATTAGAAGATGAAGTAGTTATATTATGTGCTGTTTGGACTGTGCTGACATTCTATTTATCCCAGGATCTGAGCATAGACTTTGTTTAATAGTTCTTGTTAATCCTTTTGTTTGATCAGTCACAGACAGTCAAAAATTCAGTCCTCTTTCCCTACCATGCGTTGTACACAGGCTAGTCACCAACAGTCAGATCATATTTCAAGCAAACACTCTGACTAGTCAAATTCCATCAACCGACAAAAGTAGGTGACTGGTAGGCACAGCCGGCTCATCAATCTCCTGCAGTCAAAGCATGGCTATATCAGGTTCCATAACAACCTCGGTCCCATGGGTACGAGATCTTGCTGCGCCGTGTTGTTTCCCATCATGCCTTTACGCCATCTCAACCCCTGGAATTGTTTGATTTAAATGTGTCAGAATATGGCACATTATAATTAGGCTGCAGTTTATCCGTTTTACGCGCCGACGCCGTCTTTAAAATGTTGAAAGTTGTGTTTTTGAAGAATCAATGCTTTCAAACATAAGGTTTGGACGTTGCATTATTTAGCAAAGATTTGTGTTAAAGGTATGTACCCCTTTCGTCCCTTTACAACAGCGATACAGGGGGGTTTTTTTTACGAAAAATGAGGCTGCCATATAAATCCATATCGTACCGGCATCGCACAGTTTTGAATATTCGTACGTGACGTGACGTGCAAAGAACGCGAGCGCATTTATGGGCACGCCCGGCGTGCAATCTTCGAAATGCCCGCGCAGTACGCTCTGAATAGCCAGTCTGCATCCTTTACGTACACTTTATGGCCAGGGGTTAGTGAAGGAACGCGCACGCGCCCATGGAGTCTAGGCTGGTTCCATAACCATCACAGCCAGTCAATCCTGCTTTAGGAAGGCAGGGAGCACTCAACTGTGAGAAACAGTCACTTGATTGATTTTGACTGCTGGACTGGCCTTGCTGAAATTGCCAACCAGAGAGATCTTAAAGAGCCATTCTGAGGATCATCAAATGAATTTGTGAAAAATTTAAATTTGTTTCAAAACATTGATGCTTCCTTAATTGAACAATTATACATTGTCTGGGATATGTGCTGGGCAGCTAGTTGAAAATAATTTTTTTTTTCTTAAATATTGTTAAAAATCATAGGTTGTCTCCGTAACACTGAAGATTTAGTGTGTCCGTTCCAACTCATCGGCCTTAATTCTAAATCAACCAGCTTATTGACTGATAAAAAAATTAATTTGCCAATTTACTAGTTACAAAGAAATCGGAAAATAACTTTATTTAATTAGCACAATTCAGATAATAAAACACCACGCAAGTTAAATTTGATTTGTGTCATCACAGTGTTATTTATTGTCAATTTTGCATTCAAATAAAAAAAAACAAATGAACGAGAGACTTAATTTAAACAACTTATTTGACTTAAGGTTGAGATTTATACATTATGGTAACATAATTGTGGTCATTGTCTTTACACAAAAAAAGTGGAATCTAGTACAGAACATAATAGTGCACTAGTATGAGAAGCATGTGTACCCTTAAATTGACAGTTTTTTTAAATGGTCACTCTTCGAAACATTTTACTGATGCCCTAATGAAAAAAAGAAAAAAAGAAATGCTGAAATAAACCACAAAGCGAAACTGACAATAAGAGTATGTTTGCAGTTGTACAATGTAACAAATACCTGAGGTTCTGATGAAGGCCGGAGGAAAACCTCATTTCAGGGAGTATGCTCTGCCCGTCAGAGACAGAAATTTATCTTGGGGAACATTCCTTGCACCCTTCCAACTAGATCAGACTTCAATTTTCCAAAGGAAAATAACTGCGCTACTAGTTTTGAACAGCCGGGTCATGATTTTAATGACTGACTATAACAGGCAAAGCCAGTTTTTTTTCCCCTGAAATTTACCAAACAGATTTGATAAGCAAATGCAAGGCAGTCATGATGGACCCCTCTCATAGACGGCCATCTTCGTAGGAACATTACAACTGCGTATTCATCTCCATCAGGTATGTGTGCGCGCAGTGTGCAAAATGTTCATTAACATATCTATTGATACCAACAGATACTACCCAGGTGGGTCCTGTTTATTGTTACCTAGTTTGCTGACAGGAATAACCATTTTGCTGATATAAATGACACATTGGGTGTCACACCTAACCTCCCCACCCCTCCCCCACCCTCACCCTCACCCCCACCCCCTCCCCTACCCTGCCATGTCCCTGACCGGGAACCTCGCTGTCATTCATAACGGTTGTGCCTCCTCCCTACTGCTCACTTGCAGAAGATTCAAGGCCGCTGCTTTGTATCTCTCCAGCGATTCATGGCTCTCCTTCGTGTTCCGGAGGGCTGTCACGGCGTCCCGATACCCGCTGACCTCCGGTGACCTCAGGTAATCCAGCTCTTCCCCCGGGCTCACGTCGCCGGCAATGTTATCCTGAAATGATCCACCACAAACAGTAAGTGTGCACAAAATGGAGTTGGCTGTAGATTTTGCAAATACACAATGATTATATAAATGTACTGCTGTTTATAGTGGTGTTCTCTAACGTGGCGCACTTTCGACGTTTCCCCCGACTTTCTTCATGCAGTTTTGCCAAACTTCTTTGTTGACAAACTTCAAATTCATTCAGTTAAATACTGATACTTTAACCTTAATAATTCTTGCTGTTGAACCTTTGTGAACAATTTCAGTGTCATGAAATTTAGTCTGAAATTCAAAATGGTGGCGTCCAGAAATTGCCTCACGTGGCGGACTTGAACAATTCTCGGAAAATAATAGTGATAAATTTTTTCAAGAACAGCACTGTGTCCATCCCATTGTTAAGACCGAAAGGTAGGATTATGTAAGATGTTGATTTTTGGTAGATTTTGTTTGATAAAACTCTCTTACAATTTTTTTTTAGTGAGCACTTTTGCTACGTATTTACCTTGCTCTTCATCCTAGCCAGCGCAGTCATAACAGAACGGCGCGATGCACTGATGTCCCACACGTACTCCTCCATGTCCTCCTCAGTTATATCTGCTTCCCATGGCTCAGTAACCTGCAATGAACAAGCGTAAATTGTACATTCAGGTGCATACAAGAAGCCAGAAGCAAACAGGGCCCCAGTTTGTGGCTTTGCTTTGCAAACAGCCAATCCATTAAAGGTAGAGTATATCATTTGCAGCTATCCAAAAAAGTAACTGACAAAGTTATTGTTAAAAGCATACTTGGTTTAAAGACAGTAATGGCACTAATCTCCCTGTGAAATTATTCCTTCTGGCATGCTGTCATTTTAATGAAAGCAATAAAAGAAGGTCATTTCCAAAGATGCATCAAGTGACATATTTTTGGAAATCTCCGTTAGTAGTTGGTTTGTAAGACTCCATCCATTAGTTATATCTTACCCAGGCTTCATGGAGGAGCACAGTCATTAAGTACATGGCATAGTCCAGGTTCTGCTTTCTGACCGGGCACCTAAAACGAGTGAGAAAAAGAGGTAATAACTACCGCTGGGTGAGTAACTCACTTATTCGTGTACTCACGAGTAGTTTATGCTACTCGTTCTACTCTCGGTTTTTCATCTACTCGAGTACTCGTCCTGGCGCGAGTAGCAGCAGGCACTCGCGAGTAGCAATTTAGAGTTTAGGGTTCACGGCTTAGTACGTCCCCTGCAAACATGGAATCACTCCCTCCACCTCTCTCTCCCTAGGACTCAATTCGTCCCGCCAAAAAATTAAAGTTACTGACCCAAAACATCACACAGTAAGGATATCTCAGTGCTGAAAAATGGGGTGCGACTTGCACGCTATTTGCTTGTAAGCTACTTCACGTCATACTAACGTGTGTAATTTTTCTGCTTTGATGGGAATTTTTGTTAACTGCTCGCGAGTACTTGACTACTCACGAGTAAATTCTCTGCGAGCAGTCGAGTAGAAAAATCCACTATTCGCCCAGGCCTGATGAGTAAATTTGGTAACACCTGTTTTTTGGGTTGGGGTGGGAGATACACCCTGTATATCCGATTGTTTTGTCCTGACTTCTTACCTATCTGTGGTGAGCGTCAGTGTCTCCGTTTTCTTGTTGTACCTTTTGCCGGCGAGCTGAACCAGCTTCCAGTGGGCGTGCTTGTCTAACGGAAGATCCCTCAATTTGAGCTGAGATTTAACAAAGACAATTCGCCATGAAAAAAAATATAGATCTCAAGCTGGCTGTCAGTTGTACAAAGTCAAAAATATTTATAATTTATCATGAATGAAGGAATGTTATGCAATACAATATGATTATATCTTTCCTGTACTTGTACTATTTATGCTTTGAGAGCCAAAACAAAACCTTATTGCGCAACTTGCGCAACATTTCAACGTGGCACAACATTTCAGTTATGACAATTTCACAAAACTTTCATAGTGTGTAAGTCCACGACTTACACAACAAATTGGGGCCTTACTTCCGCGATCATTTTAGGTGGCTTAAGCTGTGGCGTAGCGACTGAAAATTACCTATTTTACCAGCAAATTGTGATCATCGTGGAGTTTATTATGCAGCTGCGCGATAAATTTGTTACGTAAGTCCTATGCATGGCATAAGTTATACACTGTTTTTTTTTGTGAAATCGGCTGCACCTCGTTCACATTAAACTTTAGAATGGGCAATAACCATAGAAAAACATTCTGTGATGGCTGGTTCAAGGGAATGCCCATGCGCCAAGTGAATTCATATTTGCCCGGACTTGAAATGTGTTCCACATTTTCATCCCAAGCGTGAAAACGTGACACGATGGCGCAAATTCACGTTAAAGCTCCCGTTCGTACCGCACATGAACCGGCCCTTAGCATGGCAATAACGTGCCTTCAATGTGACGATTCTGGCATCGGGATGTCTTAGAGATGCTCCACTGAAGACGTAGTCTGATGTGATCACTTCCAGAGGGAAGTGCTTCTCACAATCCTCGTCAGTTTCTAGTCCTTCGGGCCACTCGGTGCAAAACTCTACAAAAATCAAGAATTGTTGTCAACAATGTTACTGAACCCTTGCTGTATTACGCCTTCCAGAACACTTCAATAAAGACTCTATTGTACCAAAAATTGGTACAAGGTTAACCCCGCAAGAAAATGAAAGTCCACACTAATGGAGGGGTCACAATTTTGAATCTGATCGTCTTATGATAACGTCATTTGTATAGACCTTTGGGAATGTTGTTAGCTACATTTTGATACCCTGTTTGCTACCAAAGACTGTAAATTGTCCAACACTGACAGCGGTTTATGAAAAATGATGCAGTTTGAAAAGTTGCAAATCGGTAACCACTTTTGTCAACAAAAAAGCAACTTGTACCTTGTTAACTGTAGACTACTGAATGCAAAATACGTACCTTTGAGTGCTGCGCAGTGTTTCTTGATTGCAGGGGGAGTCAAGTGAAGGAAGTTTGGAATCTAGAAACAAGGAAATAACAATGTTACTTTACTCTTGTAAGATTTGCACTTATAAACAAATATCCTTTTATTGTTTAATAGACGATTTGAGCAAAAAAACGTCTTAGCCAGTGTAAAAAGCTTTTGTCCCCTGCTCCCTTTACATCACGGCAGAGTTGTAATGACTCTAGTCAATGACTCGACTCGAGTCAGATCGAATCACAATTTTTGGTGACTCGAATCGACTCAAGTCCCAACGGGTAACTGACTTGACTCGAGTCACTGTGAGCAAATTACTCAATTCGACTCAAGTCCCTCATCAAGAGCCTTGACTCAACTCGAGTCAAAGGCTAATAATACTTAAGTCCCCAAACTGTGCGAAACTATATTTGGGGTGTTTTACGGTAAAAGGTTATTAATTAATGTCGGCACTCGTACTTGGCATTACAGACAAGTTGTGGCCGCTTATAGCATACAACTCAACTTGAGTCACTTCCTTAAATGACTCGATTCGACTCGAGTCACAAAATTCAGTGACTCGTCACAACTCTGCATCATGGATGGAATTCCTACATTTTCTTAGCTTTTGGTGAAATTTAGCCCAAAGCTTCTTCTTACCAAATATCTGTATTAACATTAACTTCTGAGGCTGATGCCATCAATTCCTCCGCTGTGTTGCAGTTCTTTCACTAACTTTGCGCTTTCTTTGTACATTCTGTGTTCTTTGAAGTGGCAACAAACTCTATGTAAAGCCCTACGGGAAGTAACAACTGGATTCTTTTCCTTTTTAGGAGAACAAACCTTGAGTAGCTCAGCGTTTCCATACTTGTGCGGCGGAACACCTCTCCTGACCGGGTAGCCCATCCTGAGAGGCAGCGGCACGGCAGACCACTTGAAGGGGGCTGCTGTGGGATAGACGTTACTCCAATCCTGGTCCTCTTTCATTCTCAGCTCTCTCGGGGGTGGCAACTGGCCCAGGGGGAAAGAAACATCACAGACTTATGTCGGTGATTAAACATGCAATACAAATGCACATATGCACACAGCAGAGTTTTCCTTGAAAAAATAGCAATTTTAGTCACACGCACACAATCGTACTTTACATAACTCTCAAGTTCAAGGCACTGTCTTTCCCTTTGTCCCTTTCATATAACACTCTCCCATAGACTGAACACACAAACCCATAATCGAGGACTGTTTTCAACAAAAGATGACGGCTGGTAAGGACAACAGAGTATCTGTTGTTCTTAAAGGATTTCGCTTACCGGTTCTCGTTTTCTGAGCTTTTCCTGCATGGCTCGCATGGCTTTCCCTCGCAAGGAATGCTTAGAAACCCCTGCCAAAGATGAATAGTGTACATGTGTGGTCAACTGCTGATGTTAATCAAGCAATAATTATGCAATTTAGGAAGCGTGTGTGAGGTAAAATTGTCTGAGGCATTGTCCAATAGTGACAGCCTTATTAGGATTGTAGTGTATACTGGAGTGCACTATGAGGGTGCACTATACACGAAGGATTGACAGAAGGAACATTTGGGGGTAAAATGACGGTGACAGCGCGGCGACAGCACGCGAGCGCGAGTGACGCGACCCGAAAATAAACATGGCGATCACCGCGGTGTGTGCCGCACTGAATTGCAAGGCACAAACCACGCAGGAAAATCGTGTTTCTACCCTAAGAATCTCTTCAAAATTGCAAAAGAAGTGTCATTAGAATTGAGAAAGTCTGCTTTTGATTGTAAAAGTGATTTTTGAGCAATAAAATACATTTTTGACTCAATTTAATCAAAACAAAACAGGCATGACAGGCAGACAGGGGCCCTACACTTCACGATCGCCAGTAAATTGGCCACATTTTATGGGGTTAGAATTTCATGCATGTCGAGTGTACAATTTCAATTTGTAAGTTAACCTGTTATTTAACCATGTTAACATTAACAAATAACACACAAACATTGATCATCATGATCATGTCACTGCATGTTGTCAATGGTTGATAAACATGTTTAAAATTGTTACTGTAGATTGTTACATGACAACATACTCTCGATTTCGGAATCAACATCTGGTAACGACGTAGACACAAGGGAACTGTGTTGGCTATTCCGCCTGATGCCTTGTAACTTAACAAACTCCGTTGCCGACGAAACAGAGCAATTCCGCAGACAAAAACACGGGCCAAACAGGCGCCGGCATGCGACCCAGGAGGCTGCCATTTTGTTTTGAGAACAACTGGAGGGCGCCCTTCAGGCTGCCGCACTACTCGCAAATGACTCGACTCGACTCGACTCGAGACAGTGCGAGCAAATGACTCGACTCGAGTCCCTCATCTGATCAGAATGACTAGACTCAACTCGAGGAATGCGTGACCCGAGTCCCAAAAATGAAAGCAAAACTGCACAAAAAAAATGTTTGCATGACTTAGGCCTACACCGGTGCCGGTTTTTGTTCACGTCACGTTATTCATAATTAAATCTCATTTTGAATTTGAATGCCAATTGTGTGTGTAACCAATATCTGGTTCTCACTCAGCTGAAAGCTTCAAAGCATTTTTTTTTAACTTTCCATGAAACAGCTGCAAATTTTTTTTTTTTTTTAATGAACATGCACAACTTCTGATAGCAAGCAACAATTAAGTAATTCATTTTTCAAGATGAGTTGAAGAACCAAATAAGTTCATACGTGCTTCTTTGTGTATATCAATGTATGCTATAATTATTTTCTAAGGGAAAATAATAATTTGAATCCTCGCCCCTTATAAACAGGGTGGGTAAAAAAAAAAGCAGAACCCCCCCCCCCAAAAAAAATATATATATATCAGTGATGTAGTGCCTTGATGCTGGGCCTTGGCCTTAAGGCTGCCTTAAGGCTGGATTTTAGGGCCTTGGCCTTGGCCTCGAGGCTTGAGGGCTCAAGCCTTGGCCTTGGCCTTGGCCTTGAGGGTTCAGGGCCTTGCAATTTTGAGTCAAGGCTCTTTAAGGCCCATAGATTTTTGCATTTTCCAGATAAATCTGTTCGAAATGTTGCTGTTACCATTTTGTATTACCATGGGAGGAGGGAAGCACCCTGTTGATTTGTGTGCTGGGCACACTTCCACTTTTGTAGCATCACATTTTGTTACCATTGTAGTAGATTTGCTGCAAAAATATTCCGTACACTTGTGGGGCTAATGAGGTGATCACTTTAATTGCATATAACTATGGAATAGATCTGATTGGTTGCATATGTGTCCCTGATAAGTGCTAAAGATTTGCATGTATCTGTTTTAGATAATGCTGATATTTCTGACCATGTTGGGCCAGCAAATAAAAAATTCCCAAATCAGTTTCTTGGATCCCCCTTTTGTTACACTTGGGAGAACTGTGTGTCAATATAGAAGTACATGTAAATAATTATTTTGTTTAGTTAAACTATATCGAAAACCTGAACTTATACTTTAATAGATACAGTGCTGTCATAAAATGGTGTAGGCCTATGCGAGCATGTTGATTGCAATTAAAGAAATGCTGTTCTTCGTAACGAGCAATTCGTGATGATAAGGGCGGATCCAGGGGGGCCAAAAGGGGCCATGCCCCCCCCCCAAAAAAAAAACCACCGAAACCATTTTTTTTTATGTGATGTCGTAATAAAGGCAGGCAATGAGTACACCACCATCTTTTCCTCAAAAAACATCGATTAAAATGGTCAGAAATTGCCTCAAATCGCACCACAGAGCATCTCGAATCCAAAATTTTTTCGGGGCCTTTAAGCGGGCCCCAAAGCCCAAGCCGTCATTTTTTGACCCACTTTTTGGGGGGGGGGACCAAAATTTCTTTGCCCCCCCCCCCCCCCAAATTGTGCTCTGGATCCACCCTTGCGTGATGACGTGTCACTCATGTGACTATAATTAGTTCTATATCAGTGGTCATTTCATAAAACAGGGCCTTGGCCTTGGGCTTGAGGGTTAAGCCTTGGCCTTGGCCTCGAGGCTTGGGGGTCAAAGCCTTGGCCTTGGCCTTGGCCTTGAGGGTCAAAGCCTTTGCTCCAACACTGATATATATTTCTGTAAAACAATATGTAGCACCATAATTATTAATGACTGGAAAGCCAATTTAATAACCTACTTTTAGATAAAAAAAAATACTGAAATTGCTCAATCCGTTCAAAGAATATCACCATTTAAACACAATTTTTTTTTTTAAATATGAAATATATTTTTTTTGCGGGGGGGGGGGGGGGGGGGTTGGGTTCCGCTTTTTTTTTACTCACCCTGTAGCAGAAAAGCAGATTTACTGACATTTTCGAAGACTCTGTTTTTCTGCCTCGCTGATACAAGAAAAGCAAAATTTACATTTTAATAAAATCCATTTTCTGCTTTTTTGGTAGCTGAAAAGTTAAGCAGATTTTACTTTTCCGCCTTTGTTGGCAGACGAAAGAAAAAAGTCAAAATCTGCTTTTCTCTGCTCGAGAATAGAGCATGGCAGAAAAGCATATCCGATGAACGGTTTCGACGTGTCCATTTCCTGCTTTTCTGCCAGTTAAAAAGCTTTCAGATTTTACCCAAGCGGCCGATTTTGTTTTGCTCTGTTCCAAGTTTAAATTTGATGGTTTGTATCGTTGATAAGGAAAGTCGCGGGGAACAGTTGTAACTGCATGAGCTGGGCAGGTTTCAGCTTTGACGCGGGTCGGCCAAGTTGTATTTCATCAATAGATGGCGCTACATAAGTAAGCAAGTGCAACAGGGAAAATCAATCAATTTGCGACGTTGCTGCGGGACTGATACATTGATACCAAAGGGAATTTGGATTGATAAAGTAGTTTTATAGTAACTTAATTTTCCCTGAAAGTTTATTCTGAGACAAAACAATCAAATTTTTAATGAATATTTGACCTTAAAAAGTGTTAATAATATTGTATAAGTCATAACATGTGATAGAAGTGTGTTTTGATAATTGACTGTCGGCCGAAAGCCCCCTTGATTTAATTTGGACGAGTCCCTTGGATCCTGGTTGATTGTTGTGTGTAGTATAGTACAGGTTGGAAGACACGGTGAAGTGAAGTAAAAAGCTTGTTCTGAATTTCGCCAAAAATCATGTCTTCCATTACCTAGTTTATTTACAGCTAGGCTCAAATTCCATCCCCAGTGAAGATATGGATGAACCATCGAGGTAGTATAAAATGCCATTTTGATGGCAAAACAGGATGGATCATAATAAGTCGCCGGCATGACGGAGTTTCCGACTCTGTGTGTGCTCAACTACGACCGGGATGGAGCAGAGCAGCAGCGGTCGACCGCCGTGGGGCTACGGTTGCCAAGACCGCGTAAGCCGCGGCCGAGATCGCGCACCCATCCTCCTCGGGAGCTGGAGAGGGACGGGGCCGCGGCGGAAGCAAGGGATCGTGAAGGGCTGGAGTTTTTAGCCAGGGGTGTGCAAGGGAGTGGAGAGTACGGGGCAAAGACTCAACTTAATACAACTCCAGTAAGTAGGCGATTGTGAACAAAATTCCACTTTTATTTCATGATTTTAGTCCGAGTAACTAGCAATGACTAGGACTCTACGAATCGCCTTTTTTAACATTTGGACATGGTCGGGCGCCCGACAATGTCCCAAAAAAAAGGCGTTCGTAGAGTCCTAGTTACTCGTACTATTAATTATCGAAGTGGCTATCGTTACGGCAGCCGTTGTTTAGCGCCCTCTATGATACTTTTTTGATATGCACGCAGGTATATAATCATTTGTTTCCCCACGTTTTAGCGAGCAGTGTGACAGCTCAGTCGATAGAGGGTAGGATTTTGCACCGCGAGGTTGCGGGTTCGCATCTCAGTTTTGCACTCGAATTTTTTTCCTTTTCTAACCTAAGGCTTTGGAGGATTTTTTTTAAAAAGGGAAATAAAGTCCGAATTTCATCACGTTCAAATTCACTTTTTTCCTTCTAATTTTATATTTTCTTCTCATGTTTTTATAAAAGTTGCAGTCTACCGTAACGATAGAAAATGGGAAATGCGTTACGGCTGCCGTAACAATAGCCACTGCGTTTAATTATAGTTTTATCTTCAGTATTGGACTTACTCAACTAGTTAGCAACATTTGCTTTTGCTGTAATTTTTGATTTTTTTGATGGATTTGGGGGTTAGTAAAACTTTGTATTTTACAGGCTATACAGCAAATATTGTTTTTGAGAACATTCATGTTTAGCCTTTCGCCAAGGCCATCGTGGCTTAGACTCTTAGTGGTGAAGCTTCATTTAGGGGTAAAACAACGATGAAGACGACAAGATGCAACATGAAAATACAGATGGCGAGCACCATGCATGACACACCGTCAATGCCTGAAACCCACGGTGATACTCATGGTTCCAACCATAAAACACGTGAGAAAATCACTTGGCATCAACTGTAAAACGCGTGAGAAAATCGCATTTTTTTCACTGCTAGAACCCGTTCAAAAGTACACAAAATTGTGTCATTAGAATCAAGAGAAATCTGCTATAGGTTGAAAAAGTCATTTTGGAATAATACAAACGGAAAGATTTCCATATACGAAGTTCACTCAACACCCTGTGTACAAACCCTATGAGATTGGACTGAAAAATTCTAAGTGTTCTAAGAAAATGCTTGTTTTTTCTCACTGCTCAAATTGACTTTGATGACATGAAATTGCTATCTGGGGGCTTGTTAGTCAATACAGAGGAAAATTAGTGAACTTCGTATATGGAAATCTTTCCATACAAACATCCTTAATTGACTCTAATTCGACAAAAATTATAAAGGGGCCCATCACAAAGCAACACACTTTAATGTAAGTAGGATTGATTCTTTTGTTTTTCTTTAAATTCCGTTCCCTGTGCTATTTTTGAGTTTCATCCCAGAAAATAGAATCCCTTTTCTAAATCGAAGGGTTTATTTTACTGGGTTTGTGTGTCAGCACTTCCCCTGTGCATGCTTCATATGCTAAACGTAAATGAGTTTTCTTCCTTTATTGTTTATAATCAAATCATACATTTCTGATTCATACTTCACAACCCTGGAGGATTGTTTTTAAAAGGGAAATAAAGTCCGAAATTGCAATGGGCCTGATGCTGTCACCTGGATATGTTTAAGGGGGAAAAATGGCATCCGAATACAGGCTGAAGCAAATGTATCAGGTTTTATCTTACACGCCATCTTGTCGAAGCATATGTAAGACACTGTGGCATTTGATAGCATGTATACATGTAGTATGCTTGCTAGGCGCCATCTGTCTGAATAAACTGAACTTGGCATTCAAGACCTCTTGAAATGAAACCCGTTTCATTCGTCCATTGCCTTGATTGCGTTACTAAGCAAACACCCTTGACTGTCAACTGTTTGTTGAATCAGGGCAAAACAAGCTTGTTATCTGAACTGTGCTTTTGTTAGATTCAAGTATAACAGGTGTCATAGACCTTGTACCTGTACAAAATGGAATGAAATTGTAAACTTGTTACCGTCCAAAGGTTAGCCGAGGGGGGGGGTGCCCCCACAAATTCCCAGTGCCCTCCCTGGTGCCCCATCCCCCCCCCAAAAAAAACCTTAAATTTGCTGTCTTTTTAAAGTATCATTTTTGAGTAATGAAACAGAAGAGGAGTGAAGTTGACTATTTTTTACTCGATTATAATCCCCTTAATTATAATCCCCTTAATTCCCTTGACCCTAGGCCTACAGCTTTATGAAATGTGAATAAATTGGTAAGCCAAAAGAGTGCCCTTTAGCGTCAACAGATGTCCAGCCCCCCCCCCCCCCCCCCATCATATTCTAATATGCAGCACCTGGAAATTTTTGAAAAATTTTGTTTTGGGTCTGCCCTTGGTGTCTCCCCATATTATGTTGTTCACCCCCCCCCCCTGACAAAATGCTGTTTGATGTTGTGTGATAGGTTTGTTGAAAATATCGTGTGTAAAAAGTTGCATAATGTATTTCCGTTTCAAGAAAGGGTACTCTATACATGTATGTATCTTGCTAAAAAGAAATTGTAACAAAATGTTTTGTCTCCTTTGTGTGTTTGTTAATATGTCAAATCATTTGTATTTAACCTGTGATGGGCTTGAACACACCTTAGGCTCCTTTACACTGTCACTCAGCAACTTTACGCAATACCAGATATCCAATTCAGTAGTTCATCAATCAACTTGAACATGACAACAACATCCCTCATTTTGCTTTTCTTCAACCAGTACCGTTACGGCTCTTCCAAAAGTTCCAGCCTTCAAGCCTCAAGGGACGACAACCAGTTGAACCCCAAGCATTCCCACAGCTCCTACACCACCCCTGAGCTTCCCCAATGCATTCACAATGGGCACCATCGTAGTCTCTCGGAGCCGCCGCCTCGTGCCAGTGAGCGCGCTCACACAGCACCGACCTCGGCCTTCTCCTTGCCCGTGCTGCGACAAGGGGGAGCCGGGGACACCAGCCTGACGGTGAATGCTGAGCTGTTGCAGGATCCCAAATGGAACGAGTACCTGAGCGCCTGGGTGTCGGGGGCACAGGTGAGTGTGGGGTCTACCCGATGTTCCCCAGTACCGATGTTCCCCAAAATCCTTAGGATTAGGGTTAGGGATAGGGTTAGGGTTAGGGTTACATATAGGTATAGGGGAACATGGGTATGAACCCGTGAGTGTAGTCCTGTTCAAGCTATAGCGCATCCCAAAATACCCACAATTTGTTTTTGCGAGGCTCTAGCGTTGGCGCTGAAACACGTACCGACGTTATTTTTATACTATTTTAAAGCTTGGAATTTGAACTTTATCTCTGCTGAGTATTGGTTTGAAATTTAAAAGAGTTTTGAAATTATTTGCGTTCAACTAAAGGCATGTTGAAAACAAACTCAACTTATTTCAAGGAAAGTCAATGATGCGATACATCAGATATCTGATGCAAACTCGAGTCAACAAGCTGTTGAAAAAAAATAAGGAAATACAGAAAGTAAAAGGCAACGAGATCGTCACATCATGGACACGATGAAGCATTTCCACATTAGAAAAAATGCGCATGATTGATTCTCCTTGAAATCGGTTCAGTTTGTTTTGACATGCCTTCATTTGAACAAGAATAATTTCAAAATCCTTTTGAAAATCAAACCAATACTTACCAGGGATAAAGTTCAGACTCCAAGCTTTAAAATGATATTTTGCTAGATTATACTCTACAAGGTGGTCCAAAAAACCCTGGAACCTCATACTTCCACTACCCTGAGACTCAAACCACAGTTACCAATGCATGGAGAATCTTTTAGAACAAAAATGAAACCAAGATCGCGGGATTCAGTCCAGTAGTTTCTGTTCTAGAGCCTATTTTGTGAAGCAAGGTGGGGGTCATTTTGTTCCAATGAATTACTAAACCGTGCCGGGGAATTGCCTTGCATTGTAATTGATAGAGGGATTGTTATCTAATATAATACCCACATGAAAGAAGTATCCTTCACAAAATAGGCTCTGCAGCAAAAACTACTGGACCGATTCTGGAAATTTTGGTATCATAATTTTTCTGAAAGGATTCTCCATCAATTAGTTCAGGTGGTTTGAGTCTCAAGGTAGTGGAAGTATGCCGTTTCGTTGGTTTTTTTTGGACCACCCTGTATAGTGGAGCCCCAGTGTTGTAGTACTCGTACTCGAGTACTACTCAAGTACTTTTTTTAGAGTACTCGTACTCGTACTCGAATGTCAAAGTACTCGTACTCGAAATCACGGTACTCGTACTGGGGCAGCAAAGTACTCGTACTCGACATTTCGAAATTGTACTCGATCACCAAATTACTCGTACTCGAATAGCAGTACTCGGGGAAAAAATGGTTTAGCTTGACTAAACCACGGCCTTATTTTATTATCGATACTTTCAGTTGGAAGTAGTTGATTGGCTTGCAGACAAATCAAAGTTTCCAGATTTTTCTCTGTGCACGTCCGGACAAACACATTTAATAGCTAGCTGTGAGTGGGTCTGTATATTGGTCTGACTGGGCCTGGGCCAATTATGCACAATGAACCATTTGCCATATGGCCGTATTCGGAAATAGAAGTACTCGTACTTGAACTCGGAAGTATAATTACTCGTACTCGAAAACCTGAACTTGTACTCGGAAGCACAAGTACTCGTACTCGGTAACTACATGTAAGTACTCGGCAGTACTCGGTACTCGGTACTCGGAAAAAAATACCGGACTACAACACTGTGGAGTCCCCTAACGTGGCGCACTTTGATGTTTCCCTTGACTTTCCCCATGTATTGTTGCTATTGCAAAACCTCTTTGTTGACAAACTTCAAATTCATTCAGCTGAATACTGGTACTATTACCTTAATCATGCTTGCTGTTGAACCTTTGTGAACAATTTGGGTGTCATGAAAATTTGTTCGAAATTTAAAAGTGGTGGCCGGAATCGGGTACAAATTCGGCCGAGTGTTCCCTCTTAAAATGTGGCGCACTTGAACAAATCTCGGAAAAATCCCACATAGCATTTCTTTAAAGTTGATAAATCCTGATAAATGATTATTATCTCCACTCACATACCCAACTACAAGCTTGTCAGAAAAAAAGAAGTTTGCCATTTTAAGAGTTTTGGTTGTGTGCTTTAAAACAAAATCGAAAAGTCATGCCAATGTCACCAAAATAAAATTTTGTAGCGGGTTTAAGATTTATGAAATGTCACTGTGAAATTTCAGGTGCATTTTTTGCTCTAGCAAGGCACTAGAGGCGAAAAATCAAAGTGCGCCACGTTAGGGTCAGCGCCACGTCAAGGCATACATCAGCAATATCTGCAGATGACTAGCTGAACATGCTTATGGGCAATTCCACGGTTACTCATGTAACATTTTTGATGTACTTTTGAGTTTCCTTGGGCTGTAATTACCTTACTGACAAGGTTTAATAGCTGTTATCCCCATGGTAGATAGAGTAGACCTAGACCTACCTAAGCACCAAAGATGACATCCAGAAAAATGTGTTATGTATGATATAACAAGACATGCAAAATCGGTTACTCACATTATGAAAATGTAACACGAGTAACTGATTTTGTGTGTCTTGTTTATCATACACAAGCTGGTTTACCCGATCATAGATCGGGTAGGGCGTAGTGTTGGGGATGAAAATGTGGGGAGTTAAATGTAAATGGGGGATATAGTTGGGGAGACATGCAGTTAAAGAATAGCAATTTCTGTGGTGTGATCTGAGGCAATTTCTGATCACTAAAACCAATTTGAGCAAAAGATCATCTGTGAAAGTTTTGAGTTTTGAGTAATTGAATCAGCTATATGTATTCTGAGCAAAAGAAACATTATTGTAGGCTACAATATTTTTATTCGGGGAAGAAAAAGTGTGTGGGGGGGGGGACCAAACAATGTCCCCCCTCAAAATGTGTGTGTGTGTGGGGGGGGGGGTTCCCCCTGTCCCCCGTCGATTTACGCACATGATAATTATGTACCATGGCAACTGTCTGTAAATGTTGCCGTTGGTCTGTTAAATTGGCTTTTTGTGAGGCAGTCGCATTTGGAAAACGTAGTGAAAAGGTTACTGTAGTACACAGGCGAAGGCTGGTTGTACAGTTTGACAATAAATCATAATGCAATAAAACGTGAAGGTGTCATTTAAAATGAAAATGTTGAGTGTTACCAAAAAATTACAAACGGTCTGAATCATGGAGGAAGGTCATAATTAAGTTTCAGTATTGGACTCTTCAACAAACGTAAACTTGAACTTCTTACAATTTGCGAGACCGTCTGCGATTCAACTTTTATTCAAGTTGGTTCAACCATCTATATATAAGAGCAAGTTTTACTTGGCCTCCGAGAAATGTTTGCTTCTGAAAGGATCCGAGACCGCGGCTTCACGTCCGTGGAAAAATGTGGGTGTCTTCTTCCGGGTCGGACACTTTTTCGTCGATTTTTTTGTGACTTCGTTTTAAGATCGCGATATTTGAAGCAATTAATGCATCGATCCTTCGTTGACCCCAAACAGGCCCCCGAAATTATAACGCGACACTGAATTATACCTGGCGGGCAGCGAACTCACAACGCTCAGCCTTCGTGGTGGAAGCATGGAGCTGTAAACACATTATGGAAGCAACAGCACTCTATCACGCGACGTCACATGCTTGCGCTTCAAATAGCGAGCACCGTAGACCCAACCTCGTTTCCAGGGTGTGGAGCAGGCTGCAGTACGCGTTGCCATCGACAGTTTTGCATAGCCCGGAAATACTACGCAGTGTAGACTTTCAATTGGTCAGACCGCGCAAGGCATACTTAATGTGTAGTCCTTCTGAGTATTCGTTGCACTCGGCGCAGGGGCGGCAAGCGAAGCATACGAAAGAATAGGGGCACTTGGTGGCCACGCACCATGGAGAAAAAATATTTTACCAAGGTCACACCAACCACAATTTGGTGAACGCTTTTGCAGAACGGCCGAGTAGAACACGTAAACGGAACCCTTACGTCAAAGCCGCTGACCTCGCACAGTCTAGACACGCAGAAAAGCCAGCACAGGGGGCGGCCAGGCAGTCAACGTGAAAGCGCACACGACGGCAAATTCCTGCGCAAAATGCAGTCACGAAAAATAGACGAAAAGGATCGCCGGTCCGTACGGGAAAATCAGGACGACCCGAAGTGTCCGACCCGGCGGAAGACACCCTCCGAATTTTTCCACGGACATGGAGCGATTTCGGCGCAGCGGGAGCCCGCGGTCTCGGATCCTTTCATGAGCAAACATCGTCTCGGAGGCCGAGTTAAACTCTCTCTTATATATATAGATAACACATTTTTCTGGATGTCATCTTTGGTGCTTAGGTAGGTTGAGGTCTACTCTATCTACCATGGGGATAACAGTTATTAAACCTTTTCAGTAAGGTAATTACAGCACAAGGAACTCAAAAGTACATCAAAAATGTAAAGTGAGTAACCGTGGAGTTGCCCTTATGTGTACATACTAGTAAGCAGACAGTAAACCATAATTGTGCGTGCTGCACAGCTTTCGTGAAAGCCTTACAAAGAGCAGCCTACAGACATTTGTTCTGTCTGGTCCGACTTTGTCCAATTTAAACAAGCCCCATTCCTATATTTGTGGCCACCTCAATCTACAAACACAGTGTGTTTGGTCAAAGTGTTACATAGTGTGGCACCAGGATATTTGGACAGCTTAGTGTTAGGGAAAAAAGTGTCTGTAAGAGTGTGAAGTCCCTTACACCCTAAGTGCAAACACCCCACATACCACAGAGGTTTATGAGAAGGTATTTTGCATATAACTGACTCATGTTGGGTCACAGTGAACTTTCTGTACAGCTTAAATGCAGACTCTTTTCTCTACAAAATTGTACAAACTATTTTTTTTTAAAACAATGCAGTGATCTGAGCTTGAAATAATAGACCAAAACTGGTTTAAATGTCCATTATTAAGGAAATAAATATGTGCTTCACCAGTTTAAACAAGTACGTTTAAAGGGAATGTACAACATTTGCTTTTAAGGCATTTTTTGGAAATAAATGGATTTGGTGGATTAGTATGTTATAACAAATATTGTTAAAATGACTTGTTTCACGTTTTGGGCTTGTATTACCGATACATGTTTGATTCCTATATTTAATTGACTACCTGTATTGAGTGTCTCTTTTGAAAAAAAAGATACATCTTAGGCCAAATGGGGAAAAAAAGGTTTAGCATCCCCCGCCCGCTTGCTTTTTGGAGGCCGTGTGCTTTTTTCTTTCTTTAAAAAAAAACAAAAAAAAAAAACACAATTATACATATTTATTATAATTATTATAATTATAAACAGTGACATCATTTTGGCCTCTTTGTCTGTTGTGTCTAGCCCATATAAAGCTGGTATGTCATTTCCTGAGTCCAATGAGGGCCATTTAAAAAAAACCTGGCAGCCATCTTGAAAAATAGCCCAGTCAGGCAGCCATTTTGTAGGGGGAAAAAAGGGCCTCCGGCATACGCTAAACCTTGTTGTTTTTTATTTGGCCTTAAACAAAAGTTATAACTGTAAAAAAAAAAAAAACCTTTTACTGTGCTACTAAAAACACCGAAAATCAGTTCAGTGATTTTCTTTTATATATAAGGGGACAATTCAAATCAGGTTAAAATATGGTTTTACAATCTCAATTTTTAAATACAAACTTAGTCATTGGAGTTTAAGACAGAGCCCAGACTGTATAGTGATAAATTAGGACTTGCTGGACTTAGACACATTTCCCCTATACGCACACAAATATATCTTGTTAATCGCACGCAAGCAAACACTATCAAGTACAAAGTTTGTGTCCCAATTGAGGGCCACTGAGTTCTTCAGTCATTTGGTGTTGGGTATTGTGCAAACACTTGATCTTTCACCCCTGGCGGTGTAATTCAGTAGTACGTGTTGTGATCCCAACCATTTGTCAGATTCCGTGCCCTTTGCTGGAATTGGGAAACTGTACCAAGTGTCCTTGTGCGTGGTCATGTCCACTTCAGTTTTCCCCAAAACAAAACACTTTGAATTTTATAAATCGCCAATAATAGATTCCAAGGGATAATGAATCATGAATCAAAAGTGAAGGCTTGAGAACTGAGAAGTGCAAGTGACCCAGCCAGAAAGAGCAATAATGGTGGTATTTTTATTTTTATTTAAAGGGAATGTACATCATTGGCTTTTGCTGTAATTTTCAGAAATGAAGTATTTGAGGGGTTTGTATAATAGATCAAATATTGTTACACTGACATTTTTGTTGGAATACCACCAGGTGCCATAATTTTACAAGATGCTTGAGACTGTCATTTACCAACATCCTAGTAAGGTATTTCGTAAAAACTTGGTAGTTTTATTTTTCGATGTTTGTAAATGTTGTATATTTCCTTTAACCCTTCTTCTGTTTAAATAGTCACAGACAGTCAAACATTCCACTTCCCCTGCCATGCCTTTTACACAGGCTAGTCACCAACAGTCAGATCATATTTTAAGCAAGCACTGTGACTAGTCAAATTCAGTCAACAGACAACAGCAGGAAACTGGGGCACAGCTGGCTTATCAATCACCTTCAGTCAAAGTACACCTGTATCAAGTTGCATAAACAGTCACAGCCAGTCAATCACAGCCAGACATCTTAATGCCCCAGCTCAGCTGTCTCTTCTTGAAAAGTTCCCATAAAATCTTGAGTAAACTTACTCTCGAAAAGTTCCCATATAATCTTGAGTAAACTTACAAGTACAGTACACTTTTTAATACTGTAACATCAATTTTTCAGTTTGAGAAATCTCTGAACAAGATTTTCATAGTAGTGTTCATGTTTATATATACAAATGCTGCATGAAATACAAATCCTTTAAAAAAAATTCCTCAAACCTCAATCGTTTTGCAGAAAATGTGTGTGGCCATTTGTTTCAAAACAGTATCATTTGAAATTGACAAACGCTTGACAATATTTTCTCAGGTGCTTATATGAGCCAAAGTACACGTAGATTATTTGATGACTTAGTGTATGAGCCCGTGGCTCATAAATTTTGCACAATAGACGCCAAGTAGGTAAAATCCTGTTCAACTATTTATACATGTACATGTACGTCACTGTGGTAAGTTTTAACCCCGCATCCCCCTTTCAGAAACAGTTAATCTACATGCACCAGCCTCTGGACCCCCCCAGGGCACCAGACTGAGGAGAGGAACTATAGGGATGATGTGAACAAAAGCCATTCCCTCAGTTGGTCTATGTCCCATTGTTGTTATCCTCATTATCCACCTCATGAACCGACACAAAAGTTGCTGGGGAAGCGTCCGGGATGTATTTAGCGTGTTTGGCTTGTCGTGAAAGACATGTCTATGGGGTATTTATGGATCGGTTGTAGGGGAAAAAGGAATGGGTGGGGACTATGGAAATCTGTAACATCAACAGAAGTATTTGTTCAAGGAAATTAGCGCAATGAAATAATATTTTGACAATCATGCCTAATTTATCAACTTGTGTTCAAATGGTTGTCAAAGTGCTTTAGAGCTATTTTCTGAAAACCTTTTCTGTAACTTAGGCCCAAGAAATAATAGTTCTGCTTCGGGTTTCCCTACCTACCCTATTCTGGCAGCCCCTACCCTTATTTTATTTTTATTGGAAAAATGAGAAAACAACACCCAAAACCATCAATTTCTACCTTTTAACCTTGACTACACGCATATGATCCATATGATCATACACAAAAACAAATTTGCCAAAAAAAAAAAAATTCCCTACCTACCCTATTTTCAAATGCCATGTAATATGAAGCAGAAGTATTTTTTGGTGGCCTTAACACACAAGTACATCTATTCTTGAGGCTTAGATTATTTTTCTTTGACTTCACACTTTTGTTTATGGATGTTTTTGTTAAATGCATTTATCAATTTTCATTAATGTATGTAGGCCCTACAAAAACAATGTGCACACCATTTGTCATTGATTTTTTTGAAAAAGATGTTTGAAGTATGTCGTATAACTAATTTAAATTTCCTCTTTAACTTGAACAAATGTATAGTGTCTGGAAAGGTCCTTCTGGTTTTTTTATAACTGAAGTGGATTTTTATTTTTTAAAAAGTGGATTTTATCAATCCTATTGTTAGCCAAAGTAGGGGTTTTAATAAAGATATTATGTACTAAAGTTTTTGAAACAAGTATTCTGTGTCATTGTTCCAAACAGTTAGAACACACAATAAATATATCTTTTTGACGAAACAGGGTTTAGGGTTACTTCGTTTAAATAGTTGTAAAATTTAAACTCTTAGAGCAATTGAAATAATTTTCTCACTTAAAAGTAGATAAATGAATGGGCTTCCAAGTCATAATTAATTTTGGTGCTACATATTTTTGGTTATATGAAATACATTTCTTTGTTTTGAGGTTCCACTTAATTTGACTTGCCCTGTAACTTGATTCTAAAAAGTTTTTGACACATCGATTTTTTCCTGACTTAATTTGTAGCTGTTACAGTAAAACCATATGATAGGATCTTTTTTGCAAAGTTAGAAAGCACTACATTCCCTTGATTTTGGCTGAATAAATTCATTTATCAGTGTGTTGTTATCCTAGTTAAATTTTCAACATAGTTGATGGAAAATTTAAAGCTGTCAAAAACTAAGGCAGCCATTGATCAGAGCATACTGACTGGAACACCACGTTAATACCTCTGGTTCTTTTTCAGAACCACTCTCTTAGTTGAGAAATTATTCCCACATGGTGTTTCCGCAAACCTTTCATTAACCCTAACCACCCCAACTCCATCAAAATCTATTCCCCCTTTTTGGTGGACTTTGGGGGACTTGGTCCTGCAGGCCTAGTGTGACTAAATATTGATGGAGTATGATGGACTTGGGCCTAATGGCCTGAAGCAGTGCTAGGGGTATCCAATTGATTTTGCCTAACTTCCTGTAAATGATAAAAGCCATGTTTAGCAAGTCCATGAATGTCAACCAGTGCGTCAGTGGTGGATTCCATTATGTCATGTATAGTTTTGTATTAGACGCACAGTGATTGATGGGTTTTGATGGAATTGGTCCAGTTTCTAGTAAACGACGCTAGGGAGCTATCTTCACCGTGCAAAGCCTCAAATCTTCCTTATTATGGATGAATGTTTTATCCCGTTTTCATGAATGTTTTATCCCGTTTTCATCCTGGTTTATTCTGTTTCCTGTCGCAGGTGGGATCGCACGCCTTTGTGAGTTTCGTTGGAGCCATGTCACTGAAAGACAGAGGACGGTACCATTACATGGTAAGCTCAACACAGCGTCATCACTGCCTATTGTCGTAGTTGCAACCACAGTTGTAAAAAAACGAGGCTTGATTGTTAAACTTGAAGGCCCCTAGTGGCGGAGATATTGATTTATTGGAATGGATTCTCAGAAGAATGTGAAAGATGACTTAGTAATGGTGTTTGCTGCTCTTAGCACAAAAAGAGTGAAAGACAAAAAGCTAACAACAGCAAGCTAGATAAACTAAAAAAACAAAATCTCAAGTGGCCATTTGTACGGAAAGTCATAACCCATTTTTCAATGGCTATACTTTTGCAATATGCATTGTAATGTTGCAAATTTATGACGTTTTAAATTTCCTACAATGCAATAGGTTTGAATCTCGATGAGAACTCTGGTTATTTTTACCAAAATATATATATTTGCTGACTTTTATTGCTTGAAATCAAATCCTACCTTTTAGTGAAAAATCGAAGTAGATTAAATTTTTCTTTTTGATTTATTGCTCTGAGGTTTTTTTTTTTTTAAAGGGGAGTAAAGTAAGAGAACATTCGTTTTACAAATGATGTCAACATGCTCACATGGTCGGCTACTGCTAGCAACAGCTTAATAAAAAAACATAGTAGGCCCCCAAAAAAGTCTCCGGTTTCTGGTATGGAGCTTGCCCCAAAAGTGGTGCAACGACGCAGCTTTTTTTTCTTTTTTTTCAAATGCCGGCTGATGACTGCAAATGGTGCCCGACTAAATTTAGTGCAAAATATATGGGAGTCCAGAGAGGCCACATAAAGCTTATCCTCGATCGTAACCCCATCTAAAAACATGTCAAAATTGTGCAGCGCTTGGATTCCAGGCAAACCAGTCAGTTTGGCGGTTTTGTGACATCATCTTACATTGAAAACTTTTTCATTTTGCCAACGCTCATGGCTACGGCAACACGCGCGCAGACCAGAAACCAAAAACTTTGGGGGGGGGGGCATATGGACTGGATATATACAATGTGCATGTGCTAAGATGAGGAATTGAGATCCTAGAATATTGTTTTCTTGGAATACACAGCATTCACAGAGCCTAAATTTCATCAGGTTAGTTGTTAAGCATCCGTCTTTAGATTATGAGCTTTTTTGTTGCTTCAAACAAAACAAATGCACAAATGTCACATGATCTACTCTACCTTTAAAGATGCTCCTTTTGACTATTTTCATCTATCCACTTTGACATCACTAACTGTGAAGTGTGTCAGACTAGTTTACCATGTGTACTGGTTAATCAAAGCACTTCAAGTAATCGTTGCAAACCTTTGTTCCAGCGGCAATTTGAGGAACTACCAGCCCTGCCCTGCCCCCGGTTCTTTGAGCACATGCATCGAATACCGGCTCCCAAATCCCTGTGGAAAGACAAGAAGAAGGACCTGAAGAAACCGGAATTCTGGACTTGGAAAGGAAGGACATCGCCCAAGATTCCCAAACCCAGACCAGTTAGGAAAAGAGGTATACATGTAGGCACCGAGTGGGTCCTTGCTGAGTAATGGGGATTTACTCCGTAGTTTGGCATGGCATTATTTAGCAGTAACTTTCTAGATGAAGTTGGTGAGAGCAAGCATGCTACAATTGTAGTTATTTTCAGATCTTCGTGATATTGAAAGTCGTATTGTCTGCCACTTTGTGTCAAACCATTTCTCTTCAAAAAATTAATCAGTACAAAAGTCAAAAGTTGGATGGGGAAAAGAGGTTTATTTTCAGTTCAGACTAAAGGTACAAATCATCACCAACACCACAACTGACTCTCAGTTGCGCGTTCGTGCGCAGCACGTGCACGTATTTTACAGAACCGGGTTATTTTCGTTTTCACGAACTGAAACCCGGCACAGTGCGGTACTTTTAGCACGCACTCCATACATTTTCGTTTTCATGAACTGACACTGATCTTAATTCTACCAGTTAAAATGGTTTTTGATTAAATTTTTGTGTATGCCCACAAGTATGCGGAAGGATTCAATTCATGTCAAACCTTTCAAAATGTTTTTCTCCGTACTGTATTGTTGCAACATGCTTGGTTGTCAGTTCGTGAAAACGAAAGTCAATCTATTTCGCGTCAGTGTCCAATGCGTGCGCACTACTGGGTGTCACGCACTACTGGGTGTCAGTTCGTCAAACCGAAATTGTTGATTACGCGGTTTTCACGTGAAAGTCAGTTTGTGGTGTCCGTGACGAAATGTGAGATTGCAAAATTGAAAAGTAGAAGAGACTAAAACATCTGAATTTTGAACAGTGGGAAAGGATATTATTGCACAGTCTTAAATTGATATCCCAATATTTCAGTTGATTACCATAACATGTTAGTGAGATCTTTTCCATTTTTGCTGTGTTTATAACTCACTTTTCATTAACTCATGTACATGTAGTGGTGTTCTTTTTGTTCTTGTACGTTTTTGAAATTGTTCAAATTCTTGTTTCAAATTTCTTAGCTGATGTCTGTTTCCTTTTTCTTGTGTTTGAATTTCCCCCACGTTTTCTTCCTTCCCGAAAAAAAAGTTCAAGTGTGCAATAGCCTACAAGCGGTCCAGATAACACCGCCCTCTACTGTCCAGTGTCTGACAGTTGACATTCCAACTTGCAGTCAGGACTCAGAGGGGAGTCTGGCGACCACTCCGACCTCTGACCTTTGCACTCTGTCTGACCCCACATCCTCTGTGGGGGCGCCCTCTCCGGTCAGAACACCAGAGGAAGGTACCGGTTTTTACAGTACTTTATTTGGGCTTTATCATTGGCAAAACGGCTCAAAATATAACAGTCTTGCTAGCAGGTAAACGGGAAAGCTATTATATAATAGTACAGGTTGAGTTTTAAAAAAAAGGAAACCCAAATGCCGCCCTCTATTTTTTAAGGAAGTTCCGCATGTAGCGCTTTCCAGATCTAGGATGTGAAAGCCCAATTCATAAACTTTCTTTTAGTCAAAGAATCATTGAAATCACTCATGTATTTTTGCAGCTATGGAATTTTGAACACAAACAGTTTTAAAATGCTGTCCACGGGTCACATTTAAGGCACGTGATATGTCAGTAAGCTGAAACCATGTCTTTTCATGAAAACGATATCAGAATAATCCCATAAGTTTCTGGGTAGCCAAGTAGAAGGCAGGGCAAGACTATAAACTACTGACATTATAAAGCATGATGTTTTAACATTGGAAGCAGAAGGCGTTTAAATAATGGTCATGAAAAGTGCCAGTTATCGTTGTTATGAGAGTGTTCTGATGTGGGGTTTTTTTTGACATGTGAATTGTCTTCCTTTTGCTTAAATATCACTTTTATATGTGATCCGTGGACAAAAGTCAAAAACTGGAAAAATGTTGAACGATATGAATGATTCTTTTACTACAAGAAAGCTTATATTACTGGGACTTTTACATCCTAGATCTTGAATGCACTACATGCAGAACTTCTTCAAAAAAATAGGGGATGAGATTTGGGTTTCCTTTTTTTTTAGTTGCCCTGTATTCTTTTTTCTAATCATGGTGAAGGTGCCCTCTCGTTTTCTTTCTTTGTCTTTATTTTTCTATCCTGAACTCTGAAGTAAAATCTCTGTTGTCAGCACACCATTACTATTTTTGCACCCGAAATATGTTCATACCTTCTGTAGATTGTAGTTAAAAACACAATCCTATTTCCAAAATTTAACAGAGAAAACGGTACGCTGGCAAGTAGAAAAACCTCCCGAGCAACTTGGTAAGAGAAAACGTGTGTGAGAGGAGCACAATTTTCCACACACACAAAAAACAGCACAGTGTGGGTGAATTTCACCTTCACATTGTTTTATGAATTGCATTTCACTGCTTTTTTGTGATTCCCATTGTGATACATGTCTTTGTTTACTATGCTTGCATATGACTTGAAACTGCCCCCCAAAAAGCATTTACTTATCGTGCCGTTTGGGGTTGTTAACTTGCTTTCGCACTTGTGGGAAATAGTCAACTTTTGTTTGTGATGGAAACAAATAAACCATCTGGAATCACTTGAAGATGCAAAATATGTTTGGATAAAAAATATTTGATAGGTGCTTTGCACAAATATTGCCAAATGCACATTGCTTGAACACTCTTTAACCCCTTGACGCTGGTATTGTTCGGCCACAGCTGTTCGGACAGCTGCACTTTGAGTGGAATGTGTACGTGCATGCATTCAGCCATTGTCTATGAATGGATGCGCGCAATGCAGCAGGAATGCGGCAATAGCAGTCCCCGGCTTATTGGCTTTAATCGAGCTGTGTCTATAGCCATCAGCCAGCGTTAAGGGGTTAAGGCCGGTTCATACTTCACGCAAATGCGATGCAAATTTGACGAAGCATTCACTGTGAAATTCACCGGAGTTGAAATGTCTTCAACTTTTGCGAGTTCGCAGCGCGAAAACTTGCCCTGGCGTGACAATTCCCGTTCACTTTACTGAACCGGTCTTTGTTGATGGTTTTCAAACTTGTTTACTGCACAAAAGTTTTAATTTTTTTTTTCAAAATCAAAAATCTTTCCTATAGGCCCTAGTGTTTGGTTTTTGCCTCAAAATCTCAATGTTCAGGGATTGCACTTTCTTTGTTATTGCATTGGATGAAAATGACAATATCCTGACTGTCTTTATATTGTGGTGCAGCTTTGCCAGAAATTGAGGAATACAGTGAACCGAGTGACTATGGCTCAATAAGATCGGGTAAGAAGAAGCAGTTGCGTTTGCATGCCCTACTTAAGTTAAGGGGAAAAAATCCCTACATTACAACACCAAACAACACATGTACATGTACATACATGTGCATTATACCACTACAATGTGTACGCATTTCATTTCATAATGCAGAAAGAGTTTTCTCAAACCTTAAAACAATGTTCATAAACTGTTGTTTTTATTTGGTAATTTTGCAAATTTTAAACAATTGTTTTAAACAGTATAGCTCTAAGTAGGAATTCCAGTACTTTCAAGAAAATTCATCACTTGATTAACCCTCCTTAGCAAATATACATGCCAAGTAGTCCTTTCATTCAAAATCTATCAAGTGACTGTTTTCAACAGTTAAGAATTCCCAGCCTGCACAAAGCAATATTGACTGGCCGTGAGTGTAAACTCGATACAGCTTTGCTTTGGCTGTAAAGCCAGCTGTGTCCATAACTTGCCTGCTTTGTCTGTTCATGGTCTGTTGACTGAGTTTGACTAGTCACAGTGCTTGCTTGACATTATGATCTGACTGCTGGTGACTAGCCTTTGTTAAAAGTATAGCAGGGGAAGTGAATGGAAATTTTGATTGTCTGTGACTGCTGAAATATCAGAAGGGTTAATAGTCAGAAATCTTTTCACTTTCCTTTGCATGAGCGACTTGTATTGACTCTCTTCTTGCGTGTTGTTTTTCTAACTGTAACTCCTTTTTTAAAAACTTACCGCATGCTAACGTAAGGAATGTCAAGTCCAGTCAGTGTAGGATCCCAGCACACAGTGACCAGTGGTAAGAACTATTTAAATGTCAATCATTCAGAAAATGTTTAAGTACTTGAATTGTTTTCGAACTTTTCTTAAGTCAAGAATTTTGTTTGTGGGTATAAATATCAAAGAAAATCAAGAGGACTTTTCACTTGAGTCCTTTGTTAGTCATGACAGGTTTGAAAACTTCATTAATAAATACCTTGGAGAGTTGATGGTTTCTGATTGGTCGAGACTCGATCACGTGGCCGGGCATTAACGATGATAATGGACCGGCTTCAAAGATCAAGCGAATAAATGGCCCTTATTAATAAATACTTTAGACAGTTTACCCATTCCTATTGGTCGAGAGCCCGTCATGTGGGTGGTTTTAAATGATAATTGATAAAACACCGGCTGGCTGGTTTTAAACACTTTTCCAGCGTCAAATGAAATTTGGACTCCTATGGAATCTGGCCATTTTACCCTTTTATTGGTTGAACATTGTAACAAGTACATGTGGATTTATAGCGGTATAGGGTCTAATGGGTTAAGTGAGGCTTGCTGACGTAAAATGAAAATATGTGTCCGAGACAAATTTGAAAAAATTGCACTTATCTCCTCCTCGCCAACTCCTGCCTGGCCAGGCATCGAGTCTCTGGATACAGAGCCTGCCTTTGGTAAGATGGGTTGCCGTGGTTACTTAGTCTTCAGTAGCACGTTTTGGATGCACACAATTGTCTGTTCTTTGACTCAATTGCACAAGAATTGCACCCTGTGAAAAGTGCCGCAGTAACTGGTTACCAACAAGAGAAAGCAAGATACCAGTTTACTTCTATGCACAGCAACTGGCATGACTGATGAGCTAAGAAAACATGCACATGCCGTATCATTATGAGTGTCTGTATACAATATAAGGCCAAGTTCGCGCAAGGACTATAGTTGACCAATGGTTAACTAACGTTTGCCCGAACTCTGTCTAGTCGATGGTGGTTGACTACGCTAGTCGACTATTTGGAACCAGCCTACTGGGGTTGGTTGCATCGCTGGTAACCAATAGCCGTGCGCATTCATATCGCTAGCAGAGAGCCAGGATCCAGAAGTTTTGCGATGACATTTTGACCAGCGTTTGACTAGAGACGTTAGCACGTTGCTACCAGTGCGCAGGCGTAAGGTACGTCACAAATCAACCACTAGTCGACTAATGGTCCTTGCCCGAACTTGGCCTATAAACTGTAATTGATAGTTCTTGTTAATAATGTATTTTGTTGCTATGTGGGTCATTCCATCAATTTGGGGTCCACATTTTTTGTGTGTCCCTGTTACATCTGACATATATAATATTTTGTAATTCAGGACACGTTCTTTAATGTCTTCTATCTCCAAGAGTGATTATGAAAAGCAAATAAGTACCTCCCCCCCCCCAACAAAAAATAGTGTGAAGTCCATTTTTAATGATACTTGCATGGCAACTTACACAGGACACCGAAAAATGGCACACTTTTAGACCCCAAATTTATGGAACGACCCATGTACATGGATGTATGCAGCTTTCAGAATCTGAACCAATCAGTTTTCCAAATGGCAGGTTTTTTGTGGTTATAATTTTTACTTTCTGCCTAAAATTTAGGACAAACAATCAAGCAGATCTCTCACTTGCTAAATTTATAAAAAAAAATCTGACCAGTAATCTTGCAATATGTTACAATTTATAGTCATTATTTGATGGACCCGATCTTTCTGATGAAAAATTCTTGAACCTCACATTAATCATTCATCTTGTTTTCCATGCACTTATGTTTGTTGTGTAACGTTGCCACCATATATATACCTCTAAACTAACCCACAGTATGTTAACATTCATTGGAATCATTCATTATCTAATCAGTGTCAACCCATTATCATTCTAATCATGTATCATTTTCATTCACATCATTTTCATCTTTTGCCACCCAGGCCAGTCTCACAGAAGATGTAAGTGTGCCCTTTTTAGATGTGTGCTACCAAGAAGCAATAGACTTTTATCATATTGCCACCATTTCAGTCATGTACCCTATATCCAATACCTGTACTGAATGATAATGTTTTTGTCCAAAAAGGAACCAGACTATGTTCCCTCCAACCTCCCTTTGGTTACGTTGATTTTATTTGATTTGAAAAAAAAATCAAGCTGGCCGCAACATGATAATGGTCTATTACTCATTCGGGATTGGGCGTTGGAACCAACATATGCCTAATCACATTCACTACATTATATAACTGTGCATGCGGGTGGTAAAGCAATTTTTGAGGGTGCTTCTATTGGAAAACTGGTCGTCTTTTGGACATTTCAAGGTTTGACAAGGCAAAGGGGTTTAACAGATGTAATTTAACCAAAGTTTCAGGGTTCCTTTGAGATATGCAGGTAGTTGTTGCTTAATTAATGTAGCTAATTGCTTGCTTATTAATTGCTTCTCTTTTTGCTCGCTCAGTCACTGAGGATGAATTTATAAACAAAAAGTACTTGCTTAACTTTACTGGTATAATCAATTTGTTCTTAGGTTATGTGTTGGAGTTGAGTCCTAAATCCAAGTACCAAATACTCAGAGTACATTTAGAGCCGAGTACAGGCCAAGTCCGATTACATGGATGATCAAGTCCTGGGCCAAAGATTCGAGTTCAAGTTTTTCAGGGTCCGAGTATGGGCCGAGTACGAGTAATTCAGAACCAAACAGTGCCACTCTACAGTTTTTACTTTGTCTCAAAACCTCTTGTGATTAAAATCTCTTACCTTCTGAAATTAGATTTCATGCAGATTTGTAAATGCTTCAATATTGGTTTCTTACTCTGTTGGGTGTGGTTATGAGTCATTGCAAGTAGTTAATTGCTTTAAGCCAAATAAAGAGAAAAAAAGGAACAGAATTTTTTTGTATCTCTTACCAAAGGAAGTGATTAATTTACAGCATAATTAGTTTTACATTGAGCATGCATTAACTTAACTAAAAAAAAAAAACTGAAAAAATTCTTCCAGGAAAAAAAATTGTATTATTATGGAGGATAATCGAATCTTGTCTCTGAATTCCCCAGTTCCACTCAAGCTACACAAGTTGGAAAATCCCCCCAGGCCCCCGACGGCCGTGGACTGGGATAAGCACAGCTACCTTGCCGGCTTTGATGACAACGACAGTGAAAGTGAAGAAGAGGGAGACGATGCTGACAGAAACCATGGAAATGAAAACGCAGAGGGCGCACCGAATGTTAATCAGAAGGACGTAACTATGGGGCCGTTGGAGACGAGTAAAGTGGACCAGTCTAGCTACATGTACAATGATCACATTGCAGCACTGGAGCCTGTTGTTTATGGTAGGTTAATGGTAAAGTAGATCATTCCATCTTATGAATAGATCATTCGCAGCTATCCAAAAAGTAGTTCACAAAATTATGGTTGAAAATCTTACTTGGTTTAAAGATGGGGATGGCAATAAACTCGCTGTGAAAATATTCTTTCAGGCATGCTGTCAATTTGAAGAAAACAACAAATTGTAATTGGGGGTAACACACTTCGTATACAGTGTTTATACATTGGTGAAGGGCAAAAAAAAACCACCTAATATTTTATTTGAAGTTGACATGTATATTTATTCAGTTTGTAAACCTCCAATACTGAAGGGAGCTATATCAACTCAAAACAAACCATGCTATATATATTTGTTTATTATACCTCATACATATTCACCAAAATTGCATTAAGTAACGCATCATGTATCTCATCAAAATGTTGCTGTGTGTGTGCCATCATAGCTAGGGAGAGAATCGCGCATGCTCACTACCCCGTGTGATACATGTAGTTCCACAGTTGCTTCATAAAGCATATGCATAGTATGCCTGTATATCTACTCTTTGTGTGAATTCTCACGTGCGCGTTTGTTAAACAGCAAAATTAGTGGGTGACATGTGATGGTGAATGGACCAGTGATAATGTGGCCCTTGATCATGAATATGTATGAGGTGTAACATAAACTAAACACTGTATGACCATGATTCACTGTTTAGTGTTTATTTTTAAACCAACTACACCACTTTCAGAGAGTTACTTGCCATTGGACGATCCCTTGGAAATGATGCGGTCACTGACGGTGCCTGGATGTCAGCAGTCGGTGGTTGAGCCCTATCCACTAGAGGAACCGTTACAGCCCGACGTCGCCGGTCTGGATCGAAACGTCATCCAGCGGTCATCCATCTTGACCAGGCCTGAACTGCCCAGTCCCCCGCCTCCTCCTCCCCCGAAAGGTTTGTCCTTCAAACTTTAGATCATTGTTGCAGATTCAGATAAAGTTGCAGATAAAATAAAAGAAGGCCATTTCCAAAGATGCGTCAAGTGACGCATTTTTGGAAATTTCCTTTCGTAGTTGGTTTGTAATTCGGCAAAAATGTGCATGGGTGCACACAAGCGTTGACACCATTCACAAGCGTGCGCGGTTGCTATTATTCATCAGTTCAGCGCGTTGCGTAGCTGAGCAGCAATCGGCTGAATGCAAATGTGTCCCTGATGCTGATTTCAGGCGCAATTCAAAACATGACTCGGCAACTTTCTAATTGAAACCAAAATCCTAGAATATTTTTTCTCGGAATATACAGCATTCACAGAGCTAAAACTTCATCAGGTTAGTTGTTAAGCACCCGTCTTTAGGTTGTGATTACTTTTGTTGCTTCAAATGAAAAAAATAAACAAATGACGAATGATCTACCCTACCTTTAAAGTTGTCCTGTAGTGTCCTCTAAAGTTGAATATTTATATTTTGAGTTTTTTTCACCAAGAATCATTTTTTCTCTTTTTCTTTCTTAAAACAGAGCCCACTCCCCCTCCAACCCCACCACCGCCGCCCAAAGAGCCCACCCCACCACCTAAAACACCCACCCCACCCCCAATCGAGAAACCCAAGAAGAAACCCTCCAAGCCCAAGCGACCCCCGAAGAAGGAAAAGGTCAAAGTCGTCAAGGCGGTGAAAGCACCAGTGAAACAACCCACGCCAACACCCAAGCCACAACCCATGATAGCTCCGCCCACGAGCCCAACACCCCCACCCCCTCCAGGTACGGTTGCAAATGAAAGATGTTTTTGATACATAGGAGGAGGCCACATCTTCAAGAGGCAACCAAGTTTGTTGTGTTCATTATGGCAAATTTAAAGCCACAGGATTGACAATTCAGACACTTTATGACAAGTTGTGTTCAAGCAAAAAAATTTGGGGTTTAAATGGCGAGATAAAAGGAATGTAATAAAACTAAGGACAAACTTTGGATTTGTTAACCAAATAACCCAGAATGGAAAACCTGGAGTTCCCTGTTATTCATATATTTATCAAATATTTGGACCCCCTCCCTCCCCCTAAATTAATTACAATTAATTTTGATATATCATGTGCTTGGATACTGTAATCTCATTGCTTGAGAACGGCCACGTGTCCAGTCTGTAAAAATCCATGTACATTGTACAGTGGTTAACCTCATATACAATGCGCGTTGCGTGTGCGCGTTTAGAACTTGCATGCGCGCTCGCAACTTTTCTACTGAGAACTGCATGCAATGCGCAATGTGCGGCAGGAAAGCCTGTAGTTATCAAGGGTTACACCGCACTGATTTAATTGATTTCTTGCAGAAATTAAGTTACAACTTCTGATTGTTTTGACTTACTGGCCCGATATAACAAAACAACTGTTGACTGCTGCGATGTGGTATATGCCGTTTTTAGGGGCGCATTGCACCCTCAGCTTCACTTCGGGACGCTATGCACCCCTCAGATGTTAAAAACGTCATATCCCACATCCATGGGCGTCATTCCTGGGGGGGGGGGGGGGGGGACAGGTCTCCCCCCCCCACTTTTTGAAGGGTGGGGGACACAATATCAAATGCCCCCCCCCCCCCAGATTTTTGAACTTGTGTCTCATTTACAGGGCCCTATTATGTACTACAATGTATCTTTTGCTTAGAAAATATTGGTTAAAGTGGTCAGAAATTGCCTCAGATAGCACCACAGAGCATTTAGAATCCAAAATTTTTCGGGGCTCTTAAGTGGGCCCCGAACCCCACGCCTGTAGCTCAGAATTCTGGTAGCTGATTCAATGACTCCAACCTCGAAAACAATGTTCAAATAATTATCTTATGCCTTTAGCTGAGAAAATTATGTTTAAATTATTATCTTTTGCTAAGATAATTTTTGGTTAAAGTGGTAAGAAATTGCCTCAGATCACACCACAGAGCATCGAGAATCCAATTTTTTTTGGGGCCCTTAAGCGGGCCCGAACCCCACCCCATAAGGGCTTCGCGCTCGCATCACTTCTGATAAAGGTATGTCCCCCCCACTTTTGAGAAGCGCCCCTGCCCACATCACAGCAGTCAAGAATTAAGTGATAATGTCCCCATTTTGATTTGCATTTGTTGTTCACCTGATCACCTTCCCCTTGGCACACTGATCAGAACCGGAACCGGTGAAAATCCCGACCCCAGAGCCCCCAAAACCCCAGAAGGTCATCGGTGAGTAGAGTGGGATTGCATGGTGTGCAGTGTGGCACCAGGAGTGTTTTTGCTTGCAGCTTTTGATACAGCACGTTCATATTAAGCCAGATCATGTATACTCTGGCAGCTTTTGTTTTGACTAACCAACGCAGGTCGACCATCGTCCATCTTTGTACCGAAGCTGGCTATCTTCGCACGTGCAGTGTTGTAGGACTCAAGTCCACGACTCGACTCGAGTTGGACTCGAGTCACATTTTTCGTGACTCGGACTCGACTCGAGTCACATTGGAAAATGACTCAGACTCGGAGTCGGACTCGACCATGATGACTCAGACTCGAGCTTGGTGACTCATGACTCGGGTCACGTATTTTCATCAAAAGCAAAAACATAGCGTTACGTATTTGTGCGACAAAGCAAGCATTCTTTTTTACTCCATCAACAAAACACGGTGCCGCGTATCATTGTTATTCATTGAAGCAGGCTGGAATGCACGCCTAGTGCCTGCATGACGAGCACCAGGGCCCGGTGCCATGCCAAAAACACATTTTGGGTCTAAACAACATGTACACACACAAAGTAAACTACGAACACTGGAATTTACTTAAAAGACAGAATGGATGATTTAAAAATAATTTTAAAATAAAATGATTGGTTTGGTGAACAACTATACTAAGAACAAGTGACTCATGACTCGGACTCGAGGTTTGTGACTCGTGACTCAGACTCGAGGCTTGTGACTCGAGACTCGAGACTCAGACTCGGACTCGAGGCTTGTGACTCGTGACTCAAACTGGGACTCGACGTTGGTGACTCGACTACAACACTGCGCACGTAGCAGGGAAGCTTGACACTAGCGACTGCTGATATTGCTTATAAAATATGCAGTGCTGCAACTGCATGACAACAGCATTAATATTGTTTTTCATCAAGAAAATCAGTTTTTTAACAACAACCTTTTCCTGATCTCCATTTCGCATTGGTAGGCTGCAACATCACAATTTGTCTTCAGATGGATAATTCTACATAAGAAAAGCAGTGTACAGTGTCCAGATTTATGAATTGCTTATTATGCATTAACCCTAACCGTCCCAAATCGCCTTTACAAAATGCCAATGTGATTTTGCAGGATTGAGGCTGTATGGCAAAACTGTGCATGTTTGTAGGACATAATGAAATTAGATGAAGTGAATATTGAAAGTGTACTCTAAATGCAATGCGCAAGAACAACATACGCAAACAACTTAGGCGCGCCATGACTGTTAAAAAAAAAGTCACTGCCAAAATCTTCTGCAGTGGATACGCCCACACGTTTGCATTGTTTGCACTGTTTGCCCAGAGTAACATGAAACGCTCATTTGCTGATCATGCGTTTCGGTTTTGGGCGTATCGGCTATGATATCACACCTGTATAGAATACAAATGCAGATATGCAAATAGCCATCCAAAATTTTGAGTTTTCCATAGGTTTGTGCACAAACATGGATGCGCCTAGCAGGCATCACTTTATACCTACTCTCAATATAGCTCTATCCTTCTACATAATTCGTTTGGATAGTCTTTGACTTGTGTTGAGTAACTCAGGATAGGTTCTCTGGATTCTTATCCAACAAGTCTTTGACACTTTGATTTGGCTTGTTTCCAATGACATATTGGTGACGGCGCATCTACACTGAACATGTATGGCTGGTAAATGTATTACAGAACATGTCTCAAACGTGAAATCGAGTGGCCTCATCGGCCATCATGCAGTCAAGTAAACTAGCCAAGCTTACTTCATTTTCAGAAAGTTTCAAAGAAAGAACTGCCGTTGCTTGGGTTCCTAGCAAGTTGATCCAAGGCCAAACATGATTAAAGCATATCATGTTGCTAATCCATACAGCACTACTAACAAATTTTAAGCCTAAATTTAACTAAGTGAATGTCAAACTTTGCCATACATATCCATCCAGGAGCTGCTAATTAACATTCAGCAATTCAAAAAAATGAATAATAAAGCAAAATCATTTTTCGTTAAAATAACCCGTACCTTTGCATCATTGGAAAGTTTGCATAAGCAATCCCCATTAATAACGTCGTGTGTATCAGATATTTTGAACGAAAGTTTCCATCTCTTTTCGATCGCACGAAATATTGCACAGAATGCAGATTCAGTTACCACGTCCCCTATAGCCTTGTTTATCCCGAAAGCAAAATCTTCGAATACCGAACTGCTTCATTAGGACACAGTATAATACTCTTTCAAAAAGTTATCACATTTGCCGTCACAAAAAACATCAGAATGTCTGAATTACAATTAAAAGCGTTATAACCCAAGTGGTTATCCATTTATTTGAGATTTTCAACCTTTTGAGAAAAAAAATCTGGTGAGCATGATTTTTCTACAATTGGGGAAAAAGGCAAGATTTTGCTTTGCTTTGCGGTGCTATTAATGTCATTTCAGCGTGGTGTGATTTTCCAGTACATCTGAACTGAATTTTAAGCATTGCTCAAAAGCCTTAAAGAAATATCGACTATGTAGAAGAAATTTTAGGACAAAAATGCTCATAGTATTAAACATGTTGAACATGATTTTAAAAAATCAGCATTGTGTGTTCAGCAACTTACATTTGTTGAGATAGTAAACCAAATGTGTGACCACTTCACAAGCCTTTTTTGTTTTTGGCAACCAACCTCTTTTTAATCCTCCTTTTTCTTGTGTTTTCCAGAGCTGCCTCCTCTACCGCCTGTAGCAGATCCTGAACCAGAAGGTAAATGGCAATCTTGTTATAAACCAGGGTTCAAAATTAGCGGTAGCCCGCTAGCCAAATGCTAGTCAAAACAGCGGCGGGCTAGTCAAACTATTCCTTAAGTAGCCCGGCTGGCGAGTCAAAATATTTTGGGGGATACAGCAAGGATGAAAGGTCATAAAGAAATAAATCATGAAATTCAGAAAGCAAACCTGTATCAATTTGTGTATAATTTTATCAACTGTTTTAAAGGGTTAAATTATTAGATCTGTTTATTAAAAACACTGACAAAATTGCCTCAGAATAGATGAGAAATCAGTTGGAAAAGGGTAAAAACAAATGTTACTTACGACCTATTTTCATACTTAGGTCTCCTTGTTCGATCAGGCCTGTTTTTACATCGCGTACTTGCGTGAGAATGAAAATGATAACGACGCTTAGATTTACCTACCAACATCTGATGGATTCTAAATTTATTCAGGCTCGTTTGGACCACGTTTTAATACAGTTCTTATCAACAGTCATTTTAGATTTGTTTGTAAATGAAAACAAATCCTTCAAGTTCGATCAAAAACTTGTCTGTTCCAAAGACATTTCAGTCTCCTATTTAAGTTTAAGTTTTTACCCAATGACCGCCACAAAATAGTTCATAAATGTTCATGCTTGAACGAGTGATCAGTTCCACGACAGAGGTTTTCGGAAGTGAGAGTTCAATTTTAGGCACGATATTTCTCTTTCACATCGATTTTTCAGTTTCCATAACATTCCGAGGGTGATTGTCTTAAGAAATCAATGTACCAAAACTAATTTCAAAAACTCTGACCTTACATTAATTTCCTTTTCGAGGGGCCCTGAAGCGCACCACCAGGGGTCAACTTTCAGGCTCTATACACGTTTTACATGTATGCACATTTTGTTTATATTAAAGACACTCTATAAAAGAAAAAACATGCGGCTAGTGGAAATGCCCGCGGGCTAGTTAAGAGTCTGTTTCAGTAGCCCGGCTGGCTAGTGAACAAAGAAGTTAAAGGAATACAATATCCTTGTCGTTTGTTTCTTTTGGTTCAGTCTAATTTTAACATCACATGCACCAGTTACGTCTTAAATGAAATCTAAGGCCAGATCCTTACTTGGGTATGCAGGTATAAACAACCGTGCGAATTTGCTACATCCAGGACATTTTCAAAATGACAAACTTTCAAAAGTTAAAGAGCCATGCAATGTAATTTTCTTAATGCAATCCATAAAAATACACCTTTGTGTCCCATTTAACCCTACTTTCAATTTTCGGTTTGCCATTTTCAAGGGTATTTTGATGCCTTTTTGTGTTTTATGCTAATGAAAATTTCCATATTCATGAGTAAAAGTATGATGTCATTTCAGGCAGAAACCTCAATGTTACAGCTATTTCAGCACCAAAAGTTCATTCATTCATATTTTATTCAGTCATGTAAGTTAAAACAGACACAGAATTCTTTTCCTGGTGTAAAAACAATAAAATAAAACAGGGAAAAAAAGCAATCAGCATATAAGACAATGAAAACCTTGAAAATAACAATAGCTTAAAATTTAAACTTTACATTATATAAATTACATAACTTAATTCATAAAAATATGACAGTAAAAAAAGATAAGAAATTTTTCAAATGACAGCAAAAAGGCTGCAAAAAGACCGGTGCACGGTACTTAACCACCCTCCCCCCCTTCCTTGTTTAACATGAATATGACAGTAAAAACAAGACAGAATTTTGGATGTTTCGCTGTCATAAATTTTCTTTTCTCTTATAGTGATTTGTTGTGTCAGTACATGGCAGTAAGCCAATGAGCAATCTTTTCTCACAAATGTTTTCAATCAACAAATATTTTCCTAGCTGAACATTGTCTTCCTGAAATGACATCATAGCAACAGCGCCCCCAGTTGTCTGGAAAAGCATGAACAATTTAAAATGTTTCAAGGAGTGCACTTTTTAATAAAATTAACCAAAAAGGGATGTCAAATGAGTAGTAGAAAGTTGCACAAAATATGTTGCTAAGTAAAATTTACTTCTTGGTCCCTTTAAAGAAATTTCAGTGAATTTCGGTGAATTTTGCTGGGGATGTTTCAAGATGTCAACATTGCTTCTGTATTCAAAATATGAACAAGTCCTTTAGGAGCAAAATGTGCATAGCAACAGTTCTCACAATAATTTGACACAAGATGGTCATGTTTTGATCAAATTCTCCTTGTTCCAGTGGCATCTGAAGTCAACGAAAGTGTCAACTCAAACTCACCAGAGCCTGATGATTTGGCTGACGAGCCCTCCGAGGCGTCCCCAGCCACCAGTCCCACCCCCGGCACACCGCCCCCTCCCCCTCTACCCAGCTCCCCTGCCGAGAGGGACATGTCCTTCGCCCAGGAGCTGGAGCGGCAACGCCTGGCCGAAGAGCGCCACCGCAAGGCCATGCTGATGTACGACAAGCTGAGGGCCAAGCAACCCATACCCACAGCTAGAATGGAAGAGGCCGACAACATGAAAGAATGCAAGTATTTTTGGGGGATTAGCAATATGTAATATCAGTTGTGGATTCTGGGTTTTTTTAAAGTCCAAGATATTCCGGGGTGGGATGGAAGTGGGCGGATATGAATAGATCAGGCATTGCATTAATCACATAAAAAGACCAAATGCCTGATTAACCCTAAAAGAGCCGGGAGGGGGGGGGGGGCGGAATCCACCTTCCCCCCCCCCCTCAACTTTTTCCGCAATGGCCTTGAAAAAAAAAATTTGTGACCCTAGCTGTTATGACTTTTTAGCCTCGAGCCTTGCGCATCTTTTGATACCAAAAACATAAAACTCGGACCCCGGGTTGCCACGCAGCGTAAAATTATATGCCGCGTTTTCCCATATATGCTCATGTGTACCCAGAGCAGAATTACTGAGAGATGGTCAAAATAACCCAGCCCTTTTAGGGTTAAGTGATAACGATTTGCGGTACCGAGTTTTGATATTATTCAGGGAAATTATATTCAGGGAGAAATATTTGAATTTTGCCATTATACATTCAGTATATGGAGGGGAGTGTAAGCTCCCCCCCCCCCCACCACCACCCCACACAGATCTTTTAATCGAAACAGTCCTTGCCTGTATGTTTGTGGGGTTTGTTGTCTAGTTTATTGGACAGTATTATATTTTAGAAATAAAAGGATGTGTTTGTCCTCCGGTGAAATGGTACATCGTTTGTTCTCTGGTGTGATGGGGACACAGCAATTTATACGTGGTCAGCACCAGGGGCATAAATTTTGGGGGGGGGAGGGGGAGGGGCTATTGGATCATTCCTGGTCCCCCCCCCCACACATTTTTTTGTGGTGAAAAACAAAAGCAGATGTTGAGGTGTTTTTCGAACTTCCCAACAAGCAAAAGTTAAAAGCACTGAAAAACAGAAAAAAAGGTACAACAGCTTGAAAACTCCCTCTTTTGATGTATAAGGTTACGGTGCGTAACTGTGTGATGAACAGAGCTCCCTAGTGTAGTGTGGTGTATAAAAAATCAGTTTTGTATATTTCCTGTGTCAATACTCATGATTTAATTGACCAGAATCTTTCTTACAGACGGCTGGCTTGCCCAGTTCTGCATTTTAAAACCAGAGAAGTTGAGGATGTATCATATGGCCTTTGACACGGTAAGTGTAGAGTTTGTATTAAAACAAAATTCACAATTTGTGTCAATTTCCCATCATTATAAAGATAATTTCCGGTTTAAACCTAAAGGGGCCCGGTGGGGGGGGGGGGGGGAGCCTCAACTTTTTCCGCTGTAGCTTTGAAAAAAAGTTCGCGACCCAAGCTGTTCTGACTCTTTAGCCTCGAGCCTTGCGCATCTATTGATATCTATTCTATAAAATTCGGACCAGGTTGCCGCGCAGCGAAAAAAACTGAATTTCCCCATATACATAGAGCACTTACATGCATATGAATAATTAATTAGCTATAATTCCAAAACCCTTTGACCTATAGTCATAAAATTTCTTGGGTATGTTCATGAATAGTTGTTCTATGCATGTACTGAGTTGCATAATTTTTCGTCACTCAATGGCTGAGATTTTAGGGGGCGGCGGAATCCCCCCCCCCGGCTGACAGATGGTAAATGGAGTAGATTTCGTCGAGTTTCATGCGACAATGAGGATTTATGGCAAGTGTGTAAAAAGAGCTGCTCATCTGAACACAAAAGCTTCCCCCTTTGGATTTGAGACTGCCCAATTTAAGACTGCAATTTGACAAGGAGAAAAAAGAAAGGCATAAGTTGGTGTGCTTTATTACATGTTGGCGATTTAACACAGTGGCTTGGCATGTTCTAACGGCATTACGTTCTTCCTTAAGGTTGACGAGAACCACAAGGGGTGGCTGTCCTGCTTCGATACTCTGATTGCCCTGAAGGGAATCACCGGTACCCAGAACCTGACAGAGAAAGAGGAAGAGTATATCTGCAGGGTAAGGAAGCTCAAATTCACTGATGGAGCATGAAAGTTGCAAATTAAAGAGACCAGATTTTCCAGTTTTCGATTTCGAAAAAAAGTACAAAGATGTGATACTCAATGTCTATTGGATCTAGAGGTTGCCAGTGTGTTAATACCGAAGAGGTAAAATGACAGTGTTTGTTTTAATATTCATCATATCTGTTCATTTTAAAACTTTTATTTTGGTTCATTCCTCAGATTCTGGAGATTGCTGATTACAATATTTTGGAGGGGTCTGATTTCCGTATATTCTCCGTCATGGCAGGCCTATCTCAAAAGCTTGCCTCTATTGAGTAAGTTGGCACGATTTTTTTTGGGGGGGGGGGGTTTCGGGTTATTTGGGAGGTGGGGATCGATGACGAAGTACAATTACAAAACTGTCAACGAAACATCATTTTCTGAAATGAAGGGTTATTGAGTTTGAAAATTGTACATTTTGTTCGTTTGGAAGCTATGCCCAGTGTCCCCCAATTTTTATATGTCTCTTGTTTAAACAAAACTGAGAAAATCTAATATAAAAAAAGGGAATGGTTTTTATTTACAGTTGTTCTTTGAAACTGTTTTGTCTTTCTTTTCAAACAAATTATACTTATTTTTGCATGAACATTGTACCTTTTATGTCCCCATTTTGTCCAGCCCACAACTGCCCTGCCTGTTACTCCTTGTACCGCCCAAAACTGCCCGAATACTTTTTGCATGAACATTGTACTTTTATGTCCTCATTTTGTCCTGCCCACAACTGCCCTGCCTGTTACTCCTTGTATACCGCCCAAAACTGCCCGAATACTTTTTGCATGAACATTGTACTTTTTATGTCCTCATTTTGTCCTGCCCACAACTGCCCTGCCTGTTACTCCTTGTACTGCCCAAAACTGCCCGAATAGGCCTACTTTTTGCATGAACATTGTACTTTTTATGTCCTCATTTTGTCCTGCCCACAACTGCCCTGCCTGTTACTCCTTGTACCGCCCAAAACTGCCCGAATACTTTTTGCATGAACATTGTACTTTTTATGTCCTCATTTTGTCCTGCCCACAACTGCCCTGCCTGTTACTCCTTGTACCGCCCAAAACTGCCCGAATACTTTTTGCATGAACATTGTACTTTTTATGTCCTCATTTTGTCCTGCCCACAACTGCCCTGCCTGTTACTCCTTGTACCGCCCAAAACTGCCCGATTACTTGACAGTGTCATGATGTCATCAGGGAATAAATGCAATGTTATACAATGTAGTGCAGATGCAACTGGGCTAGCAATCAATTGCTATCATTGGAGTAAGATCTGGAGGATTTAGCATCAGTTTTATCTTGCTTTGTCTTGCAGTGCATGGGTTCGCAATCTCATCCAGAAAATTGACCTTCAGACGTTGGATTGGAAGATGTATCGTGGCAAGGTAATTGACAAAGCACTAATTGTTGTTTTTAATTCTTAAAGGGAATATACAACATTTGCAGACATCGAAAAATAAAACTACTTAGTTTTTACGAAATACCTTACTAGGATGTTGATAAATGACAGTCTACAGCATCCTGTAAAATTATGGCACCTGGTGTGAAGTCATTTTCAAGAAAATGGCATTTTTGTATCTGTTTCCAGCGGTGGTCGGCCGACCACCATTGGAAAAACCCAACTATTGTGCAACTACTTCTCAAAATTTACCATTTTTTTATTCAGTTCAAACTTTGTTTGCTATTGGTTATATATTCATGAACGGGTGCAGGCCAGCTAGACTTGTTCCCTTACCTTACAATTTTCCGGCATCTGGAAATTGGTCCATTTTATCTTTAGTGGAGTCAGGGCACCAGACTACTTGAACGTTTTTTGTTTTTCTTGGTTTTTCCAGCATTTTCGAAGCAAAAATTTCAAACATGTCAGTGTAACAAAATTTGATCTATTATACTAACCCCTCAAATAGTTCATTTCTGAAAATTACAGCAAAAGCCAATGATGTACTTTCCCTTTAAAGTTTCCTAACAGTACAACATTTTCTCTTTTTCAAATGGATATATTGCGTTTTGGAAATAATATCTTCATATGCAGATGTAACACAAGCAACTAATGGATCTGTACACAAACGTAAATGCATTATCCACCATTTTTGTGACGCCTCAGAACTACCCTATTTGTCAGTTAATGATGCAACCAAAGATTTGCCTGATACCATTTTCACTGGGCGTGAGAAATTCAATAGCTTTGTGGAAGTACTCACACACAGTTTGTTGCGGGCATTTTTGGTTTTTGTAGGAGCTGTTTGAGTGGTGCATGGACGAGTCCACCAATCGTCTGTCCGTCTCGCGCCTGCTGATCGAGCTGCGGGCGGGTGGCGTCAGCGACCTGCACCTTGATGAAGTCCGAGACAAATTTGGGGAAGACGGGACACTAGACCTGATTGACTTCCTGACCTATCTGCCCCTGTTTATCATGACGCACAAGTCTGTTGTGTGTAACCCACTGTGCGACGTCAGGGACAAGTGATGTGTGGAGGGCTGAAGTACCCGTGGAGACGGTGCACAAGTATGAGCTCCGTGCGCCACCGAAAGAGGGCGCCCTTTTACCTAGCGACAACGTCCCATGGGCGGGACATTTCGCTGGTTGACGCGTACCATTCCTTGTGCACGTACACCAGGGGATTTGTACTATGTACAGGCAGTAGCCGCGCTTCGCAGAAAATGAATTGCAGTCATGCAAGATGGCGTCGGTCGGTCACCCCCAACTGTACTTCCTTTGCCGGTGAGGGGGTGCTTGTGAACGGAGCGGATACTCCTTCAACCGTAACAAAGGGAAAGTTTGGGGAGACCACTGGAAGCAACCTCGTCCCCAGGGTGTCGAGCAGTACACGCCCACCACTACCTGCTCTAGCTCTCACCCTGGTATTGGATCATTTGCATGTGCAAGATTTTTGAACACGTATGCAAATGAGGAATAGTCTGGTCCCTGCATTTGCGTTACATTAGCATTTGTTTTTGCATACTGTGTCTGTAAAACAGCATCAATTCGTCGCACCGTGAGTTATAACAACGCAATTTTTTTTGGAAGTTAGAATGTTACAATCTGGCCCGCCACCATGCAGTATCACCTTTCATATTTATATGAGCAAACTGGAAAGAATAGGAGTATTATTGAGAAGGCATGGACATTACTATTACAATGATCGTGAAAACACGTAATGCACGTTGGAACTAACAACACCAACTACACAATATAAATCCATTATTAGCAAATTGTGATATCGAATCAGGATACAGGAAGAAAGTTTCCTATCCAGGGCTTACTATTGGAAACGAGGTTGGAAATAAAGTAAGCACTGGGGACGAGGTTGCACTGGAAGGGCCTTGAACGCATGTCCGCCATACACCTGATGGTCACGTAAAGACACTTCTGGTTTGTGCGCATTCAGTTGTACTTCAGAGTTGTAATGGCTCGAGTTAAGTGATGGGTACAGCGCTGAATTAGCTGTGGACTCCATGCAAAAGTACCCTCAACCGTAACCGAGGAAAAGTTGGGAGAAACTGCTGGAAGGGCCTCAAACACATGTCCACCATACACTTTTTGCTCATGCGATCTGATACACCGTGCCCTCTGGAGACGTGCACACAATAGGGAACAAAAGATTGTACACGTCTCCACAAGGTTTTCACGAAATAGATATATAGATTTTACTCAAAAACTAGGAATTTCCAAGGTATGTTGATCTGTCACAAATGGTGGAGTTTTAAAAAAAAGGGATATTAAGTCTGAATTTCAGCCAAGGAAATTAATTCTGGTTAAAATAAGAGCATGTTGAAACTGCACTTTCAAACTCGAAAACTTTAGTACACAAGAACAAAGAAATGTCTCAACAAGGATACAAATTTCAGTATGTCCGAAGATACACGTTAACGTTACATGCCTAGTGTGGACATTCTTTTGTTTTTGCGTAGTTATGAAAAACCGGTGAAAAAAATTCATTTTACTCACACTGTGAAAACTCTTTCAACACATTTTTTTTTCTATGATTCCCTTTAGTGTTTCTCTTCATTTTGCATCGATAAACTTAACCCCAAAATGCCTCTAAATCTGTTTTCCAGAGAGGAGGAAACATTGTGTGGACGTGGGCAAGTCCACACAACGTCGCTGCTACCTGGTTTATGTGGACCTCATATGTTAGGAAGTCCACATAGTGAATGTAATGTTTATACACTTCGGGTGTGTGCGCATTCAGTTCGTACTTCAGAGTCCGACTCGAGTCACAATTTTTGGTGACCCGACTCAACTTGAGTCCCCAAGGGTAAATGACTCAACTTGACTCGAGTCACTGTGAGTAAATGACTCCACTCCCTCATCAGAAGACTGGACTCGAACAAAAGCTAATAAGACTCGAGTCCCCAAAACAAAAGCAAACTTTGCGGAAAAATATTTGCAGTGACTTACGGTGCAGAATGTTCACGGCACTTTGCGAATATGATACAGCAGCCGCTTGTCATGTACAAACATACAAGGTGTCGCTGATTACCTCAACATTGTTCTAGAATGCACAAAGTACTATCCAGGAACCTGATTTTAAAAACATTTTCCAATTAGTTGTTTCATCATTGGCTTTGGGGAATTTCTTATAAAGCTCTTGGATTTGAACGCCAGCTAAAGTAAGCCCTCCTTTTAAAAATTAAATAGATACATGCCCACTTTAAATAATCAGAAACAGTTTTGTATAATGCAATTTGGTTTTGATATCAGAGATCAGCGAAACAATTCTAGACACAAAGCCAAACCATGTAAGACCGAAGTTTCACTTCTTATAACTGTGAGTGATCGAATGACCTGCTCTCTTGTCTTTAGCGTTCCAATATTCGTGACTTGAATTGACTCGAGCTAAATATTTAACTCGACTTGACTAGACTCAGCTTAAATATCTGAGGCAATGTTTGGTAGGGCACTGTTTTGTGTAAACCTTCAAAGTGACAACTTTTTGATCTGACTAATACTTTCTGTTCTCATTCAAACAAGACACAGTTTGGGAAACTACATCTGATATGCAAATAAATCAAGGTCCCCTGCAGTGTTTCATCAGCAAGTTGTGTCCCCACTGACGTCAAAGTTATATGTTTCAATCTTAATTCACAGTTTTGTACTTATTATCTTACAAAAATAAAGCAAAAGTGGTAATATTATTACATATAAACAGATATTTTTTAACGGAATGTAAATAGTGTACAAATAAAATGTGCATTGTAATTATGCAAATCATACACTTGACAGAATTTAATGTAACCGTGGTAACTGTAAAGATTTGTATGATGTATTAATATCACTTGTATATGCACAGCATTATGCCCTTTAAAGTTAGCATTTATATGAAATATTTTGTAATGTATTAATGTGTTTACAGTGCCCCTAGAGGGCGCTGTTATTCAGATTGAATGGTTTACTGTTTAACAGACATTAGGCAATGGGTTTGCAGATGCGAGCATATTTTTAAGACTACTAGCCACATCCAAGTTAATACATTTCACGTAAACATTTTGCTGTTTGCAATTATTAACATTTGACCTCCACTACACATGAATATATTAATAATATTATTAAAAAGTTGCAAAGAATGAATTTATTTGAGGAGTTTTTCCCCCGTTTTAACCTTCATGAAGTAGAAGTAGAATCCATAACCGTTCGTAGGGCATACCGTTTCATTTCTTTGGTTTTTATATCCAACCGACCCAATTTTGGGGCTCGACTCAAGCCAACCCCGTTGCAACCCCTCTAGAAAAAAATAATCGTTGAGGCAATAAAATGATAAATGCAAAATTCAGGCATCAGTGAGTTTCTGTATCTATGGGAAAATATAATACCAGATTTTCACGCGAAGTATACGGCGAAGAGCAACCAGTGCTATTCCAACAAGGGCTGATCGACATTATTAACCCTAAAAGGGCCGGGGGGGCGGAATCCGCCCCCCCCCTCAACATTTTCCGTGATAGCTTCTAAAAAAAAAATTTTCGCGACCCGAGCTGTTATGACTTTTTAGCCTCGAGCTTTGCGCATCTTTTGATACCAAAAACATAGAAATCGGACCACGGGTTGCTGCGTAGCGAAAAATTTTCCGGCGCTACGCGCCGTGAAAATTGAATTTTCGCATATACGTCGTGTACACGGAGCAGAATTGCCATTTGTACATATGAATAATTAATTAGCCATAATTCCAAAACCCTTTGACCTATAGTCATGAAATTTCTTGGGTATGTTCAGGAAGAGTTGCTCTATGCATGTGTTGAGTTTCAAAATTTTTCGACACTCGATGGCCGAGATCTTAGGGGGGGGCGGAATCCGCCCCCCCCCCCCCCCCCCGGCTGAGAGATGGTCAAAATAACCCGGCCCCTTTAGGGTTAAGTCAACTACATCTTGAAAAGGATGGTTGTATTATTTCAGCCATGTCAACTCATGATAAACTTTTTTTGCAACAACAAAAACTAGAGACAAACCTACGTAGATTGCATAGGGGTTCTTGTAGAGCATGCGAGGGACCTCTATGGAATCAGTGAGATTGATTTAAATCTCGTCTAGTAATAATGCCACAATATAAAACACAGGTCTGTGGAATATCGAGGGAAGTCGTCAGACATTAAAATTAATATATCCCCCCAAAAATGTAGTGATGAAAATACTGGCCTAAAGCCATCTAAACATGTTCGTTCAAAAGAGGGCGCGCTACAAAAATAGTGATCAACACCGTTAAGATTTTTTTTTTTCAACACTGAAAACTGGTTTGTTCCGGATTGGCACTTGGACTGTTGATTGGTCGCGATATACATCACAGGTCTGTTGAATATCAAAAGAAATCGTCTGACAATAAAAAATAATAATAATATAGTATAGAATAATGTAGTGCAATCCCGATCAAAGGCAACTTTTACGGAATATTAGGCCCTATTAAAGACAACGCGCTCGTTTGCTGGACGCCGACTCAAGAAATACATATTGAATTGAAACTTGGTCTGCGATTGGCTGTGATATTTATATTAACACAAGTCTGTAGAAAATTTCAAGAAATCGTTATAAACACTACAAATGACATAACCAAAACAATGCAGTTTGTTCAGCGCAAACAATACAATTCGAAATAAAGTAAATTAATTTTTATTGAATAAAAACAACACACTCTTTTTCCACACGATAACTCCAGAAATACTTGTTATATTTTATTGAAATATCGTCTATTAAGTAGTTGTGATATATAACAAAAATCTTTCGAATATCGAGAGATATCGTTAAACAATAAAACAATATATAACCCAATAAATGTAGTGTGTTAATTAAGCGCGAAAAACACTAGCCGAATTTAAGCCATCTAATTTTCGTTCAAAGAGGGCGCGATGCACAATATTAGTGGTCGCACCCGTATAACTTTTGTCAAAAATTCAGGGGAAAAACTTGTCTTAATATACACTGCAGCATTTATTTTCGTTGCATTCATTGTTTTCGTCTACTGTTCCCGTCGATTTTAATTTTGTGAGTGTTATATATCACGACCAATTATTGAACGAAATTTTGATTCAATGGAATGTGTTTTTCTTTAGTTATCTTCTCCACTAAAAGGGTGTTTTATTTTTGTTCAATAAAAATTGACTTGTGTTTGGATTGAATTTTTCGCGAACTTACATTGAATTTTCTATAATCATATTTCGTTTTTCTTCAACGGTTCCCGTCAACTTTCAATGTCTTTGTTTCATATATCACGTCCAATCTTCAGACGCAATTTCAATTCAATGCAATGTGTTTTTCTGGAGTTATCGTCTCCACAAAGAGTGTTTTATTTTTGCAATTAAAATGGAGTGGTGTTTGGGTTGATTTTTTTCGCGAATAATACACTGTATTTTCTGTAATCATATTTCATTTTTCTTCAACGGTGTCCGTCCATTTTCACTCTCCTTGCTTCATATATCATGACCAATATTCAGACGAAATTTCAATTCAATGCAATGTATTTTTCTTGAGTTATCTTCTCCACATAAGAGTGTTTTAT